TCAAACAAAGCTTGGACAAAAGTAGCCTTCATGTTGGCTTGCATGTTCTTCACTTGGTCAAGAGAGTCAGGGATACGGGAGCCCAGGAGAACATTCCCCAGAAAAGCAAGGGCCATGTCACCACAGTACTCATGCGTCAAAATTCTTGGAAGGATCCAGTGGAAAACCACGTGAGGGAAATCAAGCATCTCAGCGATCACTTCAACCATTGGCATGAAATTGGGTTCACCCGCATGTACATCATCAACAATGTGGACTTGCAGAGTGAATTCCCTGGGGGAAAACCAAACTGGGAACCAGTGCCCGTTGACCAAGAAGGCCGAGACAATACTGAAACCATGCGTTCGGACAAATGGATGGCTAATGCACCATTCACGGCATTTGTCACTACCACCGTTATCCCATGCCTCAGCAATCAGAGGGTCCATCATCAGAAAACCCTCTGGAGCATCTTCACTTGCAGTGGCCCGGTTGGCCCGGATTTGGAGGAGATGTGAAATATGAAAGGAAATTTCATCATTACCCCACTGCTGGCGATGACTTCGCAGCAGTTCAAGCCTGTCCTCAGAGGAAATACACATGTGATCAGGGTCAAAAACACTATCAGGCGGGTGATCGTTCTGGTCAGCTGGCTCACCTGTACCTGCCGGCACATACTGTCTGGCAGAAGAGGGAAGCCCAGGCTCAGACTGTGAGTCTTCATTTTCAACATCCCCAGAACCCCAAATCCACGGTCGATCGGCAATGTGGGCCGTTTGAAGCACAGTAGCAAATTGCAGCCTAAGACGGTCATGAATCTCAATCGCATCCCCTTCGCAGGTGGGCAGGGGTTCTTGCAACAGCATATGCCTCAGGAAGGCAAGTGCCAAGGCACCACACATGGTCATGGAGCAGAAATTCCTCTTGACATGTTCAAAATAGATCTGATGGAAACCAAGCACAATACCCGAATTCCGTACCAGGTTGGTCAAGAGGTCTTCAAACTCATCAGAGTGGTCCCAAGTGAAGGTACGCAAGAGCTTACCCTCTGGAATCAAAACGATCGGGATCCAATGGGTTCTGGCAAACAAAGCAGTGATCACAGGTCCTTGTTTCTGGAAGACTTCAGGATGAGATCCAGCCCAATCTTGAGGGGGAATGCCGAGACCTTGGGACCAACCTGCAGTCAACAGAGGGTCAAGGATGGTTGCCCTTCGAATCGGAGGCCCTTTCGAATGGATCTGCATGGCAATAAAATCAGAACCCAAAATGCCCAGGTGAAAACGGATTTCATCATCACTGCAAACACGATCCTGCTGGTTGAGAAGCCGGAGTCTTTCAGTGTTGGACATGAATTTATGCCTAAGGAACCACAAATGAAACGTGTCCTGGACAACCGGAATGGAACAACTAACAAGTTGGAGCATGTCAAATTGAAGCAACTGATCGAAAGGAAAAACCCCATGTGAGCAAACCTCGTGCTCAGGGAGAAGGTTACATTCTCCAATGTCAAAGGCTGATGGCCTGCGCCATCTGGTGGGCAAATCCGGAGTCAAAGCAGCAGGCACGGAGCCATGGCTACTAGTGCCCTGTACAGGAGGCATTCTAGGGAGTGGCCCCCATTCCCATGTGGATCTTTCACTGTTTGCACCTTCAGGCAAATGCGCCCCAATGGCAGGGCCTGTCTCCTCGTCACAATGGATGGAATCAGTCCACCTTTCAGGAGGGGGAGTTGGCAGCGAACCCTCAGGCATTGACGGTTCATTCACATCTCCAAGTCCATGTCCCCATACCCAAGGTCTAACCGTGATTTGAGCGTCCCTCAGGGCCTGTACATATTGGCTACGTAGCTTGGCATGGAAATTCGCAGCATCATCCGGAGTGGTGGGGAGCATGTGGTTCATGGCTGAATGGCGCAGAAAACCAATGGCAAGGGCCCCACACAAAGAAGACGACAAAAAGAGTCGTTTCTGTTGGTTAATGGCAACCTGCTGGAAACCCAGGGCAGTACCCAGAGTATGTAAAACCGAGGGAAAACCATCATTGTCATGAGTGATCTCATCCCAAGAGAAAGCATGCAGAACATTACCAACAGGATTCATGAATACTGGGACCCAATGCGCATCAACAAGGAAGACTGATAGCACCGGCAATTGTCTCTGGAGAATTTCCGGATGTGCAGATGCCCACTGATGGACTGATATGCCAGAGGTTTTTAACAATCCTGCAGTCAGCAAAGGATCCAAAACGACCGGCTGTCGCATGGGTGGCTTCATGTGGCGTGCTTGGAATTCAATCGTTTCAGTGCGAATTTGACCCATGTGGTAACGAATCTCATCATCAGCCCAAATAGGCCCTTGATTGTCCAAAACCACCAACCGATCAGCAGTTGAAATGAATTGGTGTCGGAGAGACCACAAGTGCTTGGTATCCAATACACACGGCAAGGAAAGCTTCAAAAACTGATCGACTTTAAGTCCAAGCAAAGGGGCAGCAGAAATCCATGATTGATTACAAACCTCTTCAGGCACTGGTAGGACGCATTCCCCAATGTCAAAAACCGACGGTCGGCCGGGAGGACCACTGGCTGGTGCCGGGGTCTCATGAGGTTCCTGAGTCCATTTTGCTGTTGGAGGAATGCTGGGCACAATGTTTTTGGCAGCGTCAAAAGCACTGCTAGGAGGCATTTTAGGGAGTGGCCCCCATTCCCCTGATGTGTGAGCATGAAAACAACCAAAACCAGACTCATCCTGAGGATTGCTAGGATTACCATGCCTGGGTCCATCATCGGGTTCAGCAGCGTGGCAGCGGCTTGCATGAGCATTCATGGAAACATCAGATCCAGAGCCATCAATCTCAGTTGGGCAAACATTGATCACCTGTCCGACCTGTAGCCTTTGATACATGTCAATCTCCTGTCCATCGCATCTGGCAGACAGCGGGTGACTGGCTGGTCCAGTCAACTTGGCTTGCGCAATCAGAAAATCCCCAAAATTCGGTGCTGAATCTGTTGGCAGAGAGAAGGTGACAGGAGCTTCACCTGAGTCAGCAAAGTGAATCATGCACACATCACCCTGTGGGTATACCGGGAACTCATTGGGGAGAGGCTGCTCAAACCATGGTGTGGGTTCTTCGACAACTCTAGGCTCAGGAGGGGCTGGTTCCTGGGGAATCTCAGGCTGTTTCATGAGATGGTCCAAAACCGCAGCAATGGTGACGTCTCTGTCTGACAATGCTGGCCACCGAAAAGGATAAACCAATTCAGAAAGAGAAAGATCCTTAACCACTTTCCAAACATTTGCCAAGGCAAGCATTTGAGGGTCTTCAATTGGCTCAATGTCATCATACCAAATTTGACGTCCCCTCATAATCAGCCAAGATCGATACGCTTGCAGTTGCAGAATTGGGCTATATGGGCAATTTCCAAAACGATACAAACTCAAATGTTGGTCAATGTGAGAGAAAATCCACAAGGCTTGCAAAGGTGAAGCAAGCTGTCCAACCCCACACAATGACAGGCGCGGTTCACTGCCTAAGTCTGGAATGGGGTCCAGTGCGTTAAGCATCATCGCCTCATTGGGATGAACATGCCGGATGCGTCCATCACATGCTCGGACCAAGAGTCCAAATAGACCTTTCTGCTCCAATCTCCAGCTAGCCAATCCAGCTGACCTACATCCACAAGGACACGGGTGCAATTGAGAACCCCAACTGTGCAATGCGCACGGGGATTTGCCTTGCATGTTAAGGAGATACCTTTGGTGTGAGTCATGTGAGACCCCAAATCCATCCAATTCAACATCAGAAAGGGCCAAAGCATTCTCATCCTCTTCTGACCAAGGGAAAATCCGGGGAATAACCTTTCGAACATTGTCCAAGTCAGAGAAAACTGGCATCTCCTCAACATCTATGGGTCCAACTAATGTGGACGACAAGATCCACCATGCACGGTCACGCCGGGTCGGCCAAGCATTTTGCAAGGACAGGTTCACTTGTCGGCAATGAAAACCAGTACATTGTTGGAACTTGGAAATCTCAGCTTTCACAAATTCATCACTGGCGGCTGGTTGGACGCATTCCAACACTAAGATTTGAATTTGCAGCAAATGCGCTGCTCGGAGCACCATCGGCAAGCAAGCAGCTCTAGGGTCCTTTCCACTACCCCCGTCGCCCAATTTTGAAAATGGCTGGCAGTTGAATCCAGCTGACATCGTTTTGGAGTACCGTGCATGCTTCCACAATTCAAAGAGGGTTGAATCAGCCCCAATGTCTCCCTGAATGCATTCACCATTGGAAGTTTTGGCACACAAATTAACCATACGATGGTTGGCATCAACTGAAACCGCAGGGGCAAATCCAGCGGCTAAGGCCCCTTGTGCTAATGCTCCAATACCCGAACAGGCATCAATGGTGCTACGAAGGGAATGCCAAGTGTGAACTTCATGATCAAAAATTTTGGTGAACTCAGAGGCTTGAACTCGAGGATGAGGATATTGCTTCACAAACTGAACCCTGAACAGAGTGTGGGCTACGTACCCCAATTCCAGGAGGCCTTTGAAATGAAATCTTCGACCAGAACTCACGCATTCCAAAACATGGGCTTCATGTGTGGCGTCAAAGAAGATGGGTTTGGCTACCACATCAAAAAGGGCACCGGAATCCATGGCAGCAAAATCCGGAACTGAAACCATTGCTAAAACAACCCAGGCTAACCTGACCGTCCCAAGATCGGCCAGGTCCGCCGCACCCCTGGAAGGCTTGGGAATTCACGGCTCAAAGCTCGAACATCTGCAATAGGCAAATGCGTATACAACACTGTAATGGAATGTCATGTATATTATATACAATTCTATACATCATTGAATTGTATGAGCACTAGATATCTATGCCTATACTATTGTAGTAGACCTTGACATATCTTAGATAATAATATAGATATTCTATAGATATGTTACTTTCTAAGTAGTATACTATAGGTTTTATCTATACCTATCTAAATTGATATGCCTTGTCCTCGTCAGGATCTGGAGATCCGCCTAGAAGATCAGACTTATTCATGGCCTGCAGTACTGCGACCCATGATGGTCCCTCGGTGACAAAACAGAGTGTCATATGGAGCTTTCCATAATGGTGATATAAAATGGGGATATCATGTTTAGTGGGATATCCATTATGGTGGAATAATTGTTAAATAATGTTAAACAACCAGAGGGTAGACATAATATCTGGGTAAATTTGATCACGACCGAACCCTGTTCTCCCTCACTGGAATCATGGTTTATTGTAGGGAAATCCCCCCCAAGATAGCCGAACTATTCAGGCTAGTGAAATATTATAATTTACCCAGATAGATGAGATCACCAACATATTTATTCCATGGAAAATCCTATTGAAATGGGGAGGGGATCGCCAATAGCTTGATGCATATGGATCTGGATGGTAAAAAAAACGCCAATGAAATGGATGATTTGGAGGTACCTCCCATTTTAGGAAACCTTCATATTGGGTCAAAATGAAGGACAATACCGGGAATTTAGACACAGATTGGAATGTACATTTTTTTATAAACCAATTATTGGGGTACCTCATTTTGATCCATACCCATAAGAAAAAACAAGATCTGAATGGATCTTGATGGATGTTTCATATACCTTGTTTCTATCCTGAAACTTATGAGTTGATATTTTTAGGTGGATTTGGCACATTGTTGGTGAAGTTGTTTTGACATTGTTGGAATGAATTACCCTCTGGTTATTTAACATAGCCATGGAACATGGCCCATTTATAGATGGTTTACCTATAAAAAATTGGGATTTTCCATGGCTATGTTAAATAACCAGATGGTAAAGGACACCACCCTAAATTGATAAAAACAATGATATCCTCAGGAAGACGAACACAACTTATGTTTCACCATGGTCATTTCGGATGTTTTTTTTTGTTGATTTCAACCCGGACCATGGTCCATGGTCGTTTCGGAAGATTTATAAACCGTTGATGAATGAATAAACCTGCGGGTTACTAGACCTGCAAAATGGGGTCTAGACGGTCTAATTTCCATGAATTTGATTAGCTAATTCATTAAAATGTTAGTAAAACAATGATAAACCACCCATTTTGGGGATGGTTTATAGCACCAAATTTATGGTGATTTTGGGGATGGTTTACTATTAAAAATCCCCCAAATCACCATAAATAGGTGGTGATTTCCATGATCCGAGGCTGAAGGAGCGAGTGTTCAAGCGAAGAAGACCACCACGATGAACCAGGACCGTTTTTGTTTTTTTCGGTTGCGGGGACATGGCTACCGATCCAGGGTCATGGGTTTTCTGATTTTTTTTTGGGATATATATATATGTATATTAGTATAATATATATATATATATACATATTTTATTATATTATATTATTTTATTTTATATTCTATTATATTATATGATCCACTTAAATGGCAAGTGTAATATGTTGGGACACATAAAATCACATAAACAACAATATGAGATGCCTTGTCCAAAAATTGGTGAGACTGGTACCTCAATCTATGGTGTTTCTGATTGGGCAAAAACGACGATTGACTATACAGTAAATTGGGTTCTGACTATACAGTAAATTGGATTTCTGAATGGGTAGCACTTAATATCCCAATCTATTCTGACATATTCTGACATCATATCATCATGTTTTGGATGTTTGAGCGGTATTCAGGCGGGTGCCCAGGGTTTTGACCCACACCTCTTAGAATTGTTGTTCTGGAACATTCACAACGGAAGAAACCTTTTCCCGAGTCATAGTGCATGGAGACGCCATCCAAGAATTGAGTGTTAAGATCAGCCATGATTTCTCATAAATTTTCCAGGTGTGTAGTGCTGCTGATCACTGACTTACTTTTAGATTCTCTCAATAAAAAGCAGTGCGTTTGTAAGGCTTAAGAGCACATGGGGTTCCGGGCGTCTGACTTGTTTGAAGTATCCCAACTGACTCATTTTTTAAAATCCTATAAATCCCCTAAAAATCCACCGTGTTGGTCACTTTCACATGGTGGACAGTTGGGGAAAATCACCATGTTCAGACAGCAGCCATCTCCTGTTATATTCTGTCCATGTACTATGTACTCAGGCGGAGCTCGATGCTATGGTGGTTTTATCCAGCGGATCGAACACGGTCCCCATGGCTGCATTACTTGAGGCTTTTGGGTGATATTAATAAAGCTGTCAAGTTGTGAGTTTGGCAAATAATTAACTATGTGGGTTTGTCTGAAAATGCCACCAAATTCCATGGATTGTCATCATTTTCATCACTTCCCCACAAAAAATGCCATGAAATAATGGGATATGTCCCAGTTTTGGACAAACCCATATTGCAAAACCCAAATTTGGTGTTGCTAAATTTTGAAGGGTATCGTCCAAGAACTGGAAATACCCCTTGGATGCTCACACATGAATGGCGACTGTGTTGAAGTTTTTTTCGGCAGCGAGTCTACTTAGATGGGCCATGGGACTATTTAACTAATTAGTAACTGGATGATAACCCATTATTTAACAGAACGGACCCTCATGGGGGAGTGATGTTTGCTCTAAAAATGGTCAAAAATACTGGTATTTACAGTGTTTTGTGACCAAAGTGGGCTTAAAACCGTTATTTTAGAGCAAAAAATAGAGTTCACCTCCAAAGGCTCTCATATGCTGTCATAAATCACTGGCATTTACAGACTCTTGTGGCAGGATTCAATTTTTCCTGTGAGGCTTGCAAAGAACTACAAACAACCAGCACATAACAGAAAACATCTGCTGCACAACATGCCATAAGAATGGGTAGCTGCACATCTTGGAACAGAATATACAGTAGCAATAGGTGACTAGTGTGATGGAGGTGATGGAGAAATTCTATTGCTAAAAGCAATTGATATGATATAGGTGTTTACAGTGTTTTATCATAATTGTTAATGAAAATTCACTCCCCCACGGGGTACCGCCCTCTGATTTAACCAGTTATAATCCAGTTACTAATCAGTTAAGTAATACCAGGGCCCATGTATACTTGTGATTTTTGAACACTCCAAGGTCTTCCTAACACCTGAAGCCGGTTTCGCCGCGCCCCCTGGCTGCAGCTGCGTGGCTGGCGATGGCATCACTGCAGGCTGTGCCAAGCACAAGGGTATCAGCCCCGCGTGTCTGGGCGTTGATGGGGTGAGTTTGATGTCTCTGATCACAGAATAAAGTTATATAGAAAGATCCAAATGTATGCGCATTGTGTATATATATATATTAATATATATATACACTATATATAATATATATGTATATGTATACATACATACATGTATATATCATATAATATACGAATGAGGAAATGCATGGTTGATGTTTAAATTGAAGAATATGTTTTGTATTTTCAATTGGGATTAGTCTTAATAATGATGGAACTTTGCACATGTCATGCTCCAGTGGAAGGTCTTGTTTCTTCTAGACAGCTCTCTAAGGTATTCTAAGGTCATTTTTGGCTGGTTGGTTATATAGCCTTGTATAATGTTGGGCTGGTCCATTTGTGGGAAATGATGTGGCCTGGATTTGGGCCGCACGAGCTCTGCATATGCTTGCGTGGCAGGAATGTGGGTAGCTTCAGTAGTCATAATAATGATGACACTAGTAATCATCATCATCACCACCACCGCCGCCACCACCACCACCACCACCACCGTCACCGTCACCGTCATCGTCATCGTCATCGTCCATCATCCGTCATCCATCATCCGTCATCCGTCATCCATCATCATAAACCAGTTTTGAGTCGAATTGACTCGTCAGATTATCATACCTGTACTCTTGCGTTTCGTCTCCAAGACTCTATAGGTGGTGCCTTGTTGCCAGTGGCTGCCGAGAGAGCATGGAGGCACACTGTTTTGGGTCCCTGCCCTGTGATTTTTCCCGATCAACAGATCGAGAAATTAGATGGAAGGAACCAATAGATTGCCAAATCTGCAGGACTCTTAAACATCCTGAAATGTTTATATGTCATGTGCATTTTTCGCAACTTACATGAAGAATTCAATCATCACGAGCCAGCGGAGTTTCACATCAAACCTGGCCGCTTCACCACTGTACAATCACAACCCACACTCTTCTATTAAGGACCGATGAGAGATCATTTTTGCTGGTTAAATCACATTTGTTGTTGGTTATTTCACCATATTTCACCTTAAATCTCCATTGTGTTGTTTAATTTTCTTAATTATATAAATCAACTTATTGCATTAGCATTGTTTGGGGATGGATGAGCCACCCACCGGATGTGAACTTCGCAGGGCGTCTTGGGCCCCTGGGCCTTCTGCGTCGAATCTGCGAACTCTGACGCATCTCCCGACCCTCGGCTGTGATCTAGCGAAAATGGGTGAAAGAGCTGTAACAACATGCTACAGTGGATGGTTGCGAAATCCTGCACCAGTTGATAGGTGGAAAACATCCCATTTTTTTCGTTAGGTTTCAACATGTTTCAACCATCGGTGATGCAGGATTTCGCAACCACCCACCGTATGGAAGCTTTTCGGGGAAGCTTGGGACACATACTGTACTGGATATGTTTCAAACAAAAATGGACATTACAAAACCCACTTAATGACGCGTCCTTTTCGGATATGTGTACAATTTTGTGACCAACTCATCCACCAAATGGTGCCTGCTCTAGTCTCTAGTTCTGCATTTTGGATGCGTTTGACGGGAAGTCAGGACCCCAACAAGATCATCATTGCCTCCGGAAACGGGTCAGCGGTGAAAATTGCGTCGATGTGGCTTCTGGTCGCTGTTTTCGTACAGGGATTGCTGGGCAATCCATTTGTGCCATGAGTTCTGCTGATTGCAGACTGCTTAGAACAGGCGTGCTTCCGCTCTAGGCGCTTCTGAACTGCTGTTGATTTCAATAGAACATGTAAACGAATAAGATGAATAAGAGGTAGAGCAGAAATCCGAATTCCTCAGTCAGTGAAATAGCTGAGAGTTGCCCAATTCTGTGCGAAAGCCAAAGTTGTCCTTTGCAAGTGCGAAGTCGGACTGGCGTCGCTGTGTTGCTCGATGTTGCTCGCATTTTCCTGGCATGATGGTGTCCCCACCATGGAAGACAACAACTTCAATGAATCTGAAGTTGCTACAGAACTTGAAGTTTCTGACTTCACACTGTTTTTTAATTCATTTTTGTGCACCATTAATTGATAATTTTATATAATTTTACTAATGTCCTCCATGTTGAGATCCAAATTCAGCCCGTAGAGCGTGCAGCTTCGCTCGGTTGATGGACCCGAGCTGAAACCCACGAGACTTGCTGCCGAATGGCATGAATCAGCCGTGTAGACAGTGTAGACCTTATTTCGGAACTTGCTCGTCACCTGTGTCGCGCAAAGGGGGGGCTGGAGTTGACTGGAGATCCCAATCATTCAGTTCTCCCACAGGACTCATCGTAGTGGAAGATGATCAATCATCAAGTCATGTAACTTCGGGACGATAGCAGAGTGAATTGACGAATCTTTGATAATATGGAGGTTTCCTAAAATGGAGGGGTCCCTCAAACCATCTATATAAGTCATGGAAAATGGATAACCATGTTATATTCAAACCCATGGTTTTGGGGATCTCCCATGTTAAGAAGCTGTGATTCGACGAATCAACTACAAACTCCGAGCAAGAGGCAAGAGTGGGAAAGGTTTACCGACGAACGCTTCCTGTTTTTTTTTCTTCGCCTGTCTGACTTGTTGATTTTGTTTGCTTCTCTCTGTTGTCCTTATTCTGATATTAGTTCGTCTGATTGTTTTGGTTGTTCTTCAAAGTGTTCTTAAGATTCTTAAGATATTTTGAGTGTTCCAATGGTTGTTCTTGTCATAACGCTTGTGACTCTTATCCCTGTGGCTGTTTTGTTGGAGTCCTGTCATATCGGTTCCCTCACATGGGCCTGATGGTTGAAACATGTTGAAACTACAGCGGCCGAACAAGTTCATTTACCGGCAATGCGCCCAAAAGGATTCTTTAAACCCAGGATGGTACTTTGACTTGTTTCTCGTGAGTACTTTCAGGGTTGGCGCGAGTTATTTTCTGTGCTCTCAACAGCATCAACACCACTTTGCCTCTCGCAGGCGATGAGACGCCAGAGAGCAGAAGCACTTGAAAGGCAGAACCGACTGGGAGACCGACTTGACCAGATGCAAATGCACCACTGAATGCCCGAAACTGCCGCAAGCCTTGAACGACACGCTTCAGCTAAAAGGAATTCAGTTGAAGTTGGTGTGAACAAAAAAACTGAGGAAAGCACCAGTGGTCAAAATCAAACATATCATATACAGGTATACAACTTCGAACCATGGACTAATCGGCTTGCAAATGTCATGCATCAACCAATGCAGAGGAACGTCCAATGACCTGACTCAGAAATCCATATCCCCGTCCAGTTTCGAGTTTTCTAATTTGGTAATTATAGTTGTTGGTTATTTGGCACTTCAAGAAAATTCTATGCCATTGTCGGGGGGTTGGTGATATGCTTGCAGTGGAATCTCGTTTTTACCACCGTGCAAGCTGGTTCATTCACATATCAAGTTGTTTCTAGCAGTTGGTCTGCGAAAAAAAAATAGCCGCCGAACAATGGCCTGACCATAGTGGGGGAATCATCCATGTGATTCGTCAAACATGATGCAGATATTTATAAAATAAATGTAATCCCCGAAAAGATAGAAAAGTGTTTCCAGGATGGTATAGTAGTATAGATGATACTGTGGATGGGCCAGCGAAATGCTGCATCACCAAAAGGATGGTTGAAACCCTATAAATAATGGGATAAACCATCTACGAATCTACCAACTGGTGCAGGATTTCGCAACCATCCACCGTATGCGTCCCATCTTTTTCAGGTTTCCTATATGAAAACGATCCAGGCAGGAGCGCCTGGCCGGAGAACGCTTCCTCAAAGCGGAGCAGGACGTGTTGATGGCGGCCTTTTGGTGTCTTTTTTCGCAGGGATGGGACCCCAAAGAAGGGCCAACAAATGGGGAAATGCATGGAAATGCCCCACCATGAGGGTTTGAAACCACGATAACGGCTGAATCGGTGAATGGGTCTCCAATCTTCAGATTAATGAATTTTGTGCCCACCGTTGGAAGGTCGCAGTAGAACAAATTACCAGAATCTGAACAGTTGTGGGGGTCTTACAGATTCCATAAGGGCAGACAATCACAGTGGCTTTGGGTGTGTGTTATAAATTGTTTGGGGACCTGGTACTGTTGCCTTTACACAACAAACACATCTATATCTACCGTGTCAGGAGTGGGGTTCGATGATTTGTCAGATCACCAGGAGAAAGAGAATCAGAAACAGATCACAGAGTTTCAGGAGTTGGGAGCTGAGTTCTTCAGGGAGCACTTCTCAGACCCAACCCTTGTTTTCTGGTTGATGGTGAAAAATCATTGTGATTTTTACCACTAATAATGGCTGTTGAGTAACCAAACAAGAGAGAGAACTGCCAAAACTGCTAGATAATGTTCAATGTGTTAATCCATGCTAATTTTCTAATAAATCTAGCTATGCTATGGGGATGCTGAACAAGTTCAGGTTGCTACATGTTGCTACCTGTGCAGGAAGCACTAGTTTTCTTGAAGCGCTGAGGCGTGTAGCCACCCAGTTGGCGACGAAGAAAGCGCATGAGGTGGTGCTGTGCGGTGATCCCCAAGTCACCATGGGTTTCAATACTAAGTATAGGTGACTTGGGGATAGTATAGTATAGTATTATAGTATGGTACAATATATATATATACATACATTATATTATATATATATTATATATTATATATATATGACAATAGTATAGTATATATAGGTGACTTGGGTTTCAATACTAATTTATAGTATATATATATATATGTATAGTACTGTATATAGTTTCAATATGATCCCCGTCACATATATAGATAAAGTGGTCTAATTTTGACTTAGGCTTGCCGCCTCAGGGGGATCATCACATTGGGTACGGACCCCCATTTCTGAAGGGGCTGATCTGAGGAGAATCAGATCTATATCCCAAGATTTCCCAAGCTACCAACATATTTCCAACATATTTCCCATTTCCCAATTGACCATTATTAGACCACTATACTATACTACACTTATAGTTTTTTTTCATGAATTTGACCATATTGGACCGTTGGAACCATAGCCAGAAATCAGAATCAGATCAATCAGATCCATATCCAACATGTTTCAGGGGTTGTTAACTGTCCCATTTTGGGAATATTGGACATCACCTTGTAGTAGCCATTATAGACCATATACCTAATGGTTGGGTGATGTTCAATGGAGACATTTAATGACCTATGTGTTTCCCATTTCTGGCGATGAATTTCCCCATGTTTTTTTTTTTTCTCCATGTCTGGCGGTGAATTCCAGGCGAGACAAGAGGCGCTTCGTCGTCGAGTTGTCGATGGCTCGGATGAGCTGCGCGTCCTCAAGGACGCTGGAAATCGCTGGATGATTTCAGGGAAAGTCCTATAGGAAAATGGATAAAATGGGAGATTTATATAGGGCTACCCCCATAACTTAGGAAACCTGAAATATAGGACTTAACCTGAAATATAGGACTTTCCCCATAACTATAGGGGTACCCTGAAATAAAATGTATCAGGATTCCTGGTGTAAAACATATCAGTGGTTTGGAATATTGTTTTTCTCCATATATTGGGAAGAATAATCCCAGCTGACTTTCATATTTTTCAGAGGGGTTGAAACCACCAACCAGTATAGGGGTACCCCCATGACTTAGGAAACCTCCATATAGTCTACTTATGGGTTTTTGTCAACCCCGGATTCATAAATCATGGTTTATTACTTTGGGGGATACTCCCTAAATAGCGATAATATGTGATAATCTAGTACTTAAATGGTAGGGGCTTACTAATCCAGGGTTGACGTTACTCAGGGATCTTGGCCATTTTTACTGTATTTCTCCCAAAACAGCCAAGTACACATAAAGATGGATGAACATACTCTGGTTGGTGGTTTGGAACGTTTTTTATGTTTCCATAGAATATATTGGAAATAATCATCCCATTTGACTTTCATATTTTTCAGAGGGGTAGGTATACCACCAAGCAGTACTGGAATTATGGGTCGGGTAAACTAATGTAAACTACCCATGTTCATGGGTCAATGGAGATTCTGGGTCTATTTGGGGACCACAGCTTTTCACATCGCGACGTCAGGAGAAACTCCATGCAGCCCAGGTCAATAAGGCGAGCGGTTTGGCACAGGTGGGCGGTTGTGTTTTACCTTCCAGCAATTTAAGATGATATCGATATGGAATATACATATATTGCTATTTGAAGGGTACATGATATGTTTGCAGATCTATAGTTCAATAATATCATTGGCAGCTATATAGTGTGTTGATTTATTGAAGGTACATGATATTTATATGACAGGAGTGTCCTGTCATGTTCCATTCTTGGGAGGATGAACCCATGAATCCATGTCACCGAATCCTTTCCCCCTATTACTCAACGTCCCCCAAATACTAAAAACTAGGGTCCATCTCCCAGTTTGGAAAATTTCAGGTTGGCCAATTTGACTTTTAATTGATCCCCTTTAGAAAACAAATTAAACATAAAGCTACCATGTGTGGGTTTTGCCCCCTAATGAAAACTAGTTAACCCCGGGGTGTTTATTAATAGGGGAGGGGAGGGGGGGCGTTTCGTATTAGGGGGAAGGGATTATTTTGGTATCACTCACTGGGTTGGTTTAAGGGAACATTTACAGGAAACCCCCATAGTTAATGGTAAAAAACCATGGTTTCCAGTAGATTTTCCCCATATTTCATGGTAAAAACCATGGTTTCCGGTTAAGATTTTCCCCAAGAAACCAATCCAATGAAGCACAGCTGGTAGGTTTGGGCCAAGCAGCTCTTGGAGAAGCAGGCGCTGGGACCGCTGCGATCCGACTTGGTTGGCTCAAATTTGGACTACGTCGACTACGTGTCATCAAACATGGCAACTACCCTCTGGTAAACTAACATAGCTATGGAAAATCACATTTTTTCATGGGAAAATCCACTATAAATGGTCATTTTCAATAGCTATGTTAAATTAACATAGACCCTGGCAGTCATCGGGGTTGGAAGATTAGTTTCCATTGAAAATTGGTGATTTTCAGGGTCTATGTTTATTTACCAGAGGGTAAGATTTTTTCCAAACTATTCAATAGAGCTTTCTGAATGGGAAAATCATCGAACTAAATAAATGGTGGATTTTCCAGCATGCCACGAATGTTCACCAGATCGGGTCAAATGACCCATCCCCAGATCACAGTTTGAGGCTGGCTGCAAAATCATTTTGTACATCTACCTTAGGACCTAGACACTCTGCTTGTACACCATAAAATTGTTGTTTTATCTCATATTATTTGTAGTAAGAAATGTTATCTTCTTTTTGGTGGTATTTGGAGGGTCTGGGTCCAGGTACTTACATGACATGACATGACTATTCACTATTGGTGAGGACCATGGTACCCTTTCACATTCCAGAAGCGTTGGGAGAATAGACATATTTTTTTGCCCTGGATCCAAACATAAAAGAAGGTATGTTGACCTCAAAGCCTGTCTCCAGAATTCTCAACGGCCAAAGATGTTTGGAGATGCAATCTTACTTTAGTTAAGGCTGAACCCAGTCAAATTAGCCAGCCATTTGAGGATCCGTTGGCACGCCCATTCAGGTGTTTTAATTCGACTACCTCAAACTATGAATTGTCCTAAGACAACTCATCGCACTAAGTTTACTTAGATAAATTGGATCTCCTGCTACGACTTGAGGAACTCCCATATTAGTCCATGTTAAGGATGATTCCCCATTGTCATAACCATCATGAAGATTCATTAACCATCACTAACCCAATGTATCTGTGTCGAAATGTCAAGCCAGTATTCTCATTTCAGGAAGAATAGAGGGGACAACCTGGGAAATTATTCAGATCATCTACCTCTTGGTTGTTGAATGGAGGGAACCTTCAATTTATCATCCCACCAGTGGGAAAAGGACTTGTGATCCCACCCATTAAGATTTATTCACCACTATCAACCATTATTAGCAATCATCAAGATTCATGAAGCAATTGATTAAGCCATTATTCTTAACCATCATTGAGGTTAATTCACCATCACTAACCACCATAAACCATTCATGAACCACCACGAACCCCCCCTTTTTTGGGATCTCCCACCCAGAAATCACGACGTCCCGTCACTTAGAACGCGAGCGAGAGGAGCGCGATGCCAGTGAGATGCAGAAAGAAGCCGTGATGGCGGCGCAGCTCGAGGCGATTGGGGATTCCCCAAAGAATTGGAGGGTTTACTCTATCCCATAGGATCCATGTATGCTATATATGGTAACATTTACCATCCATATCCCCCAAATGTTAGCATATATACCATACATGGATCCTATGGGTATGGTTTAATCATGTGTAACCGGGTTTAGAATCATTGATATTTTAATGATATCTTGATTGATATAGGTTTGAGGTTGATGCTCCCAACATATTGATGAACAGATTACAAAGTGGTTTTATATGTTAATATGTTGATTCAACACTACAGAATAGATTGATTGGATGTTCTCGTGGGTTCGTAGAAATTCTGTGATTGCAGTATTGACCCGCCCTGAATGTTGTCGGAGGCAGTTGATTCCAGTCTGAAGTTGGTTTCCAGCAAATGAAGGTGCACTGCACAAATCAATAGTATCCAATCTTGCTAGCAGCAGTGTAGTGCCCATGTGGTTGTTGGTTTTAGATGTATATGATTATATGTATCTGTACATTGTACATAAATTACTTTTCCTCCCCCTAATTTTTTATGGTTATCTGAAGGGACATGCTTTTTCAGGGGTTGAAGCGATGAACCGGTACACATGTCAACAACCAGAACAACCATATAGATAGATAGATAGATAGATAGATAGATCGATAGATAGATCGATAGATCGATAGATCGATAGATCGATAGATCGATAGATCGATAGATCGATAGATCGATAGATCTATAGATCGATAGATAGGTAGATCGATAGATTATATATATATATACATATCAGCAACCAGTGGATGATTTAGCCAGTACAATGATCATTCCTGTGAATGTTTACTTAATACACTTTTTATTGATATCATATCAACAACATGTTAATCATCAACAATGGCTGTTATTTTTGTTTGATGAGTATATAATCCAGTCATTGTTTCGTCCATTTGTCATTTCCCATTAAACTCCTCTTTTCCAGACCTTGATCTGCAGGATCTTCGCATACAGTCGGAACAGAAGGACGAGCGGGAAATGCAACAGAAGGCGGTGAGAAGCTTGCGACCTGCGACTTCTGTGGTAATTTACATATCGAACAGAATGATATTGGAAAGCAAAAAAAGTCTTGGCATTTTTGTTCACAGATATCACCAAAATGATATTGGAATCTTGGTCAACTTATGCTGGGGAGAGACAGAAAATAAGAAACTTTGCTTGGTATGATGATCCCAAAGAAGGTCGCCCTGATGCTTGGTTTCTTGTGCCATATGACAGGGCCGCCATGCGACAGGCCTTGCGGATGAAAGCGCTCCAGAAAGACAATCAGGATTTGGGGCCGACGCCAGAACGAAATGTGGCCATTCTGATGGGTCCATGGAAATTAACAAATCGGAAACATTTAGGTGAAAAACCTATGAATTACCCTCTGGTAAATTAACATAGACCCTGAACATCACCAATTTTTAATGGAAACTAGTCTTCCAACCCCGATGACTGCCAGGGTCTATGTTAATTTACCAGAGGGTAGTGTACATTTAATGTAAGGTAAAGATTTGAATCCTCAGTTGGGGCTGGAACATGGACCCAGTATGTGGTGCAGAGGCGAAAACACTGTGTATTATGGGTATTTATGGGTGTTTATGGGGAATATTAATTTTGCATTGGAATTGACCAACAAGTGTTATATAACATATTCTAGAATTATCATAAAGGTGATTATAACATATTAATAATATAATTCTATAATCATAGTATATAATTATTCTAAAATGGTCAACCAGGTGCAGTCCTGGTTGGTGATTCACAACCGATGCCATGAAGTTCTTCCGATAGATCCCATAGCTCCACGAAAGCTGTGTGGCGTTGGCAGTATCTTGAAGTACCAGTGGTAGATATGAAGTTGGATACATCCTATCTAAGATATCTAAGTTCTAATACTTGCAGTTGTTGGATATAATATAATATAATAATATATATATATATATTATACACTTGAATACACCTGCTCTCTCATATTTGATTCATCCCAGTTTTGGTTGAGAACATTTACGCTTGACCATCAAATTGAAGGGGTAAATACCATGAGTGTCCCAGATTTTCCGCAGAACATGTGACATGATGTGAGATGTCCATTCAATTCCTATATGTTTTGTTTGTTAAATCACCAGTAAATCATGGGATTTTCCATTTCCGATTCCAGTTGGTTTGTTTTGATACTATCTGAAATCGCTCTTCATCAGGAGCTTCTGGCGCGCAAGAATCAGTCGGACGAGGCGAAAAAAACTGTGGGAAATTTTCGGCAAGAAGTGGGCGGAATCAATGAATGATTCTGTGGGTATTACACCTCTAGTGCAAGAATTTGGGTTTACCCTCTGGTAAACTAACATACTAGTAGCTATGGAAAATAACCATTCATAGTTGATTTGCCCATTAAAAAATGGTGATTTTCCGTAGTTATGTTAGTTTACCAGAGGGTAACATTTTGTATCTGAACATGAGGGATAAGGGATGTCCATATTTAGAAATATCATTAAAATTGCAATATTGTTTCCCGGGAATATCACAATGGATGTCCCCTAATTTTTGCATGTAACCTGAACAACATTTAGATATAGGGTTTCATGTGAAATGTAGGGGGGCGTATTGTAGGATTAAACTCCGAGAACAATGAATGAAGTACTTGTGGGATTCAAGAACCGAACAAGTAGATTGATTTTGTATAGGTCCTAGGTGAAATTCCAAGACCCTAAATCCCCAATTCGTCATGCTTTATATCCACCATCATCATTGTTTAGGCACTCCACTTGAGTCCCCATTTTCCAGATGCTTTCGCATCACAGTACCGGCGACTCAACTTCTTCCACGCGTTGTCGGATTGTTTTGTGGAACAAGGCGCAAAATGTCAAAGGTTTCAAAAATCATGTTCCCCATTGGCCCATGGTCTATTTTGGGATAATGCAGTAAATCCATGTAAATCCCACATAAGAAACCAGCGTCCAAATTTGAGGTTCACTGCATTCTTACGTAAATCCCACATCAGTGCGGAATTTAGCCACCAATAAAAATGAACATACTCATGTACCAGATCAGATACCTTGTTGGTGCTTCCATGTGCTTCCAAATTTATGTTTTAAATATGTTTAATCAATAAATCAAATTGATGAAGGATATGGATTTGTTTGAAAATGGTGTGCCCCATAAGCACCGTTTTTCCAATTAATGCATTGTCAAGACTTGAGAGTTAGATTTAGATCCCCATCCCCAGGCATCCCCATTTTCAGGCACCACATCCACACCTCACATGGGCATCACTACAGTATATTCATTTTTTCACACAACCCACAACCATCATACATCCCATTGTACTGTACAACCACTATAATATGTCCGCCTTCATCATTATATCCCAGCATTTCTAACAGATATATCACTATGTTCAATTATATAGTTCGATTATCGCAAAATTAGATAGCATTAGGATGCATTAGGTATGTATCACTGGTATCTTCACAGAATGATATGTTGATGGCTATTTTAATGTGATGTATAACTGTATAACTTCAACAATTTCCCAAGGCGATGCGGCAGTTTGAGCACGACAAGAGGTTGGTGGAGGCGGCTGCGAAGATGTCGAAAGGGTCCATTGTTGATCAACAAAGATAAGTTAAAGGATAGGTGAAGATGATCAGGGAAACTCAGATATCATTATTTTTTTGCGTTGAATTCAAGATGTGTTACTTGATTGTTTTTAATTGTTGATGAGTCGTTTATATACATATATATATTATTTCATGGATATCTTTAACCAATCATAACCACATACTGTAGTCATTATTTTCAGCCCATGATCTATTGGGGATGGGTGGTTACGTAGAGGTTGTTTGGGTAGTTTGATAGGTTATATCTTGCTGTATACGCAGAAACATATCATCTGCAGCTAACACTCAACTTTTTTTCCCACTTTTTGTATCCAAGATCTGGCAGCACTGGCAGCACTGGCAGCACGGATGAGAGATACAGGATTTTTTTAGGCCAGCCACATATGGCAGTGTGTCAAAACCTTGTACCCCTGGTGAACATCAAAATAGCTGGTAAATGGATGTTCATTCCCCTAAAAATGGTATTAATAGGTATTGATCCATACCCATATTTGCCCTTGAAGTACCAAACACATGTCATTGTTTATATTGTTTGGTGTTTCCCGTCTAGAGGTTTTTTCCAGCTTCAGCAGCTGGATCATCACAGATCTATAGTCGAGGAAGTGATGGCGAAGGTTCAGGACGAGGATCGAAGAGAACTGGCCTTGAGGTGCGATTGCTGGTGGATATTTCATGGAGCTGTCCCTTTGGGGATAGCCATCATCCAGTCGACGTCGTCGTCATGGATGATGACTTAGAATCCTTATAGATATTATAGACACTTCCAAGAACCTTGGTGATCTTGAACAACTTGGTGTTTGAACTAGAAGTTTCTAGCCATGACGAACTTCAGTTCAAGTTTCCGTTGCCACGGGTCCAGTTAGATCTAGCTAGTCAAGTCGTACGGGATGGTCATCCATCCACCTCTTGACGGTTGATATAGAAGTTACCTACACATCCCAAGACACTCCGTGTGTGGCCCATCAAAAAATGGTGAACATACCTTCTTTAAATTTGAAATGGGAGTAAAATTACCCATAGGATCCATGTATGCTATATATGGTAACATTTATCAATAATTATACCCCAAATGTTAGCATGGATCCTATGGGTTATGTAAGATGCCTACTTTCCCGGGCCAATGGAGTGTGCAGCTATGTGTATTATATATAAATATATATAACATAGAGAGAGAGAGAGAGTGAGCTGGGGTGTTTGACCTGACTATCCGAGATCTACCATGAGAATCCATGAGATGTCACGGCATAGCTGTCTACCATGGAATCTGAAGGATACAGATTCAAAAGGGGTTGAACTGTTCAAGCAACGTGCCTTCCACTTTGCAGTCAAATGTTGGCAGGAAACTTAGCAAAGGACATCAAAGGACAAGCTTTTGGTCAACAAACATTGGCCAACATGCCACAAATTCCAGTCACCTTCGCGAAAAACATTGAAGCTATATGGCTAGGAAAGATGGCTACCATGGATGGGACCAGGTTAGATCTTCGCGCTGTTGCTTGGCTTCCTCACCCCAAATCGACGCAAATCGCTCGCTCTTTGGATTTGAACGGATAATGTGGCGGTTCACCAAAGATTCTTTGAGCACGGGTAGATGGTAAATTCCAAATTTCTGGCTGTTTGATGGTAGATGGTAAATTAGTCACTTCTGGCTGTTATGCTGTTATCATCTTCCTAACATATCTTGGTGGACTGCAGCCAGATGCAAGATATGTCACCCCACTGACCAGACCCGACCAGGGAAGAGAGGAAGAAGTCGGCCATGGAAATGTTGATGCAGTGACTTGGACACTGGACACAGTGGAACTTTCTAGGGGAAGCATATGAATGACACAGACATATATATGTGTATATACATTTATGTATATATATATATACATAATTATATATTATGTATAGACTCTATAGGATAGACATATATATATACATATCACATGCCTTGGGTTATCCTTTTTAGAAATATCAAAACCAACCATTGATGGAATTGTAACGGTGATTTAATGGCATATGGCAGGATACAATGGGATTATAAGTGCTACAGAGTAAATCATTTGGGGAAATCATCTCCCAGAGGCGACCTTCGGATGGTTTCTTTGGGTCATGGGAACCTCCAAAAATCATGGAGGATATTCCAAATTTCTGTATAGCATCGATGGTTTGCGAGGAAGGCTTCATTCAAGAAGATTAGATGTTCCTGGTTCGGCGGGGGGCCCATGAAAATGTTCACTCGAACCTTTAATCTTTTGTATTTTTATCATAGAATTTGAGCACGTCCCCCCACTTCTTATTTTCATAGCTACAAACTGAGTGTTGCGCCATTTAACCTCCCAAAAATGGTCCAAACTCGTCGGAGTTTGGAAGATGATTTTCCACATGTTTCCACTAATAGATGGGTTGTTTAACTTTCCGAATACGCACAAGAAATCGGGTATTCGCCTCTGTTAATCAGACATGGTTTGATATACATATATATATACATATATATATATGTATATGTATACATACATATACATATATATATATACTGGAAAATCCAACCATTTTATTTATGTGTTTTTTCCCCAGCACTTGCTGGACCTCCATTGAGCTCGGTGATTTCCCAGCCTTGGTGACTGAAACCGGAGGCCATGAAAATCCCATGAAATTCCCGTTCGAATCCCATTCGAAACCTATGAAACCCTACAAATCCCATTAAATCCCATGAAATTCCCATTAGAAACCCATTAAATCCCATTAAATCCGTTTAAATCCCATGAAATTCCCTATAGAAACCCATGAAACCCAGCATTTTTGATGCCCGAGCGCGACCTTGACTTCCTTGGTCGCTTGGTCCAAGGCATCGTGAGGAACAAGACCGGCGGCGGCGAGAAGACGAGCTGAGACAGGAGCCACGACGGCATGGTAAAGAAAGAAAACGTGTTGATTTAACATATTCTGGATGGTGGTTTGGAACATTGTTTATTCCGTATATTGGGAATATTTGGGAATAATAATCCCAACTGACGAACTCATATTTTTCAGAGGGGTAGGTATACCACCAACCAGTATTTAACTATACCATCTATACCCAAGTATCTCAAATACATTTTTATTTAAGTCTGAATACATGATACATGATGATACATGGTGATTTCAACCGATCTCTCGAAGCAACTCCTATGTTTTTTTTTTTTACGCTCGCAGGCGCAGGAGGAGGAGGACATTGAGGCCGAGATCCGTAACTTGGTTCTTCATGTTGCCTAGGCCCTCCGTTTGTACCGTTAAGAATGGTGTTTTACCATGGTTTACCCCCATGATGTTGGTCCTTTTGCAACCTTTTTGGGGGATCGATCGAGGGTTAGGATGGACTCTAAGCGTTTCGACAGTTCATATTGGGTCTTGAATTCTTGACTAAGTAGATCTAAGCAGACCATTAGTCATCGCTTATGCATTGCATGTTGGTCAGTGGGATGGCCATGGATAGTTGGTACAGATCGAATATTTTGCTCCCAGGCTCCACATCTTGATGGCACCGATTTGGCAGGCCTATGCTCGGCAGAAGCGTGCATGGGAAGAGCGGCTGGCAAGAGAGTCAGAGACCAAGACATACCAAGATCTTGCACCTTGCCCTTGGAGATCTTGGATTTGTCTCACTCCATTGATACATCATTCTTGGCTTTTACATGCTTTTACATGCTTTTACCTTGTAAGTTCAGTACATTCATTGGAAGAAAGTGAGTGGTTTGGTAGCAGACTTTGACACTTCAATGGATGGACTCTGGACACTGGATCCAACCAGATGGAGACTTCAAAAGACCTCCATGCAGACTTTGGCATCGAAAATCACTGCCCTCTGGTAAATTAACAGTTGGACCCTGAATCCATAGCCTAGTTTTAATGGTTTCACTAATCTTCCAACCCCGATGACTGCGATGACTGCCAGGGTCGAACTGTTAATTTACCAGAGGGTAAATCTCTCAAAAATTCTGGGGCAAAAAGGCATCGAAAATCACTGCCCGAAGGGCCCGATCTGTTTTGGCTGCCCATTACCCTCAGTACCTCAGGAAGAGCGAACAAGATGCGAGCCGCTGGCGGCTCCAGCAGGTCAACAGTTTGGCAGATAACTTCCCTGCTAGAAGGGTTTTCTTAGAGATGCTGCTTCCTATTTCCGGGATGATGTTGACAAACTGAGTTCGTTTTTCAATTTAAGGACTATTTATACTAGCTTTTTTTATGTTTTTTTTTCTAATGTCTACCGCCAATTTCCTCCAAAGCACCGTGAATGTCATTGGCCCAAGTTCTTGAGACACGCTCTTGGACGAGCCGGACATAGGCTTAAGGCTCATTTGGAACCCCATTATTCTGTTCATTAAAATGATATGGGTATGGGTCAATACCTATAGATACATTTTTAGTGGGATGAACATCCATTTACCAGCTATTTTGGGGTTCACTAGGTACCAGGGTTTTGACCCATCCCCATATTGTGTTTGGTCGAAACAAACAAATGACCATTTTCTAGTTGCATAAACTATTCAGAAGCAACCCCACAAAGTACAGCTGCCATGCCTGACTTTCAGGGTTCAGAAACCCATGCTGTTGCTTACCATCCAATCATTCCTCACCTTTGTTGCTTGACATCCAATACACTCCATATATGAAACATATTGACACAGTTATGTCCCATTGCATCCCTGCGATACTGTATCTTATTGATGTTTTAGATCCCCATTGTACCACTATATCATCCCGAAAAAAATGCCTTTCTCTGTCGACCAACCAATTTACACAGGGTTGCTCCAACCCCTTTGAGGTAAATCATAGCCACCTTCATCAGAGACTTCTTAAGTCAAAACAGATTCTAACCTCCCTATTTTTCACATGATTGTTACCATCTATCAGATCTATATTACCTTTGTTTTCTTCCCCCAAAGGTATCCAATCAATGGGAATTTCAGGATCCTAGAATAGAGGTACCTACCATATATAAGGCCTATTTTTCAGGCCTATGTAAGGGAATATCCCCAGAAAATATGGCCTTATACATGGTACAGTCCAAAGGCGGGATTTGTTCGGAGCTCAGCGTCCCCGAAACCAGGAGATGCTGCGGCAGCAGAACCAGCGCCATCGCGAGGCTCAGGAGGTGGAACGCCTTCGCGAGGTGCCGTAGTGTCATGGGGATAGTCATGGGATAGTGGGCATGGTCAAAAGAAGAAGCAACACACATATGGAGTGAAGATGCTTGGATCTAGAAAAGAAAAATCTGTTCACATAACACCCTTGAGATTTTGTTTTTCACAACATGTTGCTAATCCAATCAGCCGGATCAAATCAGCCGAGACACACGAATCTTCAGGAAATCCGCCTTGATGTTTTCAGGGAGCACGCACCCGATCTTGATGAGACGAGTACATGTTACACCAATAACTGGTTGGTGGTTTCAAACATGACTTTTATTTTCAATGATACATGGGATGTCATCCTTCCCATTGACTTTCATATTTTTCAAGATGGTTAAAACCCAGTTGTTTCGGATGCAACCGCCATGGACCTTTCGGGGGCAAAAATCAGTCCTACAGGATGCTACTGATGCCACTTGGAGCAGCAGCTTTCAAGAGGTTTTTTTCTTTGAAAGACCTGGGGTATCCTTGGTCAGGATCTTTGGAGAGAAGAGAAGGAAGAAGAAGACAGGCGAAAAGAGCTGCTGAAGGTGCAGAGTTGTCATGTTTGAACAGGCTGCGAAATCGAGGCTTTGAGAGATTTGTTTGAGATTTTTTTGTTGAGATCTCCAAACATCGTCAGTTGCACAGTCGCACAGCTGAGAAGTCGTTTGGAGATAGTTCTAGATGATTTCTCAGTTCATCCACTTTCATTTTTGATGCCCGTTCTTGTAGGCAAGGAAGATTCTTGAAGACAAGCAAGAGATGCTGCAAGCCTACCAGGTCCGCCTTGTAGCATAGTTGATTCAGCTGATGTATCGTTGAGCAGTGGAAACCATCCATCATATCCATCATTGTTGGGCTTAAGTAATGGTTGCTCTATTACTTAAACCATGGTAATGTGTGTAAAACAACAATAAACCATCCCCCAAATCACCATAAATAGGTGGTATAAACTATCCCCAAATGGGTTATTTATTATTGTTTTACCCACATTAATCCATTATTGGTAATGTCATATCTTTGTTCATCCACGCTTGGTCTTGTCCTTCCATTTTCGCCTCGAGAAAGGAGCACCTTGAAAGGGAAGAGATCCGAAGGAAAAGGGAGATTGCCCAGGCCCATCATAACTACCCACTTTGCTGAATTTTGGTGGTGAATATGTATATTATATATATATAATTATATATATATCATTGATTTCAATTAATAATTAAGGTGTTTTGATGAACAAAAGATTCCCAGTATATTGCATATATTATTGGTTATGTCAAGTTTAAGATTGAAACCACCAACCAATTCGGATCTGATTTGGGTCTCAAATAGCCTATCCTGACAAATCCATGGTCTTAGCATGTTTGATCAAACAACCCAGCCATGTTGCTGACAGGACCGTGAATAGATTTTTTTGGGATGCGTATTGCATCTTAGACCTGGTTTGGCACAGTGACGCGGTGCTACTTTGAATACTCAGAAAAGATTATAGTCACAGTTGGCGTGTAATTATAGAATTGTTTCCCAGCACCAATCAATTGGGTTGGTCTGAAAATTCAGGGGCAAATCACTCAATCCACTGGCTAATCACCGTTATCCCCATTCGACAGCCATGAATTTAAGATTTAAATCTCTTGAAATCTCCCTTTCTGCACAGGAGCAGGAAGAGAGACAGCAGCTCATGGCCAGGTATGAGGAGGTGTCCTTGGGGATGCCAACTGAGAATACCAGAGATGTTTTTTTTTCCTGGTTTTATCATGGTTTTATCATCAAAATTGTTGCCTTCTATATATAATCAGGGTTCCAATTTGTATCAGGGGTTCCAGTATATTCAACATATTATGAGCATTGTTTGTGTGTTTGGCTGATGTAGTATAGTAGGATTTATACTACATGATTATAGCAACCCTTGGTAGGATACAATCTGTTGTGCTGTGTGGGTTGATATATGTTGCGAGCTGTTTGGTGGTTACTTTAAAACCCCAAAAGGCCTGAACCCTGGTTACAAACCTGAACCCTGGTTACAAAGCAAAATCGTTCATTGTTTTTGAACCATGCACAATTTGATTTGGGGGTATGCACCGGATTTTCAACGCTACTGGGATGCATTTATACCATGCCCTTGGCCCAAAGCAAAAAGAATAGACCAAGCACATGGAGACCCTGCCAAGCCCGACGTAGGTGTTGGGCTCCAAGGTCAGTTGCAATGGGCCAGCGATTTTCATTCCACTCGTTTGTCTATCAAGACACACATCTGTTGTTAGTCAAATAATTCCAGTGTGCACTTAAAGCTTAAAGCTCAGACTTTTTAGATTGTGCGTGCCCTCCGTCCATTGTTTAGCCATGCAGTGTTTGTACCAAACTTTGGATTTGCTTCCTTCTGCTACAGACAGTGAGATCAGATCAGCATACCGCCGTTGTGCCTTATCCACTCATCCAGATAAGGGTGGCTCAGCTGAAGCCTTTCGTTCGGTCCTCACTGCCTTTGAGACCCTGATTGATAGGAGCCAACGAGCCGCCTATGACCAGCTCAGTCGTTCCACGTCATCCACGGAGCCTGGTGGACTTGGATCTGTCAGAAAGGATCTTCCAAAGAGGCCAGCGGAAGCAGCGAAATCGGTCCGGCCGCCCAAAGTCAAGCGCCCCACACCAGCCAAAGATGCCAAAGACGCTCCAAAAAAGCCGACACCGCCGCGGCGGAAGGCGCCACCAGCCGCAGCTGAAATGGAGATGGAGGGCGGTCCGATGGATCATGCAGTGGAAGAGTTGCAGAAACTGACTGAAGAGACGCTGAATGCTTTTGCAGGATTCCTGCAGTCTGAGGAAGTTGAAGAAATTCTGCGCGAGTCCCTCATGCTTCCCATCCTTGCCCTGCAAGATCGTCCCAAAACTCAAAAGTGCGCACCTGCTTCTGCCAAGTCCATGAAGAAAAGCAATGAGACGAAGATGCAGAAGATGCCAAAGCCTCCCAAGGCCCCTAGGGCTGCGAAAGCTCCCAAGCAGAAGGGCTTCGAATCTAATCCTGCTCGTGTTGCGCAAACTGTGCTCAAAGGTGTCACGAAGAAAAGAAAGTCATATCGGCCGAGCATCAGTTTGTTCAGAGGCTTCTTGGCTGCCGGGCAGTACGTGAGCAGTCTGGATGTGGCCATTGACATGCACATATGCCTGGTTCAGATGCGCCAACATATAGCAGCTGGTTTGGCAGAGGGCAGGGACCTCAAAGAAGTGGTGCATGGTGCTATCAATGCCGCTCAAACAGAGCGAGCTGCTGCCGGTGCTGTGAATTTGCGTTTGCGTTTCCAAACTTACTTCAGGCACAAGTTCACGCCGATCGTTCATGATTTGGACACCGCCATCCAAGATTGGCTGCGGAAGAGGGATCTCAAACAGCTCTTAGGAGGAGGAGAGAGAGCTAGGCTTAAAGCGCTGTACAAGCAGAAGCAAGCTGAAAAGCGAGCGAGAGTCCAACACGGCCGCTTGTGCGCAACAGTACAGTTGCTGCAGACAGGTTTCCAGAAAACTCGAAGACATAAGCTGTTGAAAGCTTGGGGTGTTCCCGAGCTACCAGAAGGATTGCAACTGAGCAGCTTTCAATCAGATGACGACAGCCTCTGTGTGACGCTTCGCTTGTCTGATGGTACCGAGGTAGCGTGTCCAAAATGGCAAAAATACATGCCAACAAAGATACATCACTTTGAGTGACGACAATATGTACCCCCATGCCCCTTATTAACACCTCGTATATGGACCCCCATAATCATAGATTCGGTAATTAGGGGATTACCTAGACCCGCCAAATATCACCACTATAGAATATGCTAAACTTGTGAATAAAACACCATTCAGGTCTAGGTATGCACATCGAACAAAGACATGTTGAGTATTGTTGAGTTGTTGGCCAACCATTGGCCAACCATTCACCGCCATAGGCCGTGGGTCCGTATCGCCAGAACTTCCAGCAGGCCCTCCGAGAACTGCAGGAGCTACGTGCCCTGCAGAAGCGCCGAGGCAGTGAAGCTCTGCGGTCAGAGATGCAACGACGTGACGTGGAAGCCATGACGGCATTCTTCGTGCAAAGCATCAGCTGAGATCACCGGTAACGTATCACGTTGTGGAAAAAGAAACCACCGAGGATGGCGGGTTGGAGTGAGTATAGATCAATAGTATTCAATAGTTGATCAATATGGGAAGAATGTGAGCTGCAAAGATGGGGACCCCTCCCTAAAATATCTAAAATCCCAGTTTGATCGAGTGCAATGCTGCTAAGATGCACCAAGTCCCTAACAACTTCCGGACCGTTTCTGGTTGCTTAAAGAAACGCATTTGCAACACGTTGTTGACCCCCCATTCCCATTTACAAGGAAACGTGGATGAAATATACGCATACTCATTGCTTGCTGCTTTCTAGTTAAAAAAAAAATGTTGCTTTCTAGTTACATTGTATTCGCTATTCTTACTGCAGGCTCCACCTCCCATGTTTTTTAGTGAAAAACATATGTTTGATGTGTTCATTGGTGAAATCCCCATGTTTGCGGGTTAAATCAAACTGTTTGACGAGTTTGATGCTTAACAGCACCATGTTTGCTGGTGAACCCCCATACATTTGCTCTGTAAATCTCCATGTTTATCAGTGACAGGACAATCGCCTGAATCAGCTGAGCGATCAGAAACGACGCATCAAGATGCAGGTGGCTGTGAATTCATGAAACCGGAAGTGGCAAAAATGGTGGTTGTACAAACCAGATTTTGGTGTTTGAGTACATAAAAATGTACCCCAAACCCAATAACATACTGTAGTTTGTCCACAAAAATTGGTACTTTGCAGTGCTTCACCCAGTCGTGGGTTTTTTTTTGGGATCAATGAATATGCGCTGGAAAGCAACAGCAATATGGCCATCATCCACATTTTTAACCTCAACCTGTAGGAACCCTTTGAGTAGGGGCAGATCCCATACATATTCTATCCTGGCATTTTTTTGTTGGCAGATAGACCTACCCTCTGGTTATTTAACATAGCCATGGAAAATGGTCCATTTATAGATGGTTTACCTATTAAAAATGGTGATTTACCACGGCTATGTTAAATAACCAGAGGGTATCAGGAATGTTTTCCCAATCGCACCCGCATGGGTCGACAGGAATATCGTCGTGCTGTGGATCATCAGATGGAGGTCTAGTTGTGTCTGCCGGGGACATGGAGGTCTTGAGTCTTAATAGTATATTTATTCTATGTAGGCAAGATCTTTGGAGCTGCAAATTGAATGATTGGACATCTTCAAGTAGGCAAGATCTTTGGATCTGCAAATTGAGTGATTTGACATCTTCAACATTCTTAAACAACCTGAAAATCTTCAAAGGAATTCTACAGGTCGGGCCGAAGCTCGCAGGAGAGGAGGCAACTTTATGAGGCCGAGCGACAGAAGGAACGGGATGAGCTGGCGCGGATGAAAGCTGAGGAGGCACCAGAAACTTTGGCATTTCGGGCGTTTGGGAAGGGAATCAACTCAGGGATCATTGGAAAGTTAGAATTTGGAATGTGATGGAATGTGTGTATGCAACTGGAGATTATCATAGTTTATCCCATTTCTCACTGAGACCATCTGGGATGCTGGAAAGAATTGGAGCAAAGCCTCGTGTATTTGCCAACATTAACGCGGAAGTTTCAGTTCATTCAACATGCTATATATCTGAACCCACGTGAAACCATATTTACAAGTGATAAGAACCCCAGCGAGAAGCTTAGGATATGATATTTGTCTATTTTTTACCCAAGATTTGACCCAGGAATTATTCAAATTTCGAGCGTTTGGTGGTTTCAATTCCAGTTTCAATTTCCATACCACGTAATGCCTGCAGCAAGCAGTATGACTTACCCTCTGGTAAACTAACAGTTTGCTATGGAAAATCACTATTTTTAATGGGTAAATCCACTATAAATGGCAATTTTTTCAATAGCTTTTTGTATGTTTACCAGATGGTCATATGCCAGGGGTCCGATGGTATGACCTAGCTGCCCTGTTCAGATCTGTTCAGCTTGCCGCAGGCGGAACAAGCCCGCATCGTTGAAGAAGAGAGGCAATCCTTGTGGTGCACTGAGATGGCCGGTGCTGGTAAAAAAAAGCATACTTCTGAATGATTTAGTTGTGTGTTCTTTCTTGACCTTTGGTTGAATATGAATTTCATATAATGTTGTTTTTTTTTGTGATTTGAGAATATGTTCCACCAATTTTCCTCCGGATATCTCCAGGTTTTATCAGAGAAGAGCCACCATGAGCAGCCAACCGAGGCTGAGGATGTTTGCTCAGGATGCCAGGCCCAACCCCGATGTTTCGCATGAACGTTTTCTGAACACATGGAGAAATGTCGACAGTTTCACAACATCCGAGAACCATGCCAATTTAATCGAAATTGTATATGTTCTTCTAGTTTGCAGAGATGTAACGTCACATTTGACAACATGTTACCCTCTGGTAATTTAACATAGCTTTTGAACATGGCCATTTATAGTTGATTTTTCCCATTACAAATGATGATTATCCATAGCAAACTGTTAGTTGACCAAAGGGTAACCTGTTTTGCTGAACTTTGTTTGTTATTTTCTCAACGGTCACATGAAGTCACATGGCCCATCTGGCCCCACCAAGTTTTTTGGCACCCAACATGAGAGATTCCTATGGGGCGTTTGTTGCCATGGTTTGAAATTGATGGGTGTAACATGGTGAAAGAACTGCGCGTCTTGTCGGGTTGGATGATGATTGAGATGTTTCTTCTTAAAACGCGTGGACCGGCAAAAACAAAATGTTGTAATGAATGGGGTATTCCTTGCAATTCACAGCAACAAATGGTAATATATGGTAATTATATGTATAATTATATAATGTAATTCACTTCAATTAAACCTGACCGTCAACCATAAATCAACCATAATAAATCTGGCCGGCACACAGAACCATCCCATTTTCGTTCGCCGTGCGCCGGTGCGCCGGTGCGCCAGGCACTTTCCCAAAGGAGCCCTGGTGAAAGCAGCTGACTTCGAAGCTGTCCTGGAGCTAAGTGGGGCAGTGATTTTTAGATGATCAGAGGATGGGAAAAGGATGGAAAAAAGAAGATGCAAGGAGATGGATGATAAAACATGTCTAAGTATGTCTAAGTCATGAATTGTGACCCATAGTCTAAATGCTTGGCTGATTTCCAATGAACCCGGGTTCGCAGCGGTGGACCCAAGTGTTCACCATAAAAAAAGGTTCCAAGGCCCAAGCTCTTTCCATCAGGTCGGACTGCCAAAGCCCTTCCAGCCTGAAGCCCGACCGATGCACCAAACTCGGATCATCAACGATCACCATCTCATCACCATAGTCATCATCGTCATTCTCATCGCTGGTTGGTGGTTTCAAAAAAAAAGGTGAAGCACCCATGTTTGTGAAACCACCAATGTTTGCCATGATTGTTGGTTCACATAATATTTGCTTGCACCCAAACTATCCCAAACTATCCCAAACTATTTAATGAACAACTGGTTTCATCACTATTTTGGGATCATTCATTTAATTAATGTTGAAGTTTATTGGCAGTACTTTTTTGTTGTGCTGAAACCATCTGAAACCAGCAGTCCCATCAGCAATCCCATGCGCCCCCGGAAACGAGGCAAAGGAACAATTTGGGTCTTCCGCCCTATCCAGCAGCTTGGCAGGATTTTTTTCGGGATCGCCTTGGACATATCTGGAATACACCAAGATCCCAAGACATGTAGATTATGGGGTGAGATATGTTTTTTTTATGGGTCAATGGAGTATATAGCAACCCTGAAATGGCCCCACCAGAAAAGGATCATTTCTGAGAGGAATCATGCTAGACGTGGCCTTGGACCTTGCTTGGGATTGACTATTGTGAATCCCGCCGATGAATATTGAGATTGAGACTTGAAACCACAAGGATTGGATGGTTCAATCACAGAGGCAAAACTATTGAACAAGAGATATCCAAGGATTTGCTTAGACTGTTCCTTGGACCGGAGAGATTCTTATGCAAAGCCAATGGACTTTGGAGTCTTCGGAGTGGTGTTTTCATCCCAGCCAATTTGAAAGTCATGACAGTTTTGACCCTGGCTACTGTACCACATTGTACCACCAATCAATCCTTAGCTGGCCCAGGATTTTTGTTGATCCCCCAAAGAAACGCACCCTTGGCCCTAAATATGGCCTGGAGCTGAAATATTGTCCATGTTTCTCCGATCAGAAACCAGATTTTGTTGAGGAAGATCTCCATCAATCGGAGATAATTATGGATAATACATGATAAATACAACTATGAGTTGGTGTCTACGTACATGAAAGTGTGTATATAAATAAAACACCCCTGCTTGGCATGTAATCATACAATAGGATAAACATTATTTTACTATATGTTTACCTATCGATTCTAAATTCATGTCCGTTGTTTATCACCGTTATTAATAGATCCCACCTCCAGCGGGACGCTTAAAAAGGTCCGTCAACGTTCTGCGCCGACGCCTGCATTTCAACCACCAGCTCGTCGTTGAGGACAGCCAGAGAATGGAGATGTGCCCTAAACTGGGAGATACCCGAATCTTATGGCCTCGTTGGCTAAGCTGGTTGATTTCGCTAAGATTTAAGTCACTATATATACTATAGGGATCTATAGGCCGGTTTAGGGTAGGGGAAAAACATAAAGGTCTTCAACCATCAAATCTCCGGGGGGTCAGGGGTTAAAACTAAGCACCAACCACCAACCAGTAGATCATTGAACAAAAAATGAACTCGGGAATCCCAAAGAAAACTGAAATCGGAATCGCGTGTCGCAATGTGAAGAAACCGATGGGTTTGAAAAGCCACATGTAGGTTGCCAGGGGTGCATGCGCGGCAATGTATCGCTAGGCCCTGGCAGAATCAAGCTGGAAGCGCTAGACTCCCAATGTTTCTGCAAGTGTCCCCAGCTTCTTTGGAGAATTAAGAAATTGGTTTGGATGATAACTTAGAGGAAATTCCCAAATCCAATGAATCATAGATTTCCCTACTGAAATTGCCACCATGTAAATAATTTTCAGATCCCTTCAATGATTCAAACAGTTAGAAGCATTTGGAAACAGATTCTTTGCTCCTTCCCTTTTGTCTACTTGGTCAATACCCGGGCTTGTCTGAAAATGGAGGATACCAATAGTATCACAATGTTCCTGGAAAACATGGTGAAAAACTATAATAAAAGAAGCAAATTTGGAGATACCGTATGATGCAAATCCCTTTCTTGTCAAATCTTGTCAACCTCCTCCGATCTTTGAATTTGAGAGGACCCTTTTGGAGCGGCAAAAGACCGCAGCCCGCGCAGCCCGCGCCGAATAATTCAAGTGTCTCTCACGTTGCACACCACACAAGCTCCAGATGCTGTAAGATCTAAAACCAGGAATTCACTTAGGAACCATTTGTTCGTTCCCTGCAAAAAAACTGGGCAGCAGATTTGGATATCTTGTTTCAGAAGCACTGGGCCTGTTTTGTGGGCAGTTTTGTGAAGCAGGAGTTCCGTGTGGGATGCGTTGTACAGCTTGAAATCACTGAGTTGGGACGTTGAACTCGGGATCTTCAACAGAGACACAGTGGCACCTCGGCTGCGAAGATGCTCCAAGCATGGTTTCACAGCCATTTGGAGGTTCCAGGGCACCAGATGCAGGCGAAGCATCGAAAAATTAGACCTGAAGGGCAGATTACATGGGTTATGTTGTATGTGTTGACATGTTTTTATATAATGTTTTTCTGCGGCTGAACTTGAGCTATCAATGGGGAATGTAATACCAAGCTGGAAATTAACCAAAACTAACTTGTTTGCTGGTTATCTAAAAATTATTGGTCATGTGCAGGTCCCAAGTTGTGGTTGTTTTTTTTGATGTGCCAATGAAAGAGGTCAGGGGTGCATCTTGGTCCACTAGCATTGTGGCCAAATTGCGGCACTAAGACACTAAGATTCTTCAAGGACTGTAGAAGGGATCGCTGGGACGATGTTTTTCGGAAAGAAGCTCATAGGCCTAACTTGAAGGTAGCCTCACGTATTGAGAGCTATTGCTGAAATGGCCATAACTCACAACTTTCTTTTGCCTGCAAATTTTGATAAGAAAAGAGACAGGAGAATAGGGTCCACTGGTACACCATTGTTGTACCATATCCACATGGGTAAACTAGTCCCATCTATTCCCCCTAGTCTCTAAAGGTTTCTCAGAGGCGACTGTTCGTTCGCAAGAGCTTGCAAAGCTCAAGGCAACGTCATGAGTCAGGAACCACAAGCTAAATTGGAGCACTTGTCACTTGAACTTGTTCTTGAATGCAAGAACCCAAGCACCGGAATATTCATGAAACCACTGGTAAAGCTTTAGTAAACATCAGCACTACCAAAAAGTTTTTCGAAGCTCGCCATGAAGATGTCTGGAAAAGCTGCAGATTGGTCCCAAGCTCAGGAAGATGGATGGATACTACCAGCAGCTTTTGTTGGTAGATGGTGTTTTCTCCCCAAGTTTTGTTGGTTAAATCAGCCTGGGTTTTGTAGATGTATCTTTCCTGGGGAATCCACTTGGGGGGAATTTAAACTTGTTTGTCTTTACTTGTTGGGGCCATCGGGCCAGCAAATCGCTTAGTCCCTAGCAGCTCAGGCACAGCAGGGAAGTGGACGAGAGGTCAGCATTGTCATCCTCTCCTAGCGAGTAAATGTTCATCAAACAATGGAGGATGTAGTATAGGTATGTAGCCAACGAATTTTGGTTGGGGTTCAGATTCCACGCTCCATCCCTCTGTGCGATGACATGGGATGTTAACCCCCAATGTTGGGTGGAGATAGGTTGAAGAGAACCGGCTCAAGCTGTGCAGCGGCTGGCTCCGTGTGCAATTCACCACAGCAACTTCCATAAAGTTCCCGATGTTCGATGGGACAACGCCTTTTCCCGAAGGCTTTTCCCATCCATATGTCTTGACATTACAGAGAAAAAACCATGAAAAAAACATGTCCCATCTGATAGTGTCTTGGAATGTCAACTCAAAGATCCTCAACATGTTCATGTCATGTCCGACAAGGATTCCAAAAAAAACACCCCCGCCAGGATCTTGGAACCCTCCATGCCCGCACTTCAGAGTTCCAAGATGTTCCAAGAAAAATCCCTACGGTTGGACCCGGTTGGATACCCCCAAGTTCTTCCTTCAGTTCCCCATGTTCCAATCATTAGATAATTCTAATAATATTGGAACATCTGGATTATCTGATGATTATCAGAAAAGATTCAATTCTATGCTAATCATGATCCAAATATGATCCAGTTTTTGGAACATAAACATTATAATTTTCCTGTACAGCCGGTTTTTTTTGATCTTAACATGTTTCCCATAGGATTCCGATGTTCCGTATGGGATTCCAGACATCATCCTTTTAAGCTTTCCCATCCCATCGCGCGAGGTTTCCTAAAATAGAATGGGCTGGGCCCCCCTAGTTATCATCCATTGATAGACATGGATTGAAGCTAAGTCTAAGTATCATTCCTTTTTTTGGTGATTTTCCATGAAAATAAAGCATCCAGCCAGTATCCAGTGGTGTACCCTCTGGTAAACTAACATAACTATGGAAAATCACTATTTTGCATAGGTAAATCAACTAAATCAACGATTTTCATGGGCCATGTTCAATAGCAAACCGTTACCAGTGACTGCCAGTGGCACTACCCCCCCTTCGCCACCTCCATGGTCCGTAGCCATGGCGGAGCCCACGCGGCTCCCGCAAGCCCTGCGCGAACTCGAAGCCGCCATCGATGCGGAGGTGGACTTCGCGGTGTTGCGCGCGGTGCGGCAGCGCTTGAACGAGAGGTGTCAGATGGGATATGAGCTATGGTCAATACTCATGGTTGATAACCATTAATAGGGGCTAGTCATCCAATGGTTCATAGGGATTTATAATAACCATTATAAGGATCCTTATTATGGATGGGATGACCATCAACCATATAGTGAGTATTGACCATGGCTCATATGATGGGATGGTGGGGGGCTGGGGGTGAAGATGGTTTTTGTTGGGATATGTATGAGATGTAATGTCAACCCTGGATTAATAAACCCCTAGGCTGTTTAATTGGGAAGGTACCATTTAAGTATCAAATCATGACTATTAGGGGAATACCCCCCCAATTAATAAACCATGGTTTATTAATCCGGGGTTGACATTACACGATTAATGATTCATGGATATTAATGGGTATGGGATTATGGGTATATTAATGGTGATGGTTTTCTTACTGGTGCTAAACGCAGGGAATTTTTGGGAATGATCCACCGGCGAACTATCAATAATCATCCCAGCAACCCCCATTCCCATCCATTCCCTACTAAGCATCAGTAAGTTGTTGTTGGGATATGTATGATATGTACTGATTAATGGGTATGGGATTAATGGGCATATTAACTGGTAATGATGAATGGTATTTTTTTGATGGGTTCCACTGGGATTTGAACGGAATTGAATGGTATATTAATGGGTGTTCATGTATTTTGGTGCTATATGAATTGATCGTTCATGAAATTTCATGGGTATAAATGGGGATATCATCCAAACATTTGGCTAAGATTTCAAGTTTAGCTGAGCTATTGATGCCATTGCCCAGATGGGTGATGCCAAAGTCTGGCGGTGAAAGAGTTGGACAGTTGGATATCAGGTGGCCATGGAAGCCAAAGTTCTGGGAAGTAAGTTGGATGTTTTGTTCATTGGTCAAGTTGTTTGATGTTGAAACACATATGAAAAAAAAAAACGCGTTTGTAAACCAACATAGCTAGTGATAATGGCCATAGAAATAGTCAATTTACTCATTAAGCATGGTGATTTTTCATAGTTATGGTATTGGAGAGGCCCAGGAAAAGTGTTTTGGACTGAAATGGGAGTTGCAGGAATAGACAGATTTGATTAGTTTCGGCCAATTGTTGGGTGACAACACTCCCAGTGTTCAACCAAATCACTGGGGCCTAACATCCATTTTACCTATTCCGCTGCTTATGGTAGACACACACTGTGGGACACATCATCATCATCATCATCATCATCATCATCAGGTTGCTTATATAACTTATTATATATCCCAGTTATATCCATAAAAATCCATGAGTTGCATCGCCATGTTTGATGATTTTTCCCACGCATATCGCCACCATTTCTCGTCGCCAGGCTTACGGCCCGAATCAACCAGCTGGAGGCCTTTGAAGTGCCTGGGGTGGAATCGTCGGAGTTGGGCGGAACTGCGCCCTTGGTGGTGGTGGCCCAAGTGTTCAGTGAAGTACTGGAATTTACCATACTTGGAACAGACACAGACACATATTAATTGAAAGATAGTGAAAAGCGATTTAGAACTGTATGATTTAACATAATCGATATAGGATCTTTAAAAGTATTGAAACAACACTTGCTTTCTTGTATCAACCATCTCCATATACATTGTGGTACTTAATGACTTGATCCACACAAGATCGATCAGAGCAGCTGCCTGTGCTTGTCTCATCTTTCAAAACCATTCTGAAAGACAGGACCTAGATCCTCCTGAAATACCTCAAAGAAACGGTCAAGAAATGGTCAAAGTATGCCAAAATCCTCAAATTCTGGGGTGAAACCAGAGTTTCTGGCTGAATTATATTGAATTATAATCATTCACGAGTTCATGCCATGTGAAAATGATTCCCCTCTGGCCATTCCTTTGTGACTGAAAACGACACCAAGGTGACCCTTGTGCGACCCAGTGGAGATTTGCGGGTGGTCTCTGGTTGTCTCCCAGACGATGCCTTGGATTCCTTTCGGGACCATGCCTCCAGGCGCAAAGCTGGCAATGGAGAACCGCTCGAAATTGAGATGATTCACTTGTTGAACATGGTCATGGAACCCATTGATGGAACCCATTGAGGAAAAATTGCTCGAAATTCCGAAATGCTGACCAAAAAACCATGACCAAGAGAAAACTCTGCCAGCATTTCAGACAGGCTTTAGAGAACGGCAGCTAAGTGGTTTCAAAATGTTTCAAAGGCTGTTGTGATGAGCATCGTGCCAACCTGTGGCAGCCAACTCGTTGCAGGGAGTTTGCTCTTCCACGAGATGCGGTTCTTCTATGTCGAGGCTCCAGGCAATTTGGACAACGAGACTTGCACATGTCCCTGGCAGATCTAGGGATTTGTGCCTTGGTCAATGTGAAGTCAGGGATTGGAGTGAAATGGACCCAACAAAGGGAAAACCATTTCATAATACGAGTTAAGTAAGAGCATATTTATCATGACAACAAGCATTGCAACCTCCAGACATGATTGATTATCAGGTGCCTACATAGCATGGCATAGCTGCTTTTGGACCTTAACATTGGCAGCTGTGACAACGGCTCAAAACCGAAGGTTGAGTAATAATTGAGTAGTTTTACTGATCCTTTTATGGAGAATATTTAGATTTGTTTGATAATTAGGTGCTCTTAAATCGATTGGCTCATCATCCCCATCCCTATTAAGATGCCATCGGGGGGTCCATAGCCCATTTTTGGACTGGTTCAGCTGATAAAGCTTCAACCCCACAGAACAATCTCTAAATGTAAAATGACCCATTTTCTGAAGCTACTGCAGCTACTTGAAAATGGTGGTTTTACCAACCATTGACACCGGGGTAGAGTGAGTCATTGGCATTGTCCTGGCTACGTCATTTGCATTTTCAGTCACCGCACGTGTAATTCCCAGACGATTCCAGGTATGCTAGATTTGCCAACACTTTACCAGGGAAATTGCCCATAAATTGCCCTGAAATGGAGGATATGAATGTTACAGAACTGCCGTAATGCACATCCGGGATGATGTCTTTCACACATTATGGTCAATGGATTGGTGTAAGGGAAAATCTTAACCGGAAACTCCGGAAACCATCGATTTTCCCATGAAGATCATGGGGCTTAAACCAGTATTTTTTTCCCTTAAACCAATTTGTTGATATGGAGGTTGCCGTCGAAACTTCCATCACCACCTTGCCGTTTTTCAGGTCAAGGTGCTGAATTGACGTGCCTTCATGATGCGTTGTGTCGCAGGCACAAACACCACAAGTGGATTTTCGCACATGAGGGCAGGGGGGCAGGCTAAGTGGATATATGATATATGGGGATTTACCATCTGGTTATGACTCACATAACTATGGAAAATCACCATGTTTAAGAACGGTAAACCATCTATTTCTATGGGCCATCTATACCATGGCGAACTGTTAGTCATACCCAGAGGGTAACCATGACAAATATCGGGAGATAACCAGCGATATGATATCTGGCTCTATCTGAAAACGGGGGAGAAATAGCCATGGATTTTCGTAGGGAAAACAATGAGATCCAGCGAGGTAAACTGCAGGGCCATCCTGGATTTCTAGATCCCAACTGGAAGAACCTCTGAAGAGAACCTTTTGGGGCCGTAGGGTCAGTTCCAACAGGAAGATATCTCCAGTTTCATTTGGAACAGAAAAAACAAAAACATTTAGGTGCGAAACCATGAAAACTGGGGGTTCTGTTTTCTACCCCAATTATTTGGAGATCAAACCGAGTCAGCAACCGAGTCAGCCTTACCGCGCCGCGATTTGTCGCACCACCAATCTCCGAATGTGTCGCACCTCCCAGAGGTGGCAAAAAGATGATCTGTGGCTCCCAAAAAAAAATGAATAAAAAACACACAACTGTTTGAAGTGGAGATGTTCAATGAACATAATGAACATAATGAACATAATGAACATAATGAACATAATGAACATAATGAACATAATGAACCATCTATACATTATTTATACATATTTTTACAATTTATACGAAAACATGTTATATATCTCGAAAACATCTTGGATTTTTGCGGTGTGTGCAGCTGCAATAGGTACTGACGGCTTCGAATTGCAGAAGAAGCTTGTGAATGGGAAGCGTTGATTTACAACATTGTAACTGGACTGAGCTATGTTTGCTGTATAATTAATCCTTTCCCCCTATTACTAAACGTCCACCAAATACTAAAAACTAGGGTCCATCTCCCAGTTCGGAAAATTTCAGGTTGGCCAATTTGACTTTTAATTGATCCCCTTTAGAAAACAATTTAAAAATAAAGCTACCATTTGTGGGTTCTGCCCCCTATATAATAATAAAAACTATAGTTATCCCCGGGGTGTTTAGTATTAGGGTCCGTCCGATTTTTTTTAATATTATAGGGCTTTAAATTTATTATTAGGGCACGCTTCGAAATCCAATTTTAGCAATATTTTAATTGCGTTATATAAGGAAGTTTAATTGATTTTCAAATCAAACAAACTAGTTTTTATTATTTAAGGTTTTTAATTTTATTAATAGGGTCCGCTTCGAAATCCAATTTTTTGCAATATTTTAATTGCGTTATATAAGGAAATTTAATTGATTTTCAAATCAAACAAACTAGTTTTTATTATTTAAGGTTTTAATTTTATTAATTAATAGGGTCCGCTTCGAAATCCAATTTTTTGCAATATTTTAATTGCGTTATATAAGGAAATTTAATTGATTTTCAAATCAAACAAACTAGTTTTTATTATTTAAGGTTTTAATTTTATTAATTAATAGGGTCCGCTTCGAAATCCAATTTTTTGCAATATTTTAATTGCGTTATATAAGGAAATTTAATTGATTTTCAAATCAAACAAACTAGTTTTTATTATTTAAGGTTTTAATTTTATTAATTAATAGGGTCCGCTTCGAAATCCATTTTTTTGCAATATTTTAATTGCGTTATATAAGGAAATTTAATTGATTTTCAAATCAAACAAACTAGTTTTTATTATTTAAGGTTTTTAATTTTATTAATAGGGTCCGCTTCGAAATCAATTTTTTTGCAATATTTTAATTGCGTTATATAAGGAAATTTAATTGATTTTCAAATCAAACAAACTAGTTTTATCTAGTTATTATTATTTAAGGTTTTAATTTTATTAATAGGGTCCGCTTCGAAATCCAATGTTTGGCAATATTTTAATTGCGTTATATAGGAAATTAATTGATTTTGAAATCGAACAAACCAGTTATTACTATGATTATTATTAGTTTTTAAAATTTATATTAATAGGGTTCCCTAATAATAAATACCACCCTAATAATAAAAACTACCTGAGGTGTTTATTAAAAGGGGGGGCGTTTAGTATTAGGGGGACAGGATTAATTGGTTGCACGTTGCATGTTTTCTTGCAATTCATGTTATGATGATCAGGAACTGACCTTCATTTGTGTGATATTGAAACCACCTAGCACTTTCTTTGCTTCCAAAGGCAAGCTAGTCAGCTATGATTCTATGGCAGCCGTTGTCTTGTCCACAACTATCCAAGGAGCTGTACGACCAGTTCAACCACTTGATACAATTCGATGGCCTTTCAGTTGCAATACATGTTTCTACGCCGAGGCCCTTTGCTCAAAAAGGTGCCAAATCCATACCTTGATCAGGTTGGCATAGCCTTCAGAAGGGTCGAGGTAGACATTGCTCCTCCAAGTTGGTCTGTAACCCACTGTAAGCCTGTGCAGCACTGGACAGGTTCTTCAAAACCTGTAGAACTGATAAAGCCGTTCGTTGTCTTTCTTTGGAGTTTGATTTTGGAACATTCCCCAACAACGGGTATCATGTAGATTCATGTAGCCTCCCATCCTGTGAGGTATAGAAAGCATCACATCCAATGGTGAAAGGAATGGCGTCAACATTGCTCGCAACGCCTTTGATGGTCATCGCGATACTTACTGGGACAGATGGGCCGCTGGCATGGGGAGATCATGGGACTGTGGAAGCAGCGGATGAACATCCAGCCGGTCGTTTCCAGCTATTTTGATGTCGATGGTTACAGGATTTTGAGCCTTAACATGCCTTAACTCTACGAAGCATTGCCAATTGCATTCAATATAAAGACGCCATGCGGATGTGAGATTTGGGCGGGAGATTTTTAAACAATGCGTTGACAATGCGGTGACAATGCTCAGAACCAGGAATCCACAGGGCACTGCAGATCCATTCCACATCATTCCACAGATTCCATCAAGATACCAGGCTTTGGTAAATGTCCCATGGCTTGGGGATTTTGAACATCACCAAAACAGCCGTATCTGTTGGAGATTATATCCCCTATATATCCCCAATATTTGGGTGATGTGACGTGAAACATCCGGACATTTACCAACCCCATCCTGCGAAGCTTTCAGCACAGGAGACACTCTTTGGCAGCGTCAAGATTGGGACCTCGGTCACTTGTACCTTGCGCCACCCGGCGTCGAGATGTGGGGTTGATGATCCACAGGGCTTCTCATGGGGAAATCGCTTTGGGGTTTCATGGGGTTTCCTACTTTGGCAGACCACACTATATACCCTCTGGTTTTTTAACAGTTCGCCATGGAAAATGACCCATAGAAATAGATGGTTTACCTATTACAAATGGTGATTTTCCATGGCAAACTGTTAGTCATAACCAGATGGTAGATCATTCATATGTTTATCTTCACACTTGCCTGAGTCCACTTTCGCTTCAAGGGATTCCAGGCGGTGTTTCGTTGGCGACTTCAAAACAGCAAAAAGTCCGCAGGACTTCCAGAGAAGTCTTGGCCCGTCGTTTTTCTGGTCATTTACCAGGAATTCAAATAACATCTGGGTAAATTTGATCACGACCTCACGTCGCGACCGAGCCCTGGAATCATGGTTTATTTTCGGGAAATCATCCCCTTTCCCCTTTTATGGCCTTAATTCAAGGTAGTGAAATATTGTAATTTACCCAGATCTATGACTATATACGATTATGCACGCATTGCATGTTGGATAGAACTTCAATTTCAATTCATTTATGGGTGAAACTTTCAAAGCCCTAGGATCACCAGAGGGATCCTTTTTCGGTTAATGATATTAATCCATCTTCAACAACATTCAATAACCATTCGGGTAATCAATGCTGCTACTGGTAATTTGACGCCTAGTGTGCATGTTTGCAATTTGAGGCAATTAATTCACGTTGCCCGTAACGTCCAGCCATGATTTCTATGAACAAAAGTCCCAAGGAGAGCATGCCTCCATTCGACGCATTCGTGTTCGGCAAGGTAATGCAGGACATGGCTTGGAATGTGGATGGTGCGAGGAAACCAGCAACCAGGGTGAATTGGTGGATTGCAGTCAATATTTACAGGACACCACATGGTTTTTTACCTCAGTGACTGGCCTCAGTGCAAATCTTTAAATCAGATTGCAAAGAGCCAAAGAGCCATTTAGGTTGGAAGCTCAACAGACAATTCTTGAACTGGCTTACAAGCCCTGGAACTGGGGCTATGATAGAACATCATGATAATAAATAGAGAATCAGGATATTATACAGATACAATTAGATTATGATCTAAAAACATCATCATCCTAGTTAAATTATTTGTTTTCACCAGAAGCCCCCAGTGGACTTGACTGGGCAGTGGACTTTGGCCTGAGCCCAGGAAATGCAATCAAGGCCTTCGATGTGCTTTGCTCAGAGGCATCTCTGTGGGTGGCTGATTTATTAATGTCATTCTCCATACTGCAGCATTACTATATCCAATAAAGATAACATATTAATGAAATTTAATGGACATAATTATCCCTTCCTGTAGGAATAATGAATCACCGTGGGTCCCCAAACATGATCATTTCCAATACAAAGGTTTTTGGGGTTGCTTCTACATGAAGGGGAAGGGATTCCCTGTTTTCTCCTGGAGTAGTGAAACACTGCAAGCAGCAATGGCTGGTTGACTGGCAGATTCAAGTAGACTAAGTAGACCTTGCTTCAAGTACAGGTTTGGACCCTTTCAGCTCCAAATTCAAGAAAAAATATGAGCTAAGAACGCCACTCTTTGGTAATTTAAAATAGTTATGGAAAATTACCATTTTTAATAGCTATATAAATCATCTATGAATGGGCAAGTTTCAGTCGCTATGTTAAAGTACCAGAGTCACAAGGGGGTAACAACAACACTCATTGCTCTATCCTGAGAGTGTGCTGGAAGTGTCCTGAGAGTTCCCAGAGTCTCAAGGATGCCGAAAAATCCCCCACTGTATGACATGGTGAATGGATCGATTTTCTTGGGAAAAATGACATGGGCACCATAGTTTTCACACCCAAATACATACAAGATTCAACTGTTTGCTGTTTCCCATAAACCAATATTAGGAATGAATATGCCATGAATAGGGCTCATTTTACCCACCACAGTAGTATGGATCAGCCACAATCAACGCAATGGTAAAGTGAGTCATTGGGATTTTCTGGAATGAAGTACTGAATAGATGTTTACTGCTTCTCTTATACAAGGTGGTGCCCCTCATTTTCGAGCTTGATAAACTTTATCCATACGTTATCCCTTGAAGATCCTTAAAGATCCTTAAAGCATATGCATAGTTAAGCTAGTTATAAAACAACTTAGCTAACCACGGGGCACGACCTGGGACCCCCTGCCAGGATGGTGAGGACTGGTTGCTGCTGTGGACTGCCACGAATCTCGGTCCTCACTGGACAGCTTCCTCCGCGCCACAGGACCCACGTGCTTTGCGCGGAGGTTTTTTCCTATTGTCCATGAGGAATTGAGAGTGGAGGAAAGCGCCACCAATATCCACCAATCACAATCTGAAAATAGCAATCATGATAGAAAATGATAGAAATATCATGAAATATCTGTAGACCCTCTAAGTTCTACCATGTTTTACCCCTTTTTACTTTGGTACCAATTTCTTTGGTGCTCTCTGATGCGCCGGGCGGGCCTAAGCTTCATCCCCAGTCATGGATGGGTCTGGAATGCCCCATCTTTCATGGCTTGTTGCAATTCACTGCAGAAAACATGGGTTGAACATGTTGAATTTCGAAGGAGAGGCCGGCATATATATATATATGTTCTAAGCACTTAAATAAGTGATATGTGTTTTGGTCTTGGAATATCTACGGACAAAATATATAGGTTGCTCCAACCTACTGTAGGTAGCCATCATGGCCGCAATGGGGGAGAAATGAGCGTCTGACTGCCTCTTTATTATCTTTATTTACTCAATTTACCCCCTTTGTAACTGGGATGTTGGGAGCAAGCCTGATTTAATAATTTCCCAAAAAACCTAGACCCTCCAAATGACATCAAATGACACCAAAAAATGGTCGAAGTTCCAAAAGTCATGGGCTAAAACTAGCATTTTTATGGGTTTAGGAAGACAATCCAAGGAGCTCGAACCCATTGCGGACCTGCCAGCTGGATGAGTCAGCTTGCCCTTGAGGCACACCATGCTCCGGGAATCAAAGTTGGCAGAAATTGGCATGTTTTATGGGAGAAAATCATATAAAATTCATGATTTCATGGACATTTGATGACCGCAATTTTTGGATGAAATGAATATTCAATGGATTTGGATGGATTTGTTCATGGACGTTGGATGAAAACTGGAATTCTGTATCCGTTGAACTTGGAACCCCCAAGAGTTAGTGGCACTGGAGTTTCTGTGCCAAGCGACCAAGTTCAAAGGCTCCCATGGCTACCCAAGTTGGGGACGTGCCCAACTGTTTCGAAGAATTTTCACTGCAATCATCCTGTTCCCCAAGTTTCCTGCAACCTTGAGTGGTGAGACTTGCGTCCTTGCTGGTCGCAGAATTTCCATGAATTTCCCCTGTCAGGTGCTGAAGAACTTGTACTTGGCCACCGAAACACCCCGTGGAGCCGCTCCAGACACTCAGACGGTGCTCTTCTGATGGCTCAAAAACACCCCACGCGAACGTTGGACAAAAACACGGAGGCGGAAAACTACGCGCCATGCCGTTGCGAAAAAAACATCACGGGGCGCGTGGATTGGTATGATTTTTTAGCCGCAGAACATTGGTTGGAACAGATGCATGTTTCTAAAAATCTGGGGAACTGCTGGCTCAGTCACTGAGTCTAGGTAGGACTGGGAGAAATATCCTGCAATGTGGCCCCTCCCACATGTTTCATTGGGCCATATTGGTACCGCTTTTCTGCCAGATCCTGTGCCTGAGGTGTGCACAGTACGCGGCCTTGGAGAAAAGGACGTCATCCAGATGGTTTGATGCAGGAATTTCGCCAAAGGCCTGGCTGGTGGGTGGCTGGTTGTAGCACAAGCCTGGCTACTTCCAGCTATAGGGTTACATTCCATCTTTAGAAAAAATTAGGGGGTTCCTGCAATGGGGGTACCCCCAATAGCTGGATTTTGTTGATTTCATGGAAAATCCCACTAAAAATCCCACTAAAATTGCAAAAATGGATGATTTGGGGGGACCCCTAGGAAACCTCCATATCACTCCATTTCCAAAAACCTTTTTGGGTCCTTGAGTGCCCAGTGGTTCAGATCTGCCGCAGGCGAAGGGCTGGCCAGCAGTCCGGGGCATTGTGGAAGTCATCTTGGGTTTGTTTGGCCTGTTTGCGCAAAAAATGCTGACTCTACCTGGTGATCTTAGTATATCTTAGTGAACTTAGTGATCTAAATCTTGTGAGTTTCTGTGACCTTGTGCCAGGGGGGATGGGTCGTCACAACCCATTCTTTACAGTTTTTTTTTGGGATAAATCCTAGGGTTCACCATCAGGGGATCACCAGTGGGTTTTGCTGCCAGGTGTAGCATTGATCTTCTTTCTCATTCTGCTGATCCTTCCAATTGCAGTCTTTCTCACATCCTTCGAGGCCTTGAGGGACTCTTGTCAGATCTAGCCCCTTCCCCCATCAGAATACCACCACCACCCAAGAAAAAAATATGACCCCCAAATTGAATAGATCGGGGATATGTTATGATATACTTATCTCAATCATAGAGTCATAGATAATCTTGGATCAGTTTAGATATGTTTAGATTATTCTTTGAATTCGTGTTTTCTTGGTGGAGTTCTTCATAGAGGGTAGGAATTATTCCGATCTGAAAAATACTATGAACAACCGACAGAAAAAGTATGGGACGCAATGCTAAGGAGCTTTTCCGGCTGGATAGACCGCAAGTGGATGAAGCAGAGGGCGAGGACCAGGGACCATGATGGGGTTCCATCCTGGATGTGTCTACTTGGAACGTGAACAATGGAAGATGTAGACTCCCAGCCAACGTGCAAATACCCGGAAATCTCAACGTGCTGAGCATGATGTTCAACCATTTTCAATAGGAGGCAGTGATGCTTTGCACTTCAAACATGTCAAAATTCTACTAGAACATCAAGGAGATAATAGGAGGCAGTGATGCTTTGCACTTCAAACATGTCAAAATTATACTAGAACATCAAGGAGAAAATAGGAGGCAGTGATGCTTTGCACTTCAAACATGTCAAAATTCTACTAGAACATCAAGGAGATACTAGGAGGCAGTGATGCTTTGCACTTCAAACATGTCAAAATTCTACTAGAACATCAAGGAGATAATAGGAGGCAGTGATGCTTTGCACTTCAAACATGTCAAAATTCTACTAGAACATCAAGGAGATAATAGGAGGCAGTGATGCTTTGCACTTCAAACATGTCAAAATTCTACTAGAACATCAAGGAGATAATAGGAGGCAGTGATGCTTTGCACTTCAAACATGTCAAATTCTACTAGAACATCAAGGAGATAATAGGAGGCAGTGATGCTTTGCACTTCAAACATGTCAAAATTCTACTAGAACATCAAGGAGATAATAGGAGGCAGTGATGCTTTGCACTTCAAACATGTCAAAATTCTACTAGAACATCAAGGAGATAATAGGAGGCAGTGATGCTTTGCACTTCAAACATGTCAAAATTCTACTAGAACATCAAGGAGATAATAGGAGGCAGTGATGCTTTGCACTTCAAACATGTCAAAACATGTCTACTAGAACATCAAGGAGATAATAGGAGGCAGTGATGCTTTGCACTTCAAACATGTCAAAATTCTACTAGAACATCAAGGAGATAATAGGAGGCAGTGATGCTTTGCACTTCAAACATGTCAAAATTCTACTAGAACATCAAGGAGATAATAGGAGGCAGTGATGCTTTGCACTTCAAACATGTCAAAATTCTACTAGAACATCAAGGAGATAATAGGAGGCAGTGATGCTTTGCACTTCAAACATGTCAAAATTCTACTAGAACATCAAGGAGATAATAGGAGGCAGTGATGCTTTGCACTTCAAACATGTCAAAATTCTACTAGAACATCAAGGAGATAATAGGAGGCAGTGATGCTTTGCACTTCAAACATGTCATAATTCTACTAGAACATCAAGGAGATAATAGGAGGCAGTGATGCTTTGCACTTCAAACATGTCAAAATTCTACTAGAACATCAAGGAGATAATAGGAGGCAGTGATGCTTTGCACTTCAAACATGTCAAAATTCTACTAGAACATCAAGGAGATAATAGGAGGCAGTGATGCTTTGCACTTCAAACATGTCAAAATTCTACTAGAACATCAAGGAGATACTAGGAGGCAGTGATGCTTTGAACTTCAAACATGTCAAAATCTACTAGAACATCAAGGAGATAATAGGAGGCAGTGATGCTTTGCACTTCAAACATGTCAAAATTTACTAGAACATCAAGGAGATAATAGGAGGCAGTGATGCTTTGCACTTCAAACATGTCAAAATTCTACTAGCACATCATTCCGACCTGTGACCTGCACTGATTGGTGGTGTCAAAGGTGTGTTGTTTCCTATCCCTTTGGGAACGGTACACTTCGGATGATCCCGGTTGTGGCGGGCAGGAACACCAGGTGACTTTGGTGCTGCCGGGGACCTGTTCATATCTCTTTTGGCAACTTGGAATCTAGGCGAAGTGACATCGGAATCCCTTTTGGTAATCCGTAGCTATGGAAACTTGCAAAACCGTGTTCGATGATTTACCTGTTGTAACATGTTGCTTTTTCCATAGATGTGTTTTTCCATGAATAGAGGCTATATATGCTATCAATTCGTGTTTCTTCCCAAGATGTATCATGATCTTTGTCAAGAAAAAAACATACAAACACATACAATAACTCTAGTGCTGACTCTAAATCGTTTTATCTTGCCACGGTGCCCGGTGATTGGTACGGTGATTGCCATGATGTCGCCCAGGAATGATCCAATATCTGTGCGAACATTTTGACACCAGGCATGCAAAATTGGCAGCTTGCAGATGATGAGATGGGTCGGTTGAAAAATCATCTGGATTTGATTGGCATAACAAACATAAATAAATATATATATATATTATATATAAATATATATCCATGGTTGATTGAGGTGATATTTCTGAGGTGATTCGCATTAAACCCTCAAACATGGTTTATCATCAAATATCTCAATGAGTCATGTTTTGATTCGCATCATTTCTGACTGGTTGCATCCCATGTTCAACTTGCATCTCCATTTTTGTCGTTTCAGCCTGCTAAATTTTGCTGATCAGAACATCATTGTGTTTGCTTGTTTTCCCCGTTCCTAGAAAACACTTGTGACCTGCATTCTCGACCTCCGCATTCCATCGTGTTTGAGTGTGAAATCCCGGTTTTTGTTACACCATCCGCGGCCCAGTCGTTGCTGGGGACTCCCAGTCGATGCCCCAAACAGATGGAATAAGTTGGACACCTGGATGACGAGTTTCTTTGATTTCCAAATGTCCAACTTCTCTATTTTAGGGATGTTTAGGGTAGCCTGCAAGTGACTAGCATCATCTGACATTAAGTTGATATGATTTGATAGAAACTAAACATATCATAGGAATTATATGACTAAATCCCATATTGTTGCCATGTAAAGAAATAAATACCCAGTACATCCCATATGATCATATGAAGGTTTCTTAGAATGAAGGTACCGCCAAATCATCCAGTCATTAGACCATTTTAGGATTGAAACCTATGGTTTTGTGGATCCACCATTTTGAAGAAACCTTCATATGTCTGTGTGAATTTGATCACGACCGAAGCCTGTTCTCCCTCTGGAATCATGGTTTATTTTAAGGGAATCCCCTTTTATGGCCGCAAGATTCAGCTTAGTGAAATATCATAAATTGCCCAGATATATCAATTGGTATAGACCCATCAAATATCTCATCATATGGTAAACCAATGATATTCCAATGATATTCATGCATATTCATCCATAATGCAGATCAATCCATTTTTCTATGGGGAAGATATAGGGGATTCAATAAATGGGGATACCCCAATAGCCGGATGGCTTACCCAGATATATGTGCCATAGGAAAGATGTAAAAATGGTAAACCCACTCTCATCCCGCTGAGGCGGGTGTAAGCAGCGGAGCCATCAGTGCAGTGCTGTTGCTGCAGATGGAGGAGTGTCTCGATTTGGCTTCTGGGAATATAGATGAATATATTAATATATATATATAATGGAATTATAAGGTATATACAATTTAGATAACCATGGCACAGATGAGATATACTGGGTATATGGCTATAAAGCCAACAATAATTTGGTGTATACCCGCAAGTATAGCGATTTTAATAGGGACACTGATATTTTAAACTAGTGGATTTAGGGGTATTTTCAGACTCTCGATCTCAGGCTCTGAGCTTGACAGAAATATGGGGATATTCATAGAAAGCTAAGGTGATGGTGTTAAGGGTGACCCCTTTGCTACTCTTATTTGCTCTTATTTGCTTTTATTGACTCTTATTGACTCTTACTTACTCTTAAGAATAAGAGTTGAAATTGCAAAATGGTAAAGTTCATTTGATTTCACAAGCTCCAGGTCACCTTGAAACCACCACGTTTTTTTGCACCACTCAGTTGAAATGTGTCGGTGTTCTTCCTATTTGTTGGAAGCGCTCTTCTTGAGCTTCAATGTGCCATCCTTACTACAATTTCACACTAAGCAAATGGTGAAAGGGGTCACTCCCCCAAAACCATGAGAGGGTATTCATTTTTGAATGATTAATATAGCCAAACTATCAAAAACTCGTGTTTTTAAGGGGGTCACTCCCTTAAAACCATGGGAGGGTATTCATGTTTGAATGATTAATATCCCCAAACTATCAAAAACTCGTGTTTTTGAGGGGGTCACTCCCTTAAAACCATGGGAGGGTAGTAATATTTGAACCATATCTTGGCTTGGCATTAAACCATGAGAGGGTATGCATTTCAGGGGGAGTGACCCCCTTCGAGGACTATTTCATATGTTTTTTAGCATGTCAACACTCCCAACACACATTGGCGGCCCCAGTGTCAACTTGAAGTCAACCCGAGCACCCCAATCTTTCTCGCTGAGATCCATTTTGAGCCACAATCTTTGCCATTGATACACCATTTCAAATCAAGATAAACCCCATTGATCCTGAAACGACCATATTTGTTAAGAGTGGATAAGAGTGGATAAGAGTGGATAAGAGTGGTTAAGAGTGGATAAGAGTGGATAAGAGTGGATAAGAGTGGATAAGAGTGAAGAACATTACTCTTAAAATTAAGAGTGAATAAGAGTGAATAAGAGTTGGATAAGAGTTGGATAAGAGTGGATAAGAGTTGGATAAGAGTGGATAAGAGTGGATAAGAGTGGATAAGAGTTGATTTTGCCCCCGAAGGGGGTCAGTCTTAAAGCAGTCACTCCGGATATCTATGAGATATAATGGGACTATTGGGATATACCATGATATACTGGGTATATGGCTGCAAGGACAAACCCACATGGTGAACACAGGTTTGTCCTGGAGTATCTGAGTGGATGATTTTTTTTAATGATTTTTGAGTTGCTTGAACGGTGTGTTTCATGGCCACTTACACAAATCCAAGTCGGGAATTGTGAGAATTATCTTACTTTGTTTTGTTTTTTCTTTCTGATTACTTGCAATCCAGCCAGTATTTGATGATGCTTTATGCTTGTAGGAAATGTCAAGATGTTCGTGCATGGGCATGGTTTTGGGAATGGATTGAACGTCGAAATTTGGCAGATGCTTTATACATGAATTCCTATGGATAGATATTCCTGCTTGACGCACACTGATGTTCTGGCGAGTTATTTGTGCTTGTGTTCAATGGCATTTCTATGTTTACCACTTCTTCAGGCCAACCAATGCTGTCATCCAATCAACATCAATACTTTGTTGCAGATGTGGAACGAACACCCTCGTCCGAACCATCGCAATTTCCTTCACCAATCACTGAATGGTTTCTCTGAGGATCGCCACTGCTGCGACTGAGTCCTGCAATTCAGAAACTTCAGGAAAGGGGCTATCAGTGATTCCGCAAGATTGTCGCGCCATTCTGACGTTTTATTTCTTTGTTCAATGGCTAATCAAGAGCCTAGGAACCAAAATCTATCCATAGGAAAGTGCCCCATATGGAGATGCACCTTATGTTTGTCTTGCCACAGCCTCATCCGCCGCTTCCTAAAGCGGTCGAGATGACCAAAGGATGGCTGGTGCCATTGCTTAACACCAAACGATCCCAAATTCTGGGACATGAGTCATAACGCCGCTGCTATCATTTCTACTATAACAGCTTTGGTATCGTAAATTCGCGTAAGCAGCCCTTACGGGCTGCGCGCAAGCAAAACATAGCAAAACATGTCTCAAGAGGACCATTGCCCATAATTCACAACCTGTGTCCTTAAGTTCGCAGCCATGGTGTTCATGTGATATGTGTAGTCCCAACTGTCCTCAAGTTCCCAACTGCATCTTCCCAAGGTCCAAAAAGGTTGTGGCGTAAGCAGTTCCTATACGTTTTAAGTCAAACCTGTCAACGTAAGCTTCGCGTAAGTCATTTTATGTACATACCTGCTTCGTAAGCCAAAACTGTGGTCGCGTAAGCATAAGGTCTAGCGTAAGCAATGTTATGCGATGTAGGCTGGTAATCTCACGTTTTGAAGCTCAAAAGTGTTCCACGCTTTAAAGTTGAAACCGTGTACTAGTCACTGGTTGAATTCCAAATTGAATTAAATCCAAATCCTCCATAAATCTTTGATATCAACTGACACTGTGTATAATACATGCCGCATTTGTTGGATTCCAAGTGACTTTGATCTTGCTCCAGGCCTCTGTGCGGCCAAAGCCGTGCGTCGACGAGCGCGGGAGGTCTTTGAGATCATCGAAGATAGCGCCACGGAAGCACCGTGATTTCGGGGCGCAGCGGCGCAGCCCAGGTCCGTTGTTTGTTGGAGGATAGAACTCCCACCATGGAGATAACATGGGGATGATATGATTTTTGGAAATGATGGAATATATTAAACATTATTAAACCACCAATATGATATTTGGGTGTGTCTGGAAATGCTGTATATATCCAGAAATTGCCAATAAATAATAGGAATATGGTGATTTGACCATCTAGAGCAACCCTATTTTTCGACAAACCCGGTTGTAACATCCATATTTCAAAATAAAACTTGACTATGGGAGCTTCCCCAGATAAACTGATGATTGTTGGGTTCAATGATGTGATTTTCTTTGGAACTTCTGTACATTTTCCAGCATAAACCATGGAAATTTCACCAAGAATTTGGTGGACCTTCAAAGGAAACCATGGTTCACATTTTTTTTTCGATAGACTGGGTTCCTGCAACATGTCCCATAAAACCAGCTGCTTGGTGGTTTGGAACATGTTTTATGACTTTCCATATTTTTCCATATATTGGGAATAATGATCCCAACTGACGAACTCATATTTTTCAGAGGGGTTGAAACCACCAACCAGACCATCCCTGGGACGTGTAAATTGACGATTGACGTTTCCAATCAATGCACGCACTTCAATCACAAAAGCACAGGGGGTACCCTACACGTTCCAAATAAGAAGAATCAATGTTTGGTCAATTCTATTGTTTTCAACAATAAAAAGCCCCCAAGCAACAACAATCAAGAGATGGTTTTCAATAAGGTTGCGTATCATTAGACTTTTTGGGGTACATATCACGGGCTGGAAGGTGCGCAAGGGTATCCTGATAGAATATTACCATAATAGCACCTCCAAACCATGTATGAGTAATATTAAACAAAAACAATATTATAGCAAGATCTGGAATAACATTATCATGATAAAGGAATGCATGCTTGAGCCACTTTTGTCAGTAAAGTAGTGTATTTCAAGTTTTTGTTCAATCCATTGTTTAAAAGATATGTTGTTTTCACAAAGATACTGTTTTATATTGTTCAACTTCTCTTTGTCTTCCTGTGTGTGTGTGAATCCTGCTATCACATGCAGGCACAAACTCATATACATACGTACTTTAACCGTGAAGTGAAAGCAGAGCAGGGGGGAGCCTTCATGTGTTGCATCGGCATGGCACTGAGCCATACTAAAAAAAAATGTATTGTACTTGTATGGCATCGAGCTGATTCGGGAGTCTTCATGTGTTGCATCGGCATGGCATTGTGCTATAATTTTTAGCGTTTTTTATGCATTGTGCTAGCATAGTACCGAGCTAGTTTGGAAGCTCTCCTGTGTTACAGCGGTTTGGTAGAGTAGGGTGCAATTTCTATCAGCAGTGTTGGCCAGGTTTCTAAGGAATTCAAGGCGAGAACGAGATCATTCACATGACGGTCCATTTCAAACCCAATTCAGCAGTGTGTACTGGGTGCACGGCAGATTATGCCGACACCATCGCAGGGATTCGTCCCAGCTCAAGGATTATCTCGCGACACATTAGCGTGTCGTGTAGGATGACTGTCATGTAGATGACAGTAGAAGGAGCCCAAATGGGCGAAGAACAGCATAGCGGCACTCACAAGGACGCCTAGCGGTGAAGGACGCCTAAAGGTGAAGGACGCCTAGCGGTGAACGAGCCTTAAGGCGAAGACTAACTGATACATGGATGTTGCGGCACTCAGTCCACCATGCAAAGACTTGGTTGTATGTGTGTGTGCATGTGTGTGTCAGTGTGTGTTCCTTTGGTCTAAATAACCAAACCAGTGCTTCTCTTTGCATTACATCATTCTGTGGGAAGTTCGGAGTTTGAATTCTGCATGCTTGTGTGAGGCATCAAGCTTGGGTATTCGATAAATCGTGCATGTATGACCTTCATGATAACGCATGTGCAGAACATGATGGGCTGTTCCGAGAAATTTCTGAATTTTGTTATGTGTACCTTGATGCGCGCAAAAAATGTTTTGTATCACTTGATATTTGCAATTTGTTACTATGTGTTAATTTGTTATTATGTGTTACTTGATGCTGGCAAACCACTGTTTCTATAGCTGCTATAGCCATGCCGTCAAAAAGTGCTGGGGGTCCGCCTACTCAATATGATAGTCAACGACAACGCGGTCCTTTCACGATGTCTTGGTTACCACCATTGCCTCCACCGCCTGCGCAGGTTCAACCCCAGGTTCATGTGAGTCCCACAGTCAATTCACCACCTAGACCAATAGCGAGTTTGAGTGTGCGGGGACCGCTGGGTGAATACCGGCTTGAAGTCTCGGACGCACAGGGTCTCCAACAACTTACTCAGATGATGGATCGTCTAAGTCAAGTGGAAGCACAACTCGCTTTGACCCAGATAGCTCAAACGGCATATCAACCTATTTTTTCCTCTGTGATGCCCGTTCCCAACCTCATGATGCCCGAAATGTTAGCCCCCTTCACAGTGGCAGAACCTAACAAAGTCGGAAGTGCTTCTCAATCGGTCGCAAGAGGTAGTGGCCATGATGCAGTCTTAACCTCAGAAGATGTTGGAACCGCAGCTGCCTCAGATTTGAACTCGTCTTCGCCTCAAAGCCAGCCTGCCAAGTATAAACTTCGTTTACATGGTGCAAGAGTTCAGACACATGATTTCCATGGAAAGATCAAATACACTGAATACACAACGATTCAAAGACTGACAGACATGACGGTGCATGATTTTCGCTGGAAAGACGGCACAGAACGAGTCTTGGAAGTTGGACACCCATTGTGTCGACAGTGTTTTGTTACACCAATACTTGCTGGCTTCTTCTGTGATGCCCTTCAGCCTCTGACCCGCGGAAATTTTCAGCAGTGCGTATGGGAAGAAGTATATTATTTACTCAATGAACGGTTACATGCAGACTTGTTTCAAGTTTCTGAGAGACTTGCGAATGCTTTGGAACTTGGTCGGGTAGCGGAAACGTCACAGAAGTACGCCCCAAATCCAGAATATTATACTCGCAAGCGATGGTTTATATTGGAACCGGAGATTAACATCCAGGCTACGCCTTTTGGGGACTTCTTGGCAGATCAAATTCGTTCAACATTTCCTGGTGACTTTCATACCTCAAGGAGGCATGTTTTGTGCTTAGCAAAACGATGAATTCTTTTCCAACTTTGATTGAGAAGTTTCAGAAAGCAGAATTTATTCAGCTTTCACATTCAGCGGACTCTACGACCACGAAGTTCAAAGGGGCTGTGATTCTCCATTTGGACATTCCTACCTTCAAGACAGTTGGTGATGCTCCTCAGTTTCCCTCTGTTTTTACCTTTGCACACAATAGTAGTATTTTGACTGCCTGTGCCCATTCTACGGGACGGGTATATTCGACCTTCAGCTGCTGCCGAACATCAAGCTCAATGGTTGCCAGTTCCTGGTTTCTATTCCAGGGGGAGCATGAGTAACAGTGACCGTGAAGAAGATGTCAAACGATCACTGAAAGAAACATTCCGAAAAGGCAATGGCATATTCACATTTCTCAGACGCAACTCGCCCCACCAGTATTTTTGGAGTTGCAAATTCGCGACAGCACCAGCACTGCACCATACATGGGGGAGGCGTTTGTGCGGATCATGCCGCAAGTCTCTTTTGGGATGCTTTGTCATAATGCTTCTGATCGGCGCTGGATTTTCAGATCCCAGTTAGCGCAAGTCAAGGGCATAGCCGTGTATATTTAGATATGTTTAGATTAATTTGTGAGCGCAGCGCCAAATTAATATATTCACCATGTGCCCTTGCATTTCTGTTGCGATTTTGTGAGCGGAAGATGTGGCTGTCATATCAACAGTACAGAGTGATAGAGCCGTTCGCGGTGATTATGTTATCAGTGAGTGTGAAACAGGAATGGCAAATTGAATCAATTTGATGTTTGTTTGGCGATTAACTTCTTGAAGTGATGTTCACAGTTTGATCCCCTCGCAAAATCCGGGTATTCACTTTTAGCTTTGTCGTTTTGATTTCTCATTTCAATCTACCAAAAGTGGCGAGTATAGTGTTATACCAATAGGTGAGATGTTGTGACAAATTGGACATACTTTTCGCTCACATGCACTTTTGTTGTCAAGCCCTTAGAGTGACAGTGTGGGTAGCGATCTCAGTCCGCAGTTCGTCTTAGCCTTAGTTTGGTCCATCACGCAGTGTTACCTCTGGGCTTTTGGCACGGATGAGATTGATCGTTCAGCATTCACAACCTGCACACGTCTGTTGGGCGCAACTTCAAGATATTTTGCATTACATTTACATGTTGATCCAGAATATTTCCGATGTATCGATGAGGCGCTGCAACTTTGCAGAATACGTTTTCCACACATGACCAAAAACCAGCTGCTTCAGTACGCCTAGATTGGTAATGAGGATGAAAACAGGGCTGACATTGCGCATGTACAAGATGTCGGATTGATACTCTTTCCTTCCTCCGTTGACATTGGTGCTTCTTCTTCATGATCATAAATTTCCCTGACAAGAACATGTACATGACAGACTGCTCCTGAAAGCATCAGAATTGCACAGTTGAAATTGCACCAAACATGTTGTGATCATTTGGTTTCAGCTCAAGCTTGGCACTTCAAATAAGTAAAGACATGATCCCGCTTAGAACTCCAAAACTCCAAAAGTTGCTTGTTTCGTCCTACTTAATGGCCCTATCGGGCCCAGTGTGTGTGTGTGAATCCTGCTATCACATGCAGGCACAAACTCATATACATACGTACTTTAACCCTTGAAGTGAAAGCAGAGCAGGGGGGAGCCTTCATGTGTTGCATCGGCATGGCACTGAGCCATACTAAAAAAAAAATGTATTGTACTTGTATGGCATCGAGCTGATTCGGGAGTCTTCATGTGTTGCATCGGCATGGCATTGTGCTATAATTTTTAGCGGTTTTTATGCATTGTGCTAGCATAGTACCGAGCTAGTTTGGAAGCTCTCCTGTGTTACAGCGGTTTGGTAGAGTAGGGTGCAATTTCTATCAGCAGTGTTGGCCAGGTTTCTAAGGAATTCAAGGCGAGAACGAGACCATTCACATGACGGTCAATTTCAAACCCAATTCAGCAGTGTGTGTGTGTTGTCTCTTACATTATTTCAATATTATATTAGCACAGATATTGTCAATGTGCATAATCCTGCTTTGTGTCACCTGTTGCAATGCTAATTTTACTATAATTATTTTCTTCCACAACCTTGTTGATTCTCGTACCTACTTAAGCAACTGAAATATCTCGTATCAATCACTATCATATCAATGACTAGATAATCAAGCGGTTTATTGTGACATCATCAAGAGGTATGCCAAAAAGTTTATCTATGGTTAATGACTTACCTTCAAACTCTTGACGTAGCTTATTAGTAGGACATGCACGGATTTACCTTATAGCCTTAATTTGTCAACTATGTTTAGACCGGATCAAACTCTTACCTGTTCCTTGATCGTTTGAAATTTCATCATCATCAATTCTGACTTCATTGTTTTCATAGGTTGGTATCTCAACACATGTGTTTTCTACTATTTCATACTTGTCATGTGGTAACTTAATGTCATCATACTTGCTTACTCCACCCCCCAATGTCATAGTGAAAGTCTCAGATGTTTAGCTTTCTCCTCATCTTCTACACCAATGGTGAAAGCAGCAGTTTTTGCACTGTATAGCTTAATACCAGCACATGTTAATGTGTAGTATGCTTTGTACAGTGCAAAGTTGTGTTTTTGCAACAGCAACTCTTTTGTGTACCTGTCCTTTAAGTTGAGTACGTAGTATGATATGGTTCTGATTCACATCCTGTAAATCTTAAGCAGTAATATTCTACACATTATTCTTCCTGAAGTGTAACTTCCATTTGACTTAGCTTGTGAGCTTTGCCATTATATTGAGTATGACAATTCACTGTTTCCATGAGATTCTTGAAGACAATGCTTTTTTGGTCAGCTGCACCCCCTGTTTTAATGTTGGCACATGCAATATTTTCCCAGAGCAATGTTAATACATGCACTAATTGTTTTAATGTACTTGTCATGTTTTGGATTCAATTCACCAAATACCGCATCCCAGAGTTGCTTCACAATCTGTTTGTAGTCCACATTGTGGATGAAAGAAGGCTGTTTGTAATATATGTTTTTTGTTGTCCTTTCACCAGCGATGCTTCGCAATAAGTAAACCCCAAGATGCACAATATAAATACACCCTAAACCAACCCTGATTAAACCCCAAATCAATCCCCCCAAAAAAACTAAAACAACTCTAAGTAAATCCCAGAAAAAGTAATCTGAAACTTGGCCCAAGCAAACCCTAAACCAACCCTAAACAAGCTCAAAATAACACCAAAAAACAAAAGCAACCCTAAGTAACCCCTAAACAAATCTCTGAAACGCACGCTAAATAAACCTTAAACCAGCCCTAAATAGATCCTAAACCCACCCAACATTTATTAAACCAAACGTAAATAAACGCTGCACCAGCTCTAACTAAAACCTAAATCAACCTCAAATAGATCCTACATAAATCTTAAACCACGCCTAAAGAAACCCTTGACCAACCCTACATAGATCCTAAACCTAAAAATACAAAACCAATCATTGAAAAAACTAAGCCAACCCTAAACCAATTCTAAATACACCCTAAAACATACCTAAACAAAACCTAAATGGCCCCTAGTCGCAAAATACCATCCAACATGAAAAGCTTGAGCACCAAAATGTTGCAAATATCATGGAAAATGAGAGGTTCGAACTCCAGATCTTGCAATACCGTTGAAATGCCAGCTTCCAGCTCCAAAGTGCTGCAAATTGCAGGGAAAACGGACAGAACAGCAGATCCAAAAAAAACAAAAAGGAAAAAACAACCAAAACAATTCCGGAGCAGTTGGGAAATGAGCCAAGTTTGATCCACAGATGGTACTATTTGCATCTCTTCCTACTGAACCATCCATTGGTCCGAAGATTGCGCGGGATAGTTTGATATAGTTCCATCATGCGTGAATACACGTATACATACTGTATACCATTATGAATCCATAATAAATTGTATAATCCCATATGGGTATGGGTCAATACCTATAGATACATTTTAGTGGGATGAACATCCATTTACCAGCTATTTTGGGGTTCACTAGGTACCAGGGTTTTGACCCATCCCCATATGATAGATGATATGATATCCATAGTGTCATTCATTAAAAACATCGATTTATGGCTCCATCGTTGTGGTGCAGGTGCTGAGGAGCTCATGGTGTCCCCTTTGTCCTTCTGGTGCCGTTTCCTGGGCCCAGGGCGGGACTCTGGGATGGGATGCTGGGACCCTGGGGATGAAATGCTAGGAAAATCACCATTTTTATAGGCCATGTTCAATAGCTTTTTGTATGTTTACCAGAGGGTATCTAGTAATGTGGGTAAAACAGTGCCATTTGCACCAACCCCCACTTTCACTCAGTCAGACTGGCATTTTTTGTTTGGTGGTATAAACTTACCATTCCCAGGAAAATGGGTGGTTTATGATTGTTTTACCCACAGTAAAGATTAGTATCTATATATGGATAGATTTCTTCTGGAGGCTTCCTAAAATGAAGGCACCCCAAAAATGAATGCTTTGTTTCATGGAAAAGCTGAAATAAGATTGATGATTTAGGGGTATCCCCATTTTAGGAAACCTTCATATATCTATACATTGGTAGATGTGTGTGTGTGGGTGTGTGCTATAAGTGGCTGAAGAAATTATATTTTTGAGAAGTGCACTATATTTATGATGTTTATTCTATGTGTTTTGTATATTATTACATATCACATGCATTATTCATGTATGGTATATATATATATACATGTTATATGTGTATTAATATATATATACACAGTATAGTTGTATTAATATATGTGTTATATGTATTATATATTATGTTTATAATAAATATAATATGTCATAATCACACATATATATATATATACACAGATCAATAAATAATAAATGTACTGTGTGTCAACCACTGTGAGGTCGTTCAGATGAACAGATCCACCATATCAAGATAACACATACAAAAAACACGTGAGCAAGTATGAGAGGTGGACAGATGTGAGAACTTGAACTTTTGTTTTCCACCTATCCAGTCTATAATATGGTTTTATATTATAGTTGTTCTGTTACGCCTTACGCTATATGCGTAGGTTACGCATGTCTTCCACCCAACTCAGGGTGGTCAAAAAAAACTCTGATTTCAAGGGCCTCAAAGGGCTTAAAGTGGCACAACCAGAATCACCAAGAGCTGGAGATTGTAGATTCCTACTGTGACAGTATTATCCATGATCTGGTTTCAGTTTCGAAAAACAGATCTAGAAACCGAGAATCGTTTTAATCGTTTTCTGCTAGGTGAAATCCCAAAAATCCATAATCCGGGATCAAATGTATCATATCACCCCTATTTTTTTTTGGAGACGCTTTCAATATCATTAAACAATAATGGTGATGGTATCTATTAATGGTATCTATATAATGGTAATGGTATCTTCCATGTTGGTTTGCCGTTTCAGCTGCTGTGGACATTTGAGGTTTGGGCAACTTGATGGAGGATCTCGCTCCTCGCTTGCTTCCTGAAGGCCCCAGGGTTGGGTGGAACATTCTGGGGGCCAAACATTACGAAACCTGGTAGGTAAAAATCAGACAAGACCATTTTGGCACATGGTCACTATGTACCATAATCTATATATACATATTATATATATATATATTATATGGGGGCAAGTCAAAATAGGAGGTCCGGAACAAGCTCCGGGACAACACCCGTTCCATACCCCCGTTCCATACCCCCGTTCCATACCTCCTTGAAGGATCCGTTCCATACCTCTGTTCCATACCTCTGTTCCATACCTCTGATCCATACGTTATTATATATATATAATTATATATAATTATATATAATTATTATTTATATATAATTATTAATATATAGAAAAAAATATATATGGGTACGAGTCAAAATACAAGGTATGGGTCAAGGCCCCGAACCCACAAACGATCCATACCCCCCGATACATACCTTGATCCATACCCTGTGGTACTGCATGATCCATACCCTTGATCCATACCCCTGATCCATACCCCTTTCTCATTGAAGAAAGACTGATGCTGGCCCTAATGCTGCTTTTTATCCTAATACTGCTTCTGGTCCTCGTACTGCTACTCCCGTTGCTACTACTGTTGCTACTATCGTTGCTACTGCTGCTTCAGCTGCCTCCGCTGCCTCCGTGCTGCTGCTGCTGCTGCTGCTGCCACTACTAGTCATCTTCCTCCCAGGAGCTGCTGCTACTGCTGTCGCTTCTGCTGCTGCTCCTGCTGGTCCTGCTCTCGCTGCTGGTGCTGGTTCACTTCCTCCGTGTGTTTCTGGTAGTTGGACAAATGCAACTAGCTGAGTAGCTACTACCAATATTGCAAGCGCACCTTGGAGGCTAGTAAGACCGGTTCTAGTTCCACTAGGTGCTTCTTGTACTTCTAGTGGCGCTATGATTACAACTCCTTCTGTTTCTGCTTTGCCTGGCACGTGTAGAACTAGACTAGACTTGAAATACCCCGCTCTCTTCCTTCACAGCCATAGCGTGAAAGCCGGCCCAGATAGCGTGTCCCGATCCATACCCCGATCCATACTGTACCCGTTCCATACCCGATCCATACCCGAACCCAGTCACGCCACAACAAATGCCAATATGAAAGTCCGATTCTATTACTACTTCTACTGCTGCTGCTGCTTCTACTACTACTACTACTACTCCTCCTGCTGCTGCTGCTATTCCTACTCCTACTCCTACTACTCCTAGTACTACTGCAGCTGCTACTGCTGCTACTACCATTAGATTACTATTACTTTGATTATTATGACTTTTACTAGTACTACTGTTACTGCTACTGCTATTTCTACTGCTGCTGCATCTTCTCCTTCTATTGCCACTACTGCTGCTGGTGCTGTTTTTTTTTCTGCTCCCTCGACAAGCAGTGGTAACAGTTTTAGCAGCAACAGTAGCAGGAGGAGAAGTAATAGCAAGTCGGGGAGTATCAGCACAGTTTGTATGCTATGATGAGCCCTTACGAAAGGGTACGGATCAGGCACCTTACGTAAGCACTCGCGATCCATAGTACGGATCACCGCGGAGCGATCCATACCCGATTTTTGACTCGCACCCATATGTGTATTATGTATATTACACATATGTATATATATATATCAAGTGACGATGACGATGACGATGACGATGATCATTATGATCATGATCATGATGATCTTTATGTGTTTGTCAGTATTATGATATTGATCGATTCTTCTGACCCACCAGGAGAGACCAGTGCCTTGGGGTCTCGCTTACAGATCGGCGTGCGGCGCTTGGCCACGGATCGCCGCTGGCCAGAACTTAATGGTTGGACCCGGGGACATTTCGTTGACCCGTCCAACAAAGATAGCCTCTGGTTATTTAACATAGCCATGGGAAATAGATGGTTTACCTGTTTACCTATTAATAGCATGGTGATTTTCCATGGCGAACTGTTAAATAACCAGATGGTATATGTTATAGTCTGCTCCACAATGTTCGTATTAGCATGTAAACCATGGCTACTTTGAGTGTCTTGGATCAAACATCCGTATTTGGTCATTGAGGGGTTTCCCATGGTTTTGGGGTACCCAAATTTGGAGAACACCCAACTCGCGAACCCCAAAATCCCGAGAAAAACATGTTTCAACTCGTATTGCAACATCCACAATTTTAAGACAACTGGTTGATGCTTTGGAACATGATGTTTTTTTCATTCAGTTGGGAATGGAATAATCATCCCAACTGACGAACTCCATCATGTTTCACAGGGGTAGGGCTCAACCACCAGCCAGTATAGATATCATTATAGATACCATTACCATTGTATAGATATCATCATAGATATCATTAATGATATAGATATCATCATATAATGGTAATGTTATTAGATACATATCATCATATAATGGTAATGGTATATCATTGTAGATATCATAATTACCATATCTGAACTCATATTTTTCAGAGGGATTGAAACCACCAACCAGATGTAGATATCATATTTTAACATGGTATAACAATATAATCATCTATACCAGTATAAACCGTATTAAACCATATTAAACAGTATTATCATTATTATAAACATTATCGCTGAAAAATATTCGCTGGGGGCCTAAACTGTTTCGCGAATGGAAGTTCAACAGCCTCCAGGCGATGACCTTTGATGATTTTTTCACCTGGCCACAGCAAAGGACAACTGGCCATTTGGCCAACATTTCACAATAAAAAAACCAGAAACAACACGAGTACAACTGCGGCAGTCAAATATGGTATAACATATGTTATAATCTTAATATATCTTATTAATTCTTATTATATATATATACATGTATCACTTGTAAAACATGCCTAGTTGCATGTTGTTTTACTCATTAAACATGTGGCTGGCTTCAACCTGTGAGGTGTCCCAGCCATGGTTCCAGACGTCCTCACCAGCTTCGCAACTCGCGACGAACTGCTGGAGAGCATTTTGGCATCATCCAACGTGTCTTGGTTTCTGATAGTGAAAAGAAACAGCTGAAAGAACTTCCCAAGCAATGGGTATGCGGGGATGTAATGTACATCCATAAAATTCAACAACATTCAAGGAATGTATATAATGTATCAAGTATCAACTGGAAAACATGTATAACATGCATTCAAGGGATGTGTCAAGTGTATTCAGGGTGTTTTACATGTACATCATGTGCTGACATGGTCAACTCAACTGCAGGGTCCTGGTCCCCACATTTCCCCACTGTCCAGCCACAGGTGTGGTTGGTGGTGAGTCTCCAACCCTGGAGATATGTTCCCAGTTTGGATGCCCAATGCAGCGATGGAGTCAATCCTTACTCCCTGTACTGCTTCTATGACTATTTGCGGCTGCCTCAGAGGGCTTCCTGTTGAGTTCTGTCCGTCCTGGAATGAAGCTATGGCACTTCGAAGGTGTTGGTTGTTCTAAACTGTTGTGTTGTTGTTGTTGTTGTTGTTGTTGTGGTGGTGGTGGTGGTGGTGGTTGTAGTGAAATGAGATTTGATGGTTTGTTTGCAAACATAAAGACGCATGCAGAGTACTCAGTACTTTCACCATGCTTCACTGTCTTGCCCCTATTGGGGGTTCCTCAAATTGGTGACCCGCACAAAACCAGCAAACATTTTTGTGTCATTTGGAAAGGAGTTCATGTAACAGTTTAATTAATATCATCAAGGAATTCCAGGGTTTCGGGGGACCCCAACTTTTAGAAACACCCGTAGTTTTTCTTCCCATGTTTTTTTTGCCGGGGTTTTTGACATAGTCAGATCCTTGCCTGATTCAACTGCCGAAAAAATCGAGGCGACAGCGGCTGAATGGACAGTACAAGGTCAGTGCTCCCTCGCATATGCACGCAGGCGTTCTCGATCGGATCTATGCTATTTGGAATTGCACCGCCGGGGAGCTCGGTCTCTGGATGTGGGGAGCCTTCTGGTTGCTGGTTCTTCAAACAGTTTGATTCCAATAATCGTATCCTGAAAATATTGCAAAGTTCCACGAAAAATAACAAAAAAAAACATTTGGTTCTTTTTTGTATTACCCCAAATTTCCATGGGTTTTCCATCCGTTCAATGACAAACCTTTAAGCCAGCTGCCTGACGTATACGCCGAGGTCATGAAGGACCCTTGACTGCACAGCTTGCAAAGCGACAATGGACTGTGCGTCACAGAAGGGAAAGCCGAGTTTCCATAAATCATACAGTAAACCACACAATCCATGGCTTACCAGCAATGGATTTAAGTGAGCCTCACATTACTTTTGAAATCTTTTGAACAAATATTCTGAACACCATATTGTCTTGAGCCAGTTTTTTTTTTGCGTTGTGGTTTTAACACCACGAAACCATGTTTGATGGCTCGAACAAGTTCTGCATTTCAACCAACCCGCATATACCAATGATGACTCTGATGACCTGCAACTCGTTCAGAGGTGATGCTGTCTTCCAGTGGCAAGAAGTTGTGGATTAGCCCAACAGTTGGTGGACGTTTAAACATCATGTACTTCTTGAGGCCACTCGCGGTGGCATCGGGTGGCGTCACTTGCTTGTGCTGCTCGTTTTTGTAAAAGCTATGGTGACCCAAAATGCTCCGTGGGTCGCTCCTTGTGGCAGGTTTTCTGGATGGTTCATCGGCTACCAGTGGCAGCAGGGTTTCGTCCTTGGACGTCCAGGGTGATGGTACATTAACTTAATCATATGATGGCACTCCACAAGTCATTACCCACAAGTCATGTCGTCTGGTTGGTGGTTTCAAACATGACTTTTATGTTATATGGGATGTCATCCTTCCCATTGACGAACTCATATTTTTGATGGTTCTTGCACCACCAACCAGTAGTGATTTCTCAAACTTCAGCATCTTTGAGCGAAGTCAGTAGCGCATGTTGCCGCTGAAAATCATGGGACCATCCAGCTGCACAGCCTGCACCGCGACCAGGCTATCTCCATGCCCAAGACTTGGATGCCAGGGGCTACTGGCAAAGCTTGCCGCGTCGCTCTGGGATGTAGCCACCGTTGAGGCGGTGGTGATTTTTTTGGGCATGGAAAATTTGGGGATATCATAGGAGGATGTCATATTATCATTCGGATATAGGAGGTATATTATGGGATAATTGATGTGGTATGACACAATGGAGAGAATTACGGGCCTATCATAGGATAAAGATAGAGTCACAATGTGATTTCTTTGGTAACAGGCTGATAAACCATTAGAAACTTTGATGGATTTTGGGGAACCTGAACCATTTTTTTGAACCAAACAACATGTACGAAAGGGGCATTAACCGATCAAAAAGTAAAAAAGTAGTTTAGCAATCAAAATCATATTTTTTTTTTATAACTAACCACCAAGAATCAAGAGATCCCTTGCAAAATATGCGTATGATCATATGGGAATTGGTTTGCGGTTGCATGTTTTCCCTCCCTCAAGAAGTCGGATGATGCTCTTTTGTTTGGGATGGCCCATCAACCGCAAGCCAGTTTTGGAGTTGTTTGATGGATTTTCATGGTGGATTCTGAAGTAGGAACAGGTACTTCATGGACCTTACAGGCTTTTGGACATAGACATACCGTTAGAAAGCTGTTATGATTCCAGTTTGGAAAGCTGTTCATAGTCAGAAAGCTAGAGATGTGGTACAAACTTCATGGAGCAACATCTTGCATCAGGTGATGACATCAAATGACCAGCAACTTCTTTGGAAAAACTTCAACAGCGAATCAGCTGTTGATCTTCGACACGCCGCTGCAGGAACTCGCAGTTGTCTCGAAAAAAACATGCAGAAAAGGCGGACCTAAGGCGGATTTTGCCGGAGCAAACCAGACAATTTGACCATCCAAACTGTGAGTTTGCTAATCAACCAACATGGATTCGATTTTGGATCCAGGGTTGTAAAAATACTAATTTCTAATTTACAACTACAATTTGACGGAAATCATTGAATTGTTTCTATGTGTTTTTTGTTTCTCTGGGTGCCTTTGAACGTGGCTGGCTTGAGAGATGCTAGGATTTTTTCCTTGCCTTCAGCTACCTTTGGAGTTAGAGACTCTTTAAAACCAATTTGGGTGTCTTCAACATCGTTTTTTTATTCAAGTTGAAGCGTGGTAAACCCATGTAAACCCTTCTAAAAGGTGATATTGCAGAAAGATTAGCTGTGGAGTTTCTGAGTGCCCTATTTTTTGGCTTTTGGTTCAAGGTGGGGGTCAAAGTGCTGCTGGAGGATGTAACTAACCGGTAGATTCGCGGCCGCGCCGCCCAAAAGCCTGTGGTCCGAAGCCTTGTGAACTTCTCTGGATGTGCATGGTTGTAATATGTTTGTAAGTCAATTGGAGTATTATAGGATGCCCCCAGTTTTACTATATTGATAGCACACATTATTTCTAGATACACATCCAAGCATGACTAATTATAGTGGCTGCAGCAGCTGCAACCCCCGACAAAAACAAGATCCGTTGTGCTAACTCTCAAGCTCTGCCCGTCTTTTTTCAGGAGAAGAGATGCAGTTCCCACCATTTTTTTGCACCCAAACACCATTTTTGGATCCCATATCACCTCAGAATTCTGATGCATCTTCCATAATTTGAGTTCAATCACACGTCACCAACCTTGGACCTTTTGGCTCCTATACCTCTATCCAACGGTGGAGGGGCCGAAAAATTGAGGTGCTGCCCAAATCAGGGCGTTGCGATGCCTGAAAGGGTGCCACATGGTGCACAGGTGCGCCAAAACAAGACTCGTCAAGAACGGTAGCTTGGGACTTGAGACCATCATTCTGAATGATATGGGGATGAGTCAACACCCATTCCCTTAAGCATATGTTTGGAGATGGCAAGGGGGGGATCCCAATCAAAACATTTAGGCCGTTGAACTGCGGATTTTTTTCCATAGGTGGATGGGTCAAAACCTATTATTACCATATTTGAAGGGATGAACATCACTAGTTGGTGATTTGGAACATTTTATATTTTTCCATATATTGGGAATAATCCTCCCAACTGACCAATATTTTTCAGATGGGTTGAAACCACCAACCAGATCAATTTACCAGCTCTTTTGATGAGAGCAAGGACCTTAAGGTCTTGACCAATAGCCAATAATAGCCATAGCTACAGTTACACTAACAGTTACACCTGATAGCAACCCGCAGTCATGGATAGAACAGTTGGAAACCTAGAAATATCATGTTGAACACATTATCTCATTATCTGAGCCAACCTGGAAATTCTTGTCTATCTTCCTGCGGATCCCTATGGCTTTGTTTGAGAAAGAGGACTCCCGAAAAGATTCGTTGTGATGACTCATGCGATTTATTTCATGACGATTTGGGGATGAAGTAGTGCCCATGTCTGGAAAAAACGCTCATCCATGGCCTCCAATATAACCAGCAACAATGGGTTTTTGTACCACCGTCGCAGAAATGGAACTCATGGGAATAGGGATGCAATTACCAACTGTCATCACTAGCACCTGTGAACAGCTAAAGGGTCATCCAAGTTGATGGTTATTCAACCCTACTCAGATATATACATATATATATATATATACAATCCCTTGCCCCTGCTGTTTGGAATAATTGTCGTCGAAACCCTGATGGAATGTAGTCGAATGGTCCAACATATGCGGGCTATTAAGTATTCTTTGATGGGTGTGTAGCAGCTACAGAACATAATAACAGATACCATCATTTGGGAACTGTGGCATTATGTGGCTCTATTTGGCCACATGTTGCTGTTTGGTTTTTCTCAGCCTGACCAAAAAGCAGTCCCAACCAGGTTGCACCTGTGGTCCCAGGTTGCACAGTTCATATTCCCATTATGAAAGGGGATGAAAGGGGCACCATGGTGCACCTCAATACACTGGTGAAGGAATTGTGATGATGATATATGATATAATTATATGTATATATATACATCTTTTGATTCACTTCCCAACCTTAGGATTCCATATATGTGTATATTCCATATATATATGATATATGATATATCTGGGTAAATTTGATCACGACCTCACGTCGCGACTGAGCCCTGGAATCATGGTTGGTAAGGGAAATGATCGCCAAATGGCCGAACTATTCAGGTTAGTGAAATATTATAATTTACCCAGATATATGATGATGATGATGATGATGATGATGATGATGATGATGATGATGATGATGATGATGATGATGATGATGATGATGATGATCAATTCCAGTGGTTTGATTTGCATTTAGAGTTTGGTTCCGCATGATGGTTCGCCGATGAGGTCTGCCAAATGGGCGGAAATGCCAAGCCCTCAGAAGGGAGTGTGGTTCACGTTCGCAGACCTTCATTCAGTACCATTTTGAATGGTATTTACCAATGGATACCAATGGTTATATTGTATCACTTTTGGAGCTAGCCCCCAGTCTAGATTTTACTCATGAGTTGCCATGTCTTTAGTAGATGTATCCATGAAACATTTTGATGTAAACCCGTCCTTTTCTGTCAGAGGAGTCCTAGTGTCCTTTTTGCTTTCTACCCTTGTGTTGCTTAAATCCCCTGAAACAACCATGAAACCGCCACTTTTGCAGGTTATCAAACTGTCCAACTACAACAAAAAGCAGCGACCCGAAAACGACGGTTGATGGATCGCCATTCCCAAGGTCCATTCCTGGGGCAGTGGCGAAATGGGCCAATTGGGCTTCCCCTCCCTGGAGGACGCTGTAGCTGTGGGGCCACTTGAGTCACTTGAGGTGAAACTATCCCAAGGAACCCACAACAAAAAATTGTTGTGTCTGAGAATATACTATCCCTCCCCAAAAAAAGATGGTTGATTATCATTATCCTTGTTGAAATTGCCATTTTGGGGAGGTAATAGCCACAATTCCATTCTATCACCATGAACAATCCATGAGTTGGTTAACAATCATCAACATTCACCGCCTTCTTCTCACCTGTATTCCAGGCCTTCAGCCCAGGACCTCCCCAAAGATCAAGATGGCTACCCCTACGAGCCAACGGCCAGTGTCATCAAGGACGTCAGTTCGTTTTTGGAGCTTTGATGGGTTTTTGAATATTGAAATTTTGGACATCTACATTCTATCAATCTATATACTTTGCGCGTATATGTATATGTGTACATACTTAATAGATCAGTTAGTTGTTTCATCAGTGAGTTCATTTGTTGGCGAAATAGTTGGTTGGTTACTTTTTTCACTTGGTGGCTAGATTGGCTATTCCCGCATGGAAGTCCCATAGTTGTAGAACGATTCAACATCCGCATCATTCCTCGAGGAGTTTAAGCAGATCAAGATCTGCGGGGACCTCAGTGCGCCGTTTGACATGTCAGGTCCAGCGGAATTGGCAGAATCATCAGTTTTAAACATGGATTCCCAACAAAAAAACCATCCATTTTGGCAGGTTCATCCCCGTTTTTGTTGGTTAAACACCAACCAAAGCATAAAATTTTGGTGCTTAGCCAACAACGGGGATGCACCTGCCGAAGTGGGGATATCATGGACATAGAGTTACCCAATGATTTGGTGTGTGGTTTTATGATGTGTTTTTGTGTTCAACCATAGAAATTGGATGATGGCCCCCAATGAGATTCTTTTTTCGGGGGGGAAACAAGCAACCACTGAAGCTTCAAAGGTAAAGCAGACTTGGCAAACTCTCCCCACTACCTGTTGTTTCAAAACAGGGGATGATGGGGATGCCCACAAAATGGCAATTTGAGTAGGGAAACAAGGGGCACTTACTTATTACTACATTTGGTTGATCCAAATTTGGGACACCCTCATATTCACTCGTATTGTTTCATGGAAATCTAATGGACCACCCAAACACTTTTTAGCCCAAAATACAAATCCGGCCTTAGTCGGAGGTAATTATCAACCATGAACCCGAAATTTTGGTCGCTTAGAACCCCCCTAGAATAACCCATCCCCTTAGGTTCAAAGACCTCCAGACCTTGGAACTCCAAAATGAAGAGATCAAATATTCAAACACCATGTTCAGACACACACATATTATATCATATTATATATATATTATAGATATACACATTATATATACATACATATATATATATACATATAACTTTACATTGTATTTTATATACAGTATTATATTATATATATATACACCCTCCATATTACATCTCCTTTATAATCTCTATATCCCCACGATATTCGTTGCTCGGGTACCGTGGCGTAGTTTGGGGCACTTCTTCTCAGGTCAAATCGCAGGGGGCGATGGACACACGGTGCGGCAGATCCGTGATGAAAAGATCGAATGAAAGAGTCTGGTGATGAAACGGACATCATTAGGAAATTACCACAGGAAAACCATAGGAAAACCATAGGAAAATGGTGGTTTAATGGGATTTAATGGGATTTAATGGGATATAACCTCTGGTAAACTAACAAAAAACTATGGAACATCACCATTTTTAGTGGGTAAATCAACTACAAATGGCTATTTTCAATAGTTTTTTGTATGTTTACCAGAGGGTAATGAACATGATAACAAAAATATTATATGATAAATCTAGTGTATTTTTTCATTATAATATATGATAAATGATATATCGTAATATATGTTTATGGAATACAATATGTGTTTGTCATTTTACTATTGTATTGTGATAAATGATGATGTTGATGATGATGATGATGATGATGGTAAATATAAGTTATTGTCATCTTATTTTATTTGAATCATGAATATAAAGTATTGTATGTTTTGAAACGATCTGTTGATAGCCAACAGAGGCGAAATTGCACTAAGAATTTCACACACACACACGCACACTCTAAAAGAAAGTGAATATAAAGTCCCTTGCAGTATATTCTGACACTGATAAAGATGCGTTACACCTTCAATATGCTGATTTTCTACTATAAACATCACTCACTCACTATATTCTGTGGAGTGAAGAATTGGTGTTTGTTTTTTGGGGGTGTTTACACCCCCAAGCAATTGATTCGAAAGGGCCTGGAAAAGAAAATGAAGATGACAGACAAGTTTTTATAGATAATGATTTATATCTATATGTTAGTACATACGTGTGTATATCAATATATATATATACACGTATATTATTAGATACTGTATATAATGTGTGTAAATCAGTCACAAAACATACATGTTTCTATTTCCGGCCGCTGGGTGCCAGGCTGCCGTTACAGTCCATGGGAAGTTGTACAGCTGGGGAGCCAGTGCTTGCGGTCAGCTTGGTCACTGCCACTTGGACGGGCCGTTGAGGGGTGGGTTGGATGGGGGTGAGGGATAGGACGGTCCTGGTAGTCCTGGTCTTCTGGATTTCGGAGGTTTGGTTCACTAAGCTTCGGACCCGGAGATGAAACAACACAACTTAATCCACAACAGTGAGATTGTCCATGGATTTTAGCAGCTTCAGATCTGGAAATTCCGTTGTCGGAAATTATCCATGGAGTTCAGGGCACTGCACTTCTCAAAAAACCCAGTGGTTTCCCCATGGCTGTCCAGGTGATACAGCTCAGATGCCCAAGGATGTGCGGAGCCTCAGGACCGAACCCTGTTCTAAGCCTGGAATCATGGTATATTTTAGGGGAATCATCACCAAATAGCCGCAAGATTCAGCGTAGTGAAATATTAAAAAAAAAACTCAGAGCAATAGATCTTCCCCAATTTTCGGGTGATGGTGATGGTGGTTCTGACCTCCTACTCAAGTAGTGTCACTTGATTCTGTGTTTATCTGTTGTAATTTTATGAGTTTTCCAGCATTGTGACAACAATCTTTGCTTGTCTGAGATACCCCGCCGGCACCCTTTTCAGGGATGGTATGGGTAATTAGCTAAAGGATGTCCATACGAATCATTGCCAATTTCTGGTATTAACTAAAACTAACTTTATCTTGTTTGATACCTCTTAATACTACAAAAAATACAACATATTACATTAAATACTATAACACCGTGCTATGTGTGTGCTATTTTTAAATAGCACTGAACAAATCAACGATTTTTCTGGGCGCACACCCCAACGACTTGACCGAGGTAGAAGGCTATCCCTATCAACCGGTTCCTCTCTTGGTCAGCAGCCTCCAGGACGTGTGAAACCCGGCGAACTGGAATTTTCCCATGGGCCTGAGATTGGCAGTTTTCTTAAGGATAATGATGATTAATCTATGATTAACCTATGATTTTGTTTTCTTTCCCTATAAAGAATGAATATTTGGAGTGAATCGATGATTAACAGATCATAAATCATGATTAGGGGGATGGGATTACATGATTTCAGCACATCCCCGCAGTTCATGCTTTAAGAATAATGTTTAAGTTAATGCATGAAAATTCTACTATACAGACTAGGTGACTAGGTATTGGTTTCTGTACATTCTTTGTGGATCTTTTTGTATTGCTTTGATTAGGTACTCAGAATGAATTGCAACTAGGTTTAATAGGTCAAGTCTTGGTTGTTGCCCGTTCTTGAATTCATGTAGGTGAAAACCATTGTCAAGCTTTCTTTGGTAGTTAGAGTTCAGCAACTGTTTCTGATGGCAAAAAATCCTCCATTCAAATGTTGCCCAATTCCCTCATTTTGATATATTTTGATTGTATCCAATACCCCATTACATGCTGCAGTCCTTATCCCCAGTATCCCCCATTGTTTAAATCTCCAGTTCTGCTGGTGAAACATCCAAGTTTGAGCAGTGGCTGCTCAACCCCTATTAGGAATAGCACCATCTGCGGTTATGCCATCCTTTATATATCTTTATACATTGAGGAATATCACAATCCACTATCTATCAAATCCGGCCCACTTAACCCATCCAGTATCAATGGTTATGCCGATAACCATCACAACCATTAACCATTAACCCATCTTTGACCCATTATCAACCATTGTTAACCATCAGTTAATCATAATTATATAAACCACTGTTAACCATCAGTTATCACCCATGATCAACCATTGTTAACCCATTTTTTCCACAACCATTAACCCATTGAAAAAACCATCAGTTATCATCAGTTCTCCCGACTCGCCAGGATGTGTGCATTGTACAAATCGCCTGTGGTGACGCACACACGGTAGCACTGTCGCGCGAGGGCGTGTTATATAGTCGCCTGTGCCCAGAGATTTTTTCGGCATGGAACTGGGGTATTTAAATGTATTTGATTTATATAACCTCCAAGATCTGGTCATTTGGCCATTTTAATGACTAAAATAAGGGACTCATCATACTTTTTGTTCATATAACACCCAAGATCCGGCCATTTTGATGAGGAAAATAGGGTCGCAAATGATGACAATCCCATTCTTTTTCACGGGGGTGTTCCATTTTCGGACGAATCCAAACAGCTTCTGAACCTGTCCTGACTAGAAACACCTGGTTGTAAATGGGATGAGTATATAAGTTTGATCCATTTGAAACGGTGGTTACAAGCTATGAATCTATGACCAGAAATCTTATGACATCTTATGACCGTCATGTTTACGCACATTCGCACGTTTGTGGTTTAAAAAAGATCAAACAGAATTGACACCAGCATTTTTTTGTTGACTAAACCTAGAAGGAGTTCCACCGCCTGAGGTTGGGGCGGAGGAGGATGTGGGCAACTGGGCCACTCAGAGACTTCCAAGATGTTGGGCGCTCAGTCCATGGCAAAGTGAGAAACATCTGTTGCACTTCAGGATTCAATATCCAAGTTATTCCATATGGATGGATGTTTCTGATGTTTCTACTTGACATTGACATGGCTTATTACAAACTATTTTGAACAATGTGGGTCTCTCAGTACTTCAGGATTCATGTGTCTATTTCATATTAATGACTGAGATGTTCGTTCGATAAGGACTTCTTCGGACTTCATTCCCCAACCCTGCTAAGTTTAATCGAGCTCTTCATGGCTTCAAAGCTGACTGGTTTCAGTAGTGGTATATCCATTCGGCAAGAATAGAATCATGATCCGCATAGACTGTTTGTTGGATGTATTCCAAAAAAAAAGGTACAATCCCACCTGGATTGATAATCCCAACATATGTACCAAGCATCTCCAAGCGATCTCGTGGGCCTGGTAGCCTGGTAGCCCATCCCAGGCCCAAGGATGAAGATGGTTGTCCGTACCAGCTCACCCCACGTGTGCGTGCCTCAAGTGGAGGGTGTCGCACCGGATTTGGATACCCAAGCCCCAAGCCATTCATAAAACCCATCTGTCCTCAAAGCCATGATTTTAAAGGCAACCACCTGAATTCCCCTTTTTGGCGCCTAAATCCATGTTTTTTTTTGCCATGTTTAAACACCTGGAATGGTCACTGCCAAGGTCGTAGAGCATCTGCGACCCCACGTCGTAGCCACCGTTGCTTGTGGCAAGGTCAGAAGACGGTGGTAGTCGTAGGTCGACCTGATCAGAACGGTGTCTGACTTGTGACTCGACATGTGCATTGAACCAAAACAATCCAGAAAAAATAATGATATGAACTAATTAATGATATTGATAGAGTGATAAAATATAAACATATATAAACATATAAACCTCAAGAATGCAAGATTCAACTTGTTTAATTCAACCAAAAGTGTCAAAAACAATCCAGAACAGGCTAAGGTCGTAGCAACCAGTTTGGGATGGATCATCGCCAGAACGGTTCTGAATGATTTTTGTCGCTGCCTTGGAATTGGATTGGTAGTTTTGAATATTATAATTTAATTATATGTATATATATTATATATGTGTATATATATAATCACCATAATCACCATATATATTCATAAATGAATATGTGTATACTCATATAATATGTATTTATATATGTCTTCATATATATCCCACTGGGATTCCCTAACATGTTGTTTAAACCTTTAGCAGAGGTTCAAAAAAAACCAAGTAAGCTTAGCGCGAGTCCTTGCTTAGCGGCTTAGCGCTTTTTTTCGCCAGGCCCACACCATAGCAGTTTCAGAGCGCGGCAGAATGTTCACTTGGGGTGGAGGGCTCAGCATTTAGCAAGAGGACAGGACAGATTTGTGATGCCAAAGAGGAGCGGGAAAGCGGAGCTATTATCGGTATTTCATATTGTACAATATGGTATGATATGGTATAATGGTATGATATGGTATAATATAGTATAATCATAGTATAATCATAGTAGAATTATAGTACAATCATAGTAGAATTATAGTACAATCATAGTATAATCAGAGTATAATCATGTATAATCACCATGATTCAGAAACTTGCTGGTAGCTTCAAATATGTCTTGATGTGTTCCTTCGTTCACAAAGCAATGATTCATCATTGGGCACAAAATATGACTCGCATCTTCAGCCTTGAATGGGTATTGTAAAACCTTCGAACAAAAACGAAGAACAGTCTCCAATAGTCTCAGGTATGGAAGAAACACAAACATTGGAGATTTCCATAAATGGGGGTACACAAAAAAGGTTGGTTTATAAATGTTTATAATGTTGATAATGGACAATCCTTTTAAAGTAGATGACAACTAGGGGTACCCCCATTTCAGGAAACCCCCATATGGTCGTTTTCCATTCCTTGGAATGATACTGCATTCTGAATGGACTAATTCATACCTACATCTTCCCTGGTGCGCTTTTTTCAGCACCTTTTCAGGCTCAATCTTAGCTCACACCAGAATTTCACCACGAAGCTGAATTTTCAGCCCGCATCTGTTGAACATGATGAGGTTGCCCCTCATGAGAAATATACCCAGGTGTTGCCCAAATTGTTTGTTTGGAGAACCATTTGGGAAAATTCTGAAAATGGTGGGTACCCCCAATTATCCATCATAAACCATCATAAACCATCATTTTCTATTTTCCAATCATAATCATTTTTCGGATCATAAACCATCATTTTTTGGATGGCAAATCATCCATGTTATATAAGTTTAATGCTAGTTTCCCATCCATTAAACAAAAAAACAAACAAAAACAAAAAAGTAACATCCATATGTCATGAGGATTCCCCTTGTTCAGGTGCCGGTGCCTGTGGACAATTGGGTCATCCGGATACCAGTGCTGACCTCAAGTGCCAGACATGAATCCCCCCATAGTAACTATGCTAGACTTATGCTAGATATATCATGATATATCGTATATAACTATCATTAATTTCAATAAATACATAGCTTAATCATAAATATAATTTACAACTATGATTATCTAATTATTATCATTTATTATCTCCATTTTTGTTAAGGGTTCCTGAGATAATCATGATTCATAGTTATAGATTCTCATAATATCTATATGGTAATATATGGGTTATTCCCATATAGTTATATGATGTATGACAGATCTATAATCGTGTTAGTTCATGATATTAGTAGGGGGTTACCCTCTGGTAATCACACATGGTTTGCTGTAAACTCACCTATATTTAGTGCACTGATTTTGCCAGCTATAAATATATATTTATAGAATATGTTCAATTGCGACGTTTGATTACGAGAGGGTAACATAGAATCCCCCAAAATGGGTCTAGAAGATTTCCAAGAGCTGGATCTTGTCCACTGAGGCAGCTTTCCATCAGATGAAGATGGCTATCCTTTTCAGCCTGCTACTACCTCGGCGAGTCTGGACTTTGCACATGGTCTACGTTTTTATGTTAAGGTAGCCAAACGGGTTCACAAGAAAACAACCAATCGAGGTTCTGATTCAGGGTGAGTGGAAATTCTCTGAAGATGCGATGTGATACACGATTCCCCAAAAGAAATTACGATGATTTTGATGGTAAATCACCTCTGTGGAAAATCACTCTAGACCCTCCAAGTAGCCTTAAGAAATGGGTGCTTTCACATGTTGTTCCCCTCATTTTAGTACTTTTGACAATTTATCTGGGTAAAATTGCTCACGACCTCACTGTTCTCCCGAAACCTGGAATCATGGTTTATTTTCGGGAAATCATCCCATTTTATGGCCTTATGATTCAGGTGAGTGAAATATTATAATTTACCATAAGTTACCCAGATATTCTCATTTCATTGGTGTCATAGGTTGGTATCTCAACACCTGTGTTTTCTACTATTTCATATTTATTTTGGGGGCTATTGGATCCAGCATGGCAATAGACTCGAGTGACTCGAGGTTCCGAGGGAAGTAGACCATCTGAAAGACTTCAAGGCAGGGGCCTGGAAGCCACCGTGCAATTTCTGAAGCCTTGGCCGTAGATATGCACATATAATCATATATAGTCATCCTGGAGTAGATAGAATATGGAATATATGGAATATTCCAAGAATCATCACTAACATCTGTAACATCTAAAATTAGTTTATTTGTTGTGGAAATTACTATATTCTATCTACTTCAGGATTATTATATAATATAATAGACAGAAAGAGCCAGAAAGTATCATGGATTTGAAAGTCTTGGGGGTGTCCATAGTTGTCCATCATCTGGCTTTGTCTGAACATGCGTGATACCTTAAATGGCAATTTTAATGGGGAAAATGCATAAACTTTGTAAGTACCATATATTATTTTCAGAGAAGCCCGTATTTGTTGGTTTGATTGGTATGAAGAAAACTAGGTACAGAAAGGATGGTTATTCAGATTCATCGACCTGTTAGGTTTAGCCACCGGAAAATGTTAACCTACCAACGACATCCAATGACTGTTGGAATCAACAAATCAACATCTCTTTAGACGCTATATAATATATATATAACAAATACATGTCAATGATGTGTCCTTGCTCGAATCTAAAATCATTGCAAATCATTGCTCAAATCAAAGAAGTGAAAGCATTGAATCGAAGAATCAAAGGGTTAAATCCATCCCGTTTTCAATAGGATGGCATTTGATACACCTGCCTCTGGATACACAAGATGTACATCCTGGTAGCCTTATCCCATCATCTCAGGTCATTGCAACAGCCTGTGGGGATGTGCCATCCTCAGTGAACGGTGAGTTGGGAGAGATATGATAAGGTCGTTGTCCCCAAAAGGAACGAACATTGTGATTCATCGCTATATCGCTATTTTATAAGGATTTGACGTTTCTATCTTTCTTGGGGGTTGTTGTTTAGAAAGTAAGTCAATGTAAGTCAATGTAAGGACCAAAAAAGGAATTGTTGATTAGATTTAGTCGAGACTTTCCACGTCCAGCATCATTTTGTTGTGAGCATTTTACAAAAAAAAAGGAAGAAATCTGAGTCGTACATCTATGACAGGGTGATTTTTATTTCTTGCCTAAGCCAAAGGGAAAAGAACTTGCGAGAGGTGATGTTTGGGGTCTCTCCACCATGTTTGGCCAATTCACGGACATCCCGACAGGTGCACACTCTGGCCCTGACAGATGATGGCTATGTGTACTCCTTTGGCGGTGGTTCATATGGTCAACTTGGGGTCAAGGACACGAGAGAAAATGGGATGTACGTGATTCGTGGTGATGTAGATGTGGAACTCTGTTGTGACGCTGTTTTGATTTGCCCTAGGTTGCCCTAGGCTGTCTTGAAGCATATGTTTTTTTTGTTTTTTTTGCTCCAAGTTCCTCTTGCATGGAAGTATATATAGGTGTTGATGATGTTTTTTTCAGTTTCAGCCAGCGTGTGGAGAGATTTGTTTTTGAACTTTCACGGAATTCCTGGTGCAAAAAGTCGCAGAATTTTGGGATGTTCCTGGGTTTCTCTTGGTGTTTGCTGATTTACTGACCGTTCATGAGAGGATGTGCTGACCATGCCAGTTGATGCTGATAATTGCCCGGGTGTCAGTGCTGATGGCGATTGGAAAGTCTTGCAAAGGAAACCAGGGAGTGGCATCAACCCAATCACCAGGGAAACATAATTTACTCTCTTGTGTGCCATTTTTGGGGTTTTTATGTAGGTAAATATTCCAGCACCATGGAGCATCTGGGACTAGTTCATTCAATGGGAATTTCAGGATCCTAAAATGGAGGTACTGTACCATATAAGGCCATATTTTGTGGTGATATTCACTTACATAGGCCTTATATAAGCCTTATATATGGTAGGTACCTCCATTTTAGGATCCTGAAATTCCCATTGATTCATGGGTGTTCATGGTACCAAGCCCTGAATCCTCTGAGGTCCCTACATGCCGACGCCCCAGCCCGTCTTGAACCTGGGCAACATCGTGCGCTTGGCGTGCGGCGATTCGCGGGGAAGCCCAACGGTTGATGGTGAAGAACATGGTGTTTGAATGGGATTTTTACTGGGATTTAAGAGTGAAATTTATGGAATTTAATGGGGTTGACTGGATTTTACTAGTGACAATTATTGAAGTTAATTGAATTGAATGGGATTCCCCTCTGGTAATTGAACGTAGCGAACTGGAAAAGCACCATGTTTTAGCCAGCGGGTGTAAAACCGCGCGTGTAGTCGTGCATATTTTTCTAATGGTTGTATCTCTCTCTGGGGTTTCGGGTGGGGGGGTTGGGGTGGGGGGGTGGGGGGGGTGTGATAACGTCAATGTGGACACCTTCTTGATTCTTGCGTTCGGAATATTCTGTGCTGTTGTTTCTCGGGGGTTTCGGGTGGGGGGGTTGGGGTGGGGGGGTGGGGGGGGGTGTGATAACGTCAATGTGGACACCTTCTTGATTCTTGCATTCGGAATATTCTAGAACTAGTTCATACAACATCTATATAAGACTTTCTTTTTGCTACGCTTTGAACTATTTCATACAGCATCTAAGACTTTCTTGTTGCTACGCTTTGAACTATTTCATACAGCATCTAAGACTTTCTTGTTGCTACGCTTTGAACTATTTCATACAACATCTAAGACTTTCTTTTTGCTACGCTTTGAACTATTTCATACAGCATCTAAGACTTTCTTGTTGCTACGCTTTGAACTATTTCATACAACATCTAAGACTTTCTTTTTGCTACGCTTTCAACTATTTCATACAACATCTAAGACTTTCTTGTTGCTACGCTTTGAACTATTTCATACAACATCTAAGACAGCGCAAGTCTTCCTGCAAAACACTGCTTGTCATCCTTGGACGGAGAAGTAAAAAACCGGCAACGGAAATTGCGCTGGCGCTGTGGCGGCGTGCAAATTGACCAAAAAAATAGTCAAAATTCGGACCCCAAAATCTAAGGTTTCCAGAGCCAGAAACCCTGAGACGTTTGTCACTTTTTCATGAGAAAGTGCGCCACTACACGCGCGGTTTCACACCCGGCGGGATGTTTTAGAACGGTAGATCATAATGTTTATCATCTATTTCTATGTGCCATTTTCCATAGCTATGTTAAATAACCAGAGGGTAATGCAGTGACATATCTGATATACAATGTAATTCATAAATACTCATAACATCATATACTGTACTAAAGCCAATCATAAAGCTACTATTTGGGGATGATACTTACCAGCCATTTATGGTGATATATATTTGGGATGGTTGATGATTGGGTTTACCTCATGAATGATCATGTATTATGTTAAATTGGTGCCCTATTCAATTCACCAACCCAATCTGATGTGATTTGATGTGATGTGATGTGATATGACACGACAATCATTTGGTAGTTGTTTTTTAATAGCTAAGTTGATATATTGAATGAGTCCAATAATATAGTTAATCATTTGGTATATAATATAATAGTCACTAATTGGGTGATTGAGCCAACACAAATTCGGATGCAATTGATAGTAAAGACTGGAAACTCATTGAATCCTTCTCTGGAGCCACTAGACTGGCAGGCACTCCCTCACCGTGGACCGCGATGGGCGTCTGTATTGTGCCTTGTCGCAAGGGTGGCGCAGATTTTCTCAGCAAAAATGTGTGTTTTTTGACAAGCAAAAAGTCGGGCATTGGGCTTTAGATGTTTTCACTCATCAAAGCAGGGTTTTGCATATGACATTATATGACCAAGCAATTGAAAATTTGATAGATTTGGAGCTTAGTATGAGCTTAGTAGAATGACAGCGACCATCTGTTTTCCACCAGCCGGAAAATGGAATTGCGCAGCAAAGAATGACTTTCCCAGGTCGATGGATGCTCAAGCTATACACAGTTTGATCATCTATTTGAGCATGTACTGTAGTATTAGTAATCCCTTCCCGGGTTCATATTAAACACCCCCCAGAAACCACGGTGGATGCAGGGATGAAACTGCATAGTAGGACCCGTGTGTTGGGTGTGTTTAATATTCGGGGCTGGGATTTCTTGAACAGCACCTGATGTTCTTCGGGGTCGGTGCCATATGGTGCCATCAAGTTGAGGTTATCCCCAGTCTTGCAACAGGCTAAATCCAGTTGTCTCACAAGCATCATCAAGTGAACAACTGTACTAAGTCCAGCCCATGGACAGCCCCTTTTTTTCCCACGATTTGATACTTGGATCATGTTGGATCTGCTGCTGGTACCCTCTGGTAAACTAACAATAACTAACATAACTATGGGAATTCACCATTTTTAATGGGTAAATCCACTATAAATGGCCATGTTCAATAGCTTTTTGTATGTTTACCAGAGGGTAGTATTTGTTAAATCCAACTTGATGTTGCTACATCCAGTTACGTTGAACCGATAAACTGTTGGTTGAAATGGCACTGGTCATCATGTCTCCATGAAAGACTCGCTGGAGGAAGGTGGTGGAAGATTTCTTAAGCAAGCTATACCCTCTGGTACACGACCATAGCGAAACTGGAAAATCACCATCTTTAAGAATGGTATATCAACTAGTTTCATGGGCCATGTTCAATAGCAAACTGTTCAATTACCAGAGGGTATAATGTGGTTAAAACAATAATACACCACCCCATTTTTGATGGTCTATACGATCCATTTATGGTGATTTTGGGGATGGTTTATCATTGTTTTAACCACACTATAGACCCTATGGATCCAAACACTGTCTGAGAAGGTACTTAAGCTTCCAAATTATAGTAAATTAGTAAATTATACCCCAAACACTTCCTAAGAAGGTACTTGGATCCATAGGGAGAGTATTATAGAGTTAAAGCATGTTAAGAGTTTAAGAGCCAAATCTGCGGCAAATGATGGGTGAAATTGCAAAATGGACCGAGGCTGGGGCGCCAACTCCTGCGGCCAGAAGGGGGTCTCAGTTTGGGCTGGAAGGAAAGCAGCGGCAAAATAAGGGAATGTTCAATGGATGTTCAATGGATGTTCATGGTTTTGTTTCTATATCTAATTGTTAAATATAGTTAATATATATGTTATTATATGTTAATATATGTTAATATGGAGTTTTTCTATGTCTAATATTTTTCGATATCTGATGTTGTTTATTGTGTGGTAGCCAACAAAGATGTAGATTTGAGCAGCAATATGTACTGAAAATATGGGAAGGGAGACAAACTTACTTGCCACATTAAAACCCATGAGTACCAGGGTCTTGAACGGTTTTGATGCATATCCGATATATTCGGGTGGGAAACCAATTTCCAATCTAATTTAGTGGGCTCGGTATACTAACCAGGGTTTAGCTCTGGCTGGGTGTGGTTTATTGAACTTAAGCGTTTACCATGTTACGTGGCTGCATTCTTCTGTTTCACAGTTCGAAAAAAAAATGGAAGTGGAAAATGGAAGTGGAATGACCAAAGATGTTAATGTTTTTAGCTGTTTCTTTCATATTTACCTCAAGTATATCCCGGTCCACTCCCGGGCCTTTCACTGGCGAAAACCTGTCCGTTGCCCGAAAGGCTGGGGATCATGAATCCAGATGACCCCAGAATACGGAAAGATCCGGACGGCATCCCGTCCCTCGACGCTGGGAAATCGCGCTGTTGGTGACTGGTGGAGCAAAGATGGCGAAATGCGATTGGAAATCCCTGAACGAAATGATGTTCAATCGAAGTTTGAAGAGGAACATCATCTATAAGTAGGGGACTTCCCATTGCCATGTGTGATTACTGTGATTACTGGAGGGCAATTTCCGTCTCCATTCCTTTTACCACACCATGATGCTTGGATATCTGCTTGACTTGCTGGTCCCTTGACTTGATCTATTCAATCTATTCACTCTTCTCGTAGAGTTGAAAATAAAATTTAAGACTTGGCTCCGGTCATCACCTCTTTCTCCAAAGCTTTGATGTTTTTTTTGAACATCGTTCTGATCCTGCGGACCTTCACGTTTTGGTCAGCTATGGTCAGCTATGGTCAGCTGTTTGGATCCGACTCCCAGCACATATACCAACAAGTCATGACAACTTCCTTCGAGTTGGCTCCTGCATCTCCCATGTGCACTGTCAACACAAGAGCAAAAGCTCCTGGTTGATTGATGATTTTGGGATATTTTTGATGTGCGGGACTGTTTCCAGAATGAAATCATTTATCATCACTTATCACATTTCAGGGGCTCTCCTCCTCATCAATGTTGACATTTGACACCATTGTACATATTGGATGCCCCCCCCCTTGTTGGCTTCCCTGGTTCCCAATAGTTTCACTAACATCAACAGTGGCTCTCCATATGAAATGTTTGCTCTCCTCAGTGGCCCTCCAGATTTCAATGCGAGGCACTTGCCGACACCGGCAATTGTGGAAGCATTGGCCGACCAGAGGACCATGATGGACCATGGCATACACAAGATATCACGAGATGCTCAATAACCCTTGGGGATGGTCTTGGCAAAATGTCTCAGAATCCACGTCTCAGTAGCCGTGCGTTGTTCCACAACCAGGATAATCAGTCATGAGCCGTGCGTTGTCCCGTTGTCCCACAGCCAGGATAATAGACATAGCTTGTGGAGAGGCGGCGAGTGGAAGCATTGCAGAACTTGTCCTTCGACGTCTCAGTGAATCAAGGATGGTGAAGGTGATAATCAATGGAGCAATGGCATTATTAACATGCTAATAATCTAGTGACTGTTAATAATATATCTATATCTGACGTAGTGACTATCTATACATTAGACACTTTGACATAGTGACTATCAACATCTATTAGTCACTATTAATCACTATAAATCACTGTTAATCACTATAAATCACCATTAATTACTATATATAAATCACTATTAATCACTATTAGTCACTATTAACATGATGATACCAGAGTGTAATCAAGATCATCATTCTATCCATCTTCATCCATCGTCAGGCACATTCCCTGGCAGTCTCAGCCACTGGGAACCTCTACAGTTGGGACCTGAGTTGTTATGACCCCACCTATCCCCACCGGATGTTTCATGGTGGTTTATAACGTAGCTTAACTATGCTTAACTATGGTTAACTGGGATTTATTAGTAGATTATGTAGATATGTATCGAACTATAGACTATAGATAATGGGGTTCAAACACATCAATTTAAATCACATTTTGGGATGGGTTACAGTCAACTTCGCCTTTTTTCAGCATGGCGATGGAATGCGATGGAAATAACAGGTAAATCATCTACAAATGGATACCCTCTGGTAATGACTAACATAGCGAACTGGAAAATCACCATGCTATTAATGGGAAAATCCACTATTTCTATGGCCATTTTCAATAGCTATTTTGACATAACCAGAGGGTAAGAACTTCCATGGCCATGTTTTTCATTGTCAGAGACTCTATGGATTTGGAGATCTAAACTCTGGAAACCCACGGATGAAACCAGGGTTTAGGGTTTGATTCGAAAAATCGGGGGTGACGTATCTATAAATTTATATAAACATATATAATATAATATATATATACATATATACATATATATTATAAACTTTAAATTGTTTTTTTTTGTGACGATGGTGATGAGACTCCAATGTCGGAACCGTTGTCAGCCGAGGCACCTTTAAAACCATGGGAATTGGCCACTGGAACATTGCTTTCAACCAAGCCAAAGGATGGCTTAGCAGTGTAGCGACTCCTTTAAAAGAAAGATAGAACAGTAAAATCCAACTGATCTAGTGACTAGTTAGGATTAATCACCTCTCCATTAGTAATTTTGCACCCTGTGTGAATCATAAACCATTCCTGGTTGGTGGTTTGGAACATTTTTTATGTTCCATAATATATGGGATAATCCTTCCCATTGACTTTCATATTTTTCAGAGGGGTGGCTCAACCACCAGCCAGATTCAGCTACTTTCCTATCTTTTTGGGAGTTTTAAATCTGCCACCCTGTGTGCTTTGTCCAGGTTGGGGCGCCTGCTCCTGTGGACAACTTGGACTTGGCAGAGCTGGCCTCAGGTTTCATGGAGCTTTCCTCACCATGTTTTCTGCATGGTGACCAACTCAAAAAAAGCTCAATCTTGGATGGGTACAAACTCATCCTTTAGTCTTTTGGTATCAATGGAATCGAATCTACTAATCAGCTTTAAAGAAAATGCAGGGTATCTAAGATTGGTCATGTACTTGCCAATATTGAAGCACCTTGAGAGGTGAATGATTGGGAATCCAGCCCAAACAAGCAACAATAGTCTAGTTGATATGATGGATTTCAACCAATCAACCTGATTCGTGCTACAAATTCATTCAAAGTCGTTTCAGCCCATGGTATCATGGTGCCAAGCTGTGAACCCACCGCCAGTTTGGGCTCAGTGGCGAACCCATCAAACGGCCGCTCCCATCATGAATGGTGATGCAGGACCACCAAAAAATGCCGCCAACTTTGCTGCGTTGACTCCGCTGCATTTCTTGGAGCGTGCAGCGGAAGTATTTCCAGAGAGGCCATGTGATGCTTTACTTGTGACATCATTGCCTGCGCAGATCGTTTGTTAATATAAGATAATATTAATATATATTTATAATTAATACATAATATATATATATATATATGATATGATATGATATATATATATATATTTATAATTAATACATAATATATATATATATGATATGATATGATATGATATATATATATATATGATATGATATATATATATATATTTATAATTAATACATAATATATATATATAATTAATTAATACATAATATATATATATGATATTTATAATATATGTATATATATATACATTGTTTTTGGTTTCCAGCTCTTAAATCTTAAAGTTGTTTTGCCAAGAATTTGGGCAACTTAGACCAGCCTAGTGAGACAGCATCTGTTCCCAAGTCTGGTTTTGCCTGGCCCTTCGTCAACTCCGTGGCCAGGCTTGCCATCGTTCATGGACCCCTGAGGAGTCTGGGTTGCAGTAGGTTTCGCATGGCTTTCCCGTCTTCGCCGCCGACAAGAGACTAAAATCCCAATTTTAGTTGTTTCATGAACTTATCATCCATTAATTGTGATTGTTTATCATTTTTTGAACTTATCATCCATTAAATTCCCCATGTAAGTAGTTGAGACCATCATTTTTTGGTTGATAAACTGCCAAATCTTCACAGTTTTTATTTGTTAGTCTCCTGTAAACGTTTACATAGATGTGGAAAGTCATTCTCTTAGGGAAACCATGTTTTGTTTCACACCTCCTTGTATGTTTCCCGAAGAATTCCTTGATGGAAAAAGGGGCTGAACGCACAGAAGAACCTTGAAGAAACCATGGAAACCTTCAAATGTTCACTATTTTGATCCATTTTGATTGGTTAAATCATGGCAAATCTTCACCATTTTTGTTGGTTAAATCATGAAGTTAAATACGTTTAACTACCATTTAAATCCATTTAATGGAAACCTCCAAGTGCTCACCTTTTTCCAAAGTGTTAAATCCTGTTAAATCACCATTTTTGATGCTTCTTCCCATCAGGAGAACTTGGTCCGAAGTCTATGCGCGCAGTCGCCAGTTGTGCTCCGCCTTGAAGGCACGTGGCGTCGGCAGAGGTGACGTCCCTTGGTGAAGAAGATGGGAATGGCCCTGTCTTAACATGTGGACGAACCCCATGGGAAATGACCATTTTATGGCATTTATATACATATATTAATCTGGGTAGATTATAATTAACGACCTCACTGCGACCTCACTATAATCATAGTTAGTAGGGGAAATGATCCCCAAATGGCCTTAATTCAGGTTAGTGAAATATTATAATTTACCCAGATTAATATATATAAATATATATATATATACTGTATATATATTGAGTTATGGGGAAATGATGGGGAAATGATATATGACATGATATGAGATGATGGTAAACCATGTTAAATCAAGATTGTGATCTAAAGGTGTAATACCCCAATATACCCCAATAATATGTAAATAAGTATCCATCTTCAGGAGAACAAACACATGGAATTCAGAATGTAAACCTATGAAGAATCTATTTTTGTCTTTTTTTTGGATACTTTATTTGTTTAAACAAAGCCAAATCTTTGCAGTTTTTAACAGAGGAAAGTGGAGAGAGAAATCAAGAAAGTTCCACTTATGGGGATTGTTTGCCAAGAAGATGTACATTTTACCAAGAAACCCAGATGCTCCACGGTGCTGGAATATTTACCTACATAAAAACCCCAAAAATGGCACAAATGTAGGTAAATATTCCAGCACCATGGAGCATCTGGGAAAGATGGATTTCAATGAAACAAAGAGTTTAAGCAACAACGATGGAGATCTGATTGACAAGAAGTGGGAAGTTTTATGTCAAGAAAAATATGCGAAATCAAGCAACAAGAGTGCGGATCTCAACCACGATGAGATGTATCACCCAATCAAGCTTGGAATTGGGAAGTGAGCCAACTCCAAAGAGAGGTTTGTCCGAGGATGGTCAGGAAATAGAGAAACAATGATAAGTATCCCTTCTGCAGCATGGCGGTCAACATGCTGCAGCTCTGTTTGTTCAGATTCTGAGAACAATGTAATGTCAAGTCGATTTTGGCAACGAGACTTGCTTGAAATGCGGCCATGCACGGAATTGTTGAGGTGGTGGCAGTACTGCTGAACAACTCACCAGAGAACATCGAGGCACATTTTGGAATCCCAATGTGTGGGGCTGTTTTGAACCCCTTGAACTATCGTTTAGATGCTCGCACCTTGACCTTCATGCTTGGCCACGCTGAAGCGAAGATTTTGATTGTGGATCGCGAGTACAGCAAGTTGGTGTCCGGCGTGTTGGACTCCTTCCCACCCGAGAAGCGACCCTCCGTCGTTGATGTAGATGATCCCCTATGCACCTTGACTTGGACTTGGTTTAGTTGATGATTGGTTGCGAGTGGATGCGAGTGGGGGGTGGACTAAGAATGATCCAAAATCGCCGGGACCTTGTAGAAACATAAAGAATCTGGGTGTCTGCATGCATGACACAGATGTACTTCCTGCAGGATACAGCATTTTGTTTTTTTTTCAAAATGCTCTATATACGCTCAACAATCATAGCATATATTTTCTGAAAACCAAAACGCAAGATGCTCAATTTTGCCATGGAAGTCAGTACAGGACCAGCAAATGAGGTTCTCGACTCCTACAAATCAGTCCATCCTCTGATAGTTTCTTTCCAGTCCATACCCCAAATGTTCTAATTCTATGTTCATGAGTCACACGTTCCATTGAACAGGCATCTTTCCTGGCTTCTTGTTCCTCCTTAAGTTCCATCCCCATGACGGATCCATGGTGCTGGTATATATGCTAACATTGGGGGGGTATATTGATGGGATCCATGTTACCATATATAGCAGCACCATGGATCCTATGGGATCTTAGGCAAAGAAAACGGCCCTTTGATCGGTGCTATGAACTACGAGCAGCTGATTGCCGAGGGCAGTCCGACCGCTCCGTGGGAGCCACCAGTCGATGAATGGGACACGCTGTCGCTCTGCTACACCAGTGGCACTACAGCAGACCCTAAAGGTGGCTGCGGGGCTGGGAACCAAAAGCCATAGGGCCTACCCTCTGGTAATTTAACATAGCTATGGAAAATCACCATTTTTAATGGGAAAATCCACTATTTTTTCCATTTTCAATAGCTATGTTAAATTACCAGAGGGTATAAGGGATGCCGCAAGTGGGGAATGTGGAAAAGGTGTTATTCAAAATCTCCAGATTTGTTTTTGGTGTCCTTTTGTATTGATTTATTTGTTGATTTTTTGGACAAACCTCGACCTGGGGGTCATACTGCAATGGGCAAAGATGCTTTGATACTGCAATGGGCAAAGATGCTTTGGCAAGGGCCCGTGAAGGTATGAACGTAGGGCCCGTGAATGTGAGAGGGCGACTTATAGACATTTATAGACACTGTTTCAGTCTCCATTTAAATTCATTTAAGTTATTTAAGTTTGATGTTTGACGACTTGATACAGTCTGGTACTTGGAGGATCATCCTGCCTAGCAATTGATGCAGCGAGAACCCGAGAACCATAGGGACAAATCATGAAACTATAGGGAAACTAATGTGAAAACCATAGGGATAGGTCAAAACCTATGATACCCACTCATGATTTGTTTCCACATTTTTTTTTTGAATTCCCAAACCTTCTTTCAGGCCCAATTAACATCAATTGACCAGCTATTTTGATTTAACCAGAGGTGCTACATGGTGCTACGGGACATAGCCAAATCAAGGATCAATGTCCCATACCTAAAATGGATGCACTGTGCTATATACGGCTGAACATATTGGGCAATATTTCGTTGGTTCTCTCATAGATTTTATGAATTTTATGAGGTGCCTCCAGATACCTGTCCCAGAACTGGATGATGGTGAACTTTTGATGATAACAATAAATAAAATGAGTTGTTTTCCGGCTTTCCTTTAGATTTCCCTTTAACTAGTCCATTGAATGCAATGTTAAATCCTCCGTGTTCAATAATTTTCATATAAAATTCCAATTGTCAATGTAAATCCCCAATTTTGACTCTAAATTCCAAATGTTTGATGGTAAATCCCCTACAAAAAGACATCCCGGGACGGATGTGCTTCCGTCGAAGGTGTGCTACTGCACCATCGGGGTGCCTACCTGAAGAGCGTGCACCTCATTGTGAAATGGCCTCTGCACCGGCATTGCGTCTACCTTTGGACGGTGCCTATTTTCCACTTGAACGGCTTCTGAGTTGGTGAATTTGGAGATGTTGGAAGTTTTCTATCGGTTTTCAAGTTGGAATTTGGAGTTGGAATTTGAAGGTTTTCCTGTTTTCCTTCATTTTTGTTGATAAAACATGTGTATTTTTTTGTTTTTTCTCCATCCTCCAAGAAAACATCTCATAAAGTGTTTCAAGGATATCACTGATATCACCTTAAGATGTCCATCCCCAAAAAATGTTGTTTGCCCTCCGAAAATGGGATGAAGATTTCCCCATAGTGACTGAACAAATGTGCCATGGTCATCAATCCTTCAGGGATTCCCAAGGATCCCCATTCTGTTTTTTTGGAATTCCCACATGGGATGAATATGGATGACCATAAGCCATTTCATCAACAAAAAAATCCTGGAGATGTAATGGACATGTTCAAAATCTTCACGAAATCGGGAATATGATTGAAAAACCATGTTCAAATCATTGAAAATCCGATGAATTCTATCTACTTCAGGACTGTAGAAGTCACTCAATGATCATTTGCCCATGACATTCTCCTAGAATCGGAGACGCGTCGCCCGGGTTCAGGCTGGTTCTTCCCCTACGCCGTGGCAGCTGTGGCCGGGGTCAACGTCTGCCTGCGCAAGGTGGTGGCCAATGACATCTTCGCGGCGGTGAAGGAGCACCGAGTGACCCACATCTCTGGGGCTCCCATTGTGATGAGCACCATGTGACTTTGGCGATTCGATGTGAAATCCATGGGAAATATACCTGAAATCCCAAAACATGAAGATAATGAAGGGAACTTAATGATAGCCGCGCGAGTTTGAATGATTTTGACATATATAATCAACTTGATATGAGTCGGGTGTCTCTGAAGATGGGAGAATTGTGCATCCAAAATGTACCAAAACAGCAATTTCAATGGGAAAATGATGAGAACCCATTGGGTTCGGGGGAGACAAACCCACTTGGATGTCTCCAAAACTTTGGGATTTGGATGGATCTTTACACTCCAACCGAGTTTCATACGGGAAATGATAACCATTGGATACCGTTGGTATCCCATATTTGTGCAAACCCAGTTGCTTACCCCCTGGTCGTTCAACATGGCTGGGCAAGTTTTGATTGCCATGTGCGTCTACCAGAGGGTGGCTCCACTGTAGTACAAAGGTAGGTGCAACAGCCCATAAATGGAAACACCCAAAACTATGTGACTTGTATTTGCAACACTTGGTTTTGCAGATCAGATTGACCATATGATAATGTTTGGAGAGGATGGCTTTGGAAATGAGTCTCTGCCAAAGGAGAGAACATCGCAGAAAAGCCACAAAGTGCTTTCCACACTAGCAATTTCACATCAATTTCATGTGCTTGTTTGTTGAGTAGTTTTCTTGATTTGGCAGGTTCCAAATCAAGCAAAGGTAGGTGCAGAACCCCATAAACAATATGTGAATCCCAACAAGCTTTTACCCTTCTGTAACCTAACAGTTCAATGTGAAACATCCACCATTTCTAGATGATTTTCCAAACGGGAAACCATATCCCATGACGGATCCATGGTGCTGGTTTATTAATGCTAACATGACTGGGGTATATTGATGGGATCCATGGCACACCATATATAGAAGCACCATGGATCCTATGGGTTTACGGTTTTCCACATCCCAAATTCTATGTGTTTTTCAGGGGAAACATTGACATCACAGTCACGCCAAGGCTTCAATACACGGGTCCAAAGACCTGGAACCAGGAACCGGCTGGGAAGTTACGTTGTTGGCCGCATGGAAAATGGCACGAACTCATATTTCTCAGAGGGGTGGTTCAACCACCAACCAGTACATGATTTTACGATGATGGACCGTTCTAAATCATGGGCTTGTTCCGTAGGAAGCCGTATTAAATGAGCAAAGGGTATATGTTTTTGAGATTTTCTGAGGGGCTTCAGTATATCGAATAGTCAACCGCCCAGCTGTGGCCATTAAACATGGGGAAACTCTAAGATATGTTTTTCTAGCAAGCCATGATGACCATGATGATCAGAGGGTAGTTCTTCGATTACCAGATAGCAAAGTCAAATCTTATGGAAATAGTGATCAATTTAACCTGTCCCTTTTGAGGATGACCCTCCGGTACCTCCAACGTGGCAATTTTTTACATCACTTAGTTCGATGATTTTCCCTTTAAAACTTGGGTGATTTTCCAGCCGCGTTTGATTGCCAGAGGGTAACCTTCAAAAAACCATGTTCCCCCTTGACCATATCTGGTTGGTGGTTTGGAACCATGGAATTTTATGATGTTCCGTTCAGTTGGGAGTTTCATCATCCCAACTCACTAACTCATATTTTTCAGAGGGGTGGCTCAACCACCAACCAGATATAGTTTTAAATAGCATAAACCTGTTTGACGGTGAGTCATTGGAGTTAGCTATGCACCAACTTCGCCATCGCGAACGGAGGGGCCTACCTTGGGCCCCAGCAACTTAGATGTGCATCCCGCAATATCCCACGAGTCGGATCCGTGTTTTATAATCCATGACCCATTTTTCATCCCAGTGGATATATATATATATAATATACATACATATATATATGTATGTATGTATGTATGTATGTATGTATGTATGTATGTATGTATGTATGTATGTATAAATGATTATAACATATAGCTGGGGGTATAAGCTGTTTACTCAATGGGGCCCGCGAACGTCAGGACCTGAAGTTCATGACCTCTGCGGCTGCTCCCCCCGCGCCGGTGCTGGCCCGAATGGCGGACTATGGCATCGAAGTCAGTAGCCTTGGCGCGAATGCCGGGGATGGTGGAGAAACCCTTCACATGCAATGCGTCACGGTATGTATACTGTATATATTCTCAGATTCTAAGGCTAATCCCCCAAAGAAAAGGACAATCTTGAAGGTAGGGATTTACTGTTCCATGTTTTTGGTACATGCACTTATGGATTGTTCAATTAGGGTGAATTATAATTAATGAACTGATTTAGGGACAAACACTTGATCTAGGGCAGCACTGCGGTGATGCATATAGTTGATGATAAACTGGCTGAAAATTACACTGAGTCATCACCAACAATCATATTTAAAAATTATGATCTAAAGTATCTAAAGATGTCTAAAACCACAAATCATGGCATTGATGTTGGTCAATTGGTTTGACAAAATGTTGATTGGTTGGTGGATGCCCTAAGTTTGGTAGGCTGAAAGTTATTGCCATATGCAACAAATCGGGATGGAGCCAGCACCAATTTGGGGATTTCATTGGCAATTCATCGACTTTGCCATATGTGGCTCCGTCCAAACATCGAATTCATCACTGATTGGCGGTTTCAAATATGGTTTTAGATGTTCAACCTGATGTGGGATGGTGTCCAGGATGGCCCATATTGTCTGCTCTAAAAAGTCTTATTCAAGTGAAGGATGGTACCCTCTGGTAATTTAACATAGTTATTGAAAATGGCCCATTTATATAATCCCATTTATAATTGATTTACCTATTTTAAAAAATGGTGGATCTTTCCATAGTTATGTAAACGTTTACCAGAGGGTAATGCAGCAAGTTTTTTTTGGATTGTTGCAGGTCCGACAATCTGATGCCGCTTGCCGTTGCGGTCGCAGTTCTGAGGCCATGTCTACGGCTTGACAGAGGCGTACGGAACAGGCGATGGGATTCAAAATCAGATAGACATAGAAGGTGGGGCCCCTGTCTACAATAGCCAAGTTGGATTGTAACTTATCCAATAACTACCGTAGATGGACGAATTATTCAAACCCTTATACATAGAGCAACCCCCCTCACCCCAAATATAAATGTTATTTTCTTGTTTGGTTCGTTCCTTCGAATGGACGAAATAAATCAAACCCCCAGAGCAGGAACAGCGCTACGAAACCATAACATTGAAATTCGGGGGAGGTAGGGGGTGGCCTATAACTCATGGATAGGGGTTTGAATAACTTATGGTAAAAAAATACAACTATAATGGTCAATGGGTGTTATAAAGCAACTTATACCTCGGGCACTTTGTACAGGTATGAAAAGAAGTACTTTCGTCCAATCACTTCACCCTAATATTATTTGATTTGATTAGGTTTAGTATTGGATCTCTTAAATTTTGGGCCCTTGTTGGGGGTATTAGGATTTAGGGGGTGGGATACTTGCGAATGTTATCATGTCGAGAAACCAGGGACCTGCAGCCCAACTGCTGCCCACTACATCTTCACCATTTTTTTTCCCCAAGTCGTTGGGACAGAATCAAGAGCCGTATTAAGTGCACCACTTCTATTGTTCACTGTTTTTTTCAACCAAACCTCAAGAATGCCCTGTCCATCTTATCAGCTAACAGGGTTGCAGTCAGCCAAAGTTTGCCGCAGGTGTGATGTGCGAATGGAAAGATGAATGGAACAGCAAGTCCTTGGAAGAGAAAGCGGCGCTGCTGGCGCGGCAAGGTGTTCGCTGTTTGGAGCTACTTGGATTGAGACTCTTCATACATTGCTTGGGTAAGTTGCCCAGTCCTGGCAGGATAGTCATCAATCGATTAGAAATTAGTAGGGAACTTTGTAATGTTGTAATGTTATATATATACTATATATATATTCTACATATTATATATATATAATATACTATACCTTGAACTTCAAGTTCGTGAAATTTCTATGTTCTTCATTTTTGAAGGATTTTCCGGGTTCTCTGTGAATTTCCGGGTTTTGTCTCTTTCAGTCAATTTCCATTTTCCAGCTCAAGCGTTCATTCGTCGAGCTCTTCGGCAATAGGCCCGAAGCCTGGAACTTAGATTGCCCTTTCGCTTTCGGATGAGGGCTTTCGTTCTGATCAGGACCCTTTCCAAGACTCTGAGGCTGACTGTCCTAGAGCTTACCCTTCGGGCAATTCTAGAAACATGCCCCACCACTGATTCATTTGCTTCGCAAGAGAATACTAAAGGGTTGAGAATCCTGGGTGCGTTTGACTGCAATTGAGATTTCAAACTTTTGGAAATGTGATGCAAAGCATGCATCTTCGGTTTTAAACCAAAACCAACTACACCTAACCTTCTCGATTCCAGGGCCAAAAATCGATAGGCTCGGATCATAACAAGTAGATGATGCTGGCACCTTTGGCCACAAACCCGGTCCATCCACAAGGGGTGAGAATGGAGCACAGCAAACAAAGCGATTGCACTCTCACAAGCTTCAATCAGGGCACCCTCTAGCGCATCATTCACTGGCCTACGGCTTTCTCGGGAGAGACGAACAACATGGAGAACCCATTGGGTCATTAATGTTGTGTCAGAACCTTTCACATTAGCCCATGCAAAAGACCGCTGGTTAGGCGTATTGAACAGGCTTTTGGAGAAGTAATGGATCGCAGGTGTTTTCTGGTTCGCAAGTGTCCAAAGGCGGAATGAACTCCATGCCCTCTCCAAACGGTCAGGAAAGTTTTCGGAAAAACCTGGAAAATCAAAGTACCCCAAGAGGCACAGAACCACTGTTGCTGACCCAATCAAATCTCGGCCAAGGCCGCACTTCCAGCAATGGAACAAATCTAATCGGAATATACCTTCAGCTTTTCCAGTCTCAAAAGGCAATTTGGCCAATGATGGCACCATGTTCTCTTCCCAAGGAGGTTTTTGAAATTCTGTTGCCAACCACTTTGGATGATCTGAAAGATCTTCAAACTCAATTCCTTCTTTACCAGCCAAGCACAGACTACATATAGGGTGGTTCTTCTTGACACCAACGTTGTAGTACGAGCGCTGTAGGTTTCCCAGTTGGTGATGAAATTTCAAATCCCCTTTGCACCCCAAAACTGCACCAAAGTAGGTAGACCCAGATACCACGATGCCATGCCAGAACAATTCAGAGAGGTCAGAGACAACCTCATCGAAAGCCATTGTAATCAAACCTTTGTTCTTTCGGTACACCTGGGATGCTATGCCAAACAGCAAGAATTTGGACAAAAACTCGTTTCCGCTATCGTTAACTTGTTGTGTTGAAGCTAGTGCCGCAGCTTGATCAATGGCCACTCCATGGGAGCCACAGTTCATAGCCCCATACCTTTGAAGCACTGGGTCTGAGGAGCAATTGCAAGGCTTCGGTTTTTTCGGTGAACTTCCCAGAGCACATTCAATAGTACAAACCATGAAATTGCCCTTTTTCAAGTATCGTCCCTCATCGCCATACAGTAGGAGAGGTAGCGTATACGCAAGTTTTCCGGGGTCCAACTTGTAGACTTCATGGCCTGGTTGAACAAACTTGTAGCATTCCCAAAAGGCAGCCAGCTGTTGATGTAGGTCCTTGCCATCACCTCCTTGAAGGAGAAACGAATAGTTGCTAAGCAAAGTGCTCAACCATGACGTAGGTTTCACTAGTGGCAGCTCGATGACACTACCATCTTCAGCAGTGAAAGAAATCATAGATTTGTCCACTGTCAAGGAATACCCAGCTTTTTCTAACATGGTTTGGACATCTCTTTGTGCGTTCTTGTCACATCCCCCAGTTGTGGAGGAAGGGGTTCTACCAAAATCTCCCTTCACCGCCCTGAGGTTTCGAGCGATGGATGTTGCTGGGGCCTTGGGCAGGTTCGAATGGGGCAGCTAAGACAATTTCATGCCACAATTATTCCTGAGGCCTAGGCCCCACGGCCCATTTCTTCAGCATAGTGTTGCATGAGATGACTTTCATTAGCATCATCATCACTTTCTATCATACCTGGCAAAGTGACCATCGATGTCCGAAAAGATTTTTTTACTGGGAATGAAGATTGCTGGGAAGGAGTGGCTTAGGCAATGTCAAGTAGCAACAGCACTGCAGGTTTGATTTTTTCTCAGCCCCGACTGGTTCCACATCGCATCCTTGGAACATCCCAAGGGAAAAGCCAAACGCACTGTTTATTCTATCATGTGCGTTGAAAAGGCAAATTAAAGATCAACACTCAAGCCAGGTGTACCCCTACCCTAGTCCTCCTCCCTTTTGGTGGAGCGCTTTTTGGTGGCAGGCTTCGGCGCCGTTTTGGCTTTTGCCTTCGCCTTGGACTTGGGGGTTCCTTGGTCTGTTCTGAGCCGTTTCCTGGGCGGCTGCTGCTGCTGGTCGGCCAAAGCTCTGCGGCGTTGCTTCTCATGCTCAGTAATCAGAGACCTGAGCTAATGTAGGCAATTAAATATAATCTATGACGTGTTCGAAAACTTATAGGCATTGAGCTCACTGCCTGGCACGTGGCTCCAACATCAAAGCTTCGCTGCACCTGAGCATCCACTACCTAGACGAAGTTTTTTTCACGGTTCAGAAAGGAAGTAGAAAAGATCTCATTCAATTCAATGCCCTTTTATTCCTGAGACTGGCACACTTTCTTGGCTGACACCATGATGGCCTTCATAGATGTCTCCAACCTTGGCTAAATGATTACAATGTGTGACCAATTATGAAGGATTTGATTTGTTACCTCAAAATGTCAAGAAGCTGTTCAGTAAATCCATCCACCACGCCATCACTGTAGAAGCCATTCAGCTCATCAACATTCTTGGTCAAGGTCGATTTTAAGCCGTCAATCTTCTCCTTCATCCTGGGATAGTGGGATTTGGTTTGTGTCATTATTGGGCTACAGAATGCTATTAAATTGAACAAGCCATCCTGAAATTTCAAAACATGGGAACAAGACCGGAGTTCTGAGCACCCCTCCTTTTCAGAAGGTCACTGGGTTCTCCATGGATTGCATTGATTTTGTCGGACAGCTCTTGCAACTTCACAATCCGTTTTTGTATGCCACCTAAAACCTTGGTAGCGTGCTGGGATGCCACCATCGGTTTCTCTACTTCGGGAAAGCCTGACAGTCTCAAAGCTTTGGCAATCTCATTCTCTGCAGGTTGGCCGGGCGAAGCTGACGGCACGGCGCCCAAGATTCCATGGGCTTGGCCTTGCGGGGTGTGGTCTAGACCCGGTCAGGGGCAAAGCTGGAACGGTCTAGAGTCTAGACTCTAGACCCATTAAGGAGCAGAATGACAGCACATACAAGGAATGCATATCGAATAATTAAGATGGCCTGCAACGGACGTCCCATTGAAAACAGATTTGATGTCGAGATCCTGAACCTTGCCCTCTTCTTCCGAAGAACATATCTTCTTGAGTATGTCGCGCTTGATATTCCTAAGCCAAGACACCAGCAGAGAAGAGAGAATTCTAGACTAGTGGCACATCATAAAACAATCCCATGAGCATAGATGTGTAAAACCTAGTTTCTTCAGATTTCCTTTCACGGCCGTCTCCACCCAATACATAGTTCCACCGCCATACTTCGATTCCCTGGCAGGGCTGTGGGGACATGGGCACTATCCCAACTCATGTCAAACAATCTTGAAACTGATTTGATTTGAGCTTTGCCTTGTCATCGTTGGGTCATCTTTGCATGACTCCTTGATGCAGTCGATCTTCTCCCTCAATGCAGCAGCATTGGGGAAGAGCAAGGATGCTAATCTTGATAATCTGAACTGCATAAGTGGGATAGATGTGAACCTACAGTATTATTTTTTGTCATGGCACTGCGAATAGCCATTGTCCACCATGTCCTTCTCTGTTTGAAATTCAAACTCTACGTTCAAAGCTGCTTCATCAATCTCCTCGGTGATCTTCTGGCACACGGTGACGAATTTATCCTCCAGGAATGGAGATTGGAAATGTTGGGATGACATGTTGAAAATAAAACAGGCCAAAAAAAACATACCGTAATTTCATTATTCATTCCATAGGTTTACCCTACAAGGCCTTCTAACCACGTTTATTGTATATGGAACTCCCTTAAAAAAAACAAATCACAGTGTTTTACAACAAACCAGTCCGGTTCGTAGTTGCATTTTTCGAAGAGGACAAACAATCCATCTCTGTCTGCACCAGGTCGATCCCATTTTTTAACGAACTCTTCGGGGACCCTGTAGGAACCATCTTTCAAAGGTGTGAAAACACGTCTCAGCCTTTTGTCAATGGCGCCCTTTGACATGGCCGGAACCGGTGCTGAGGACCCTGGACGATCATCAGCTCTCTCCGCATTGGTAGTGCCTTCACCCAGCATGCCTGGCTGGCTGGGCTCGGAAGCTGGTGGCGTCTGGGAAACCACTGATTGGGGCATCTCTCTCCGAACAAGTTCGTATGCCTCCTTTGACTTAGAGAAAGGATCTGCTTGGGAATGTGCTTGTCTCAGAATTTCCTTAGACGTGGTGAAATGTTAAAAAAATCAACCCTTCCCCACAAGAGTCCAAAGTCTAGTAAAAGAACTCAGGGTAGATGTACAATAATATTATCCCGCTTTTTTGTGGTTGTTACACCTCAAACCGATATATAATAATCTTTATTGAGATGTGGATACTTGACAAGGGAAAACAATGAACAATAAGAACAAAATGGGGATACTTAACATGGGACAAGAATAACCTGGAATCACAAACCATTCCCCACCAAAAAAAACATAGCCCAGAAACA